ATCAACAAACTGACGTATGGGGTAATTCGATCTGCGAAGTAAACAATAAAGCAACGAAAGATGCACGGCAAATGGGGAAACACAGTGCGGCAAAATAATGAGGACCCATAAACGCTTTGTCACGTCTGTCTGCGCATCGTGCATATGGTCAGCTGTAAAACGGAAAAAAGTAGAAAATATGATTAGCCCATCATCGAGGCGGTTCGGCATAATGGAAACGTTAGTTTTTCTTTTATTGTTTCAAAGCAGCGAAACTTTCACACTCGTTAATAACATATTATTATTATTATTTTGATTGAGCGCCACTGTGTGTGTGTGTTTTTTTTTTTTTTTTCTGTATGTATGGAACTTAGTTGGAAATTTAAGAAGTTATTAAAGGTTTATCAACCAGAGTGGTAGAGGGATTTGGAAGAACTTGCAGAATGAAATCACAGTCTTGTTGTTGCTGATATAGAATGCGAAGGAGTCACGTTTCCAGGACGTTTCGGTTCGGTGGGGGGAAATGGGATGGGCGGAGCTCGTCTACTGGTTCTCCAGCAGTCCGATGTACTGGCCATTCTGGTTGGCCACCCGTCGCTCCTCCAGCTTCCTGGCAAAGTCCGGATCCGTCTTGGCCCGCTGCTCCAGGCGCTCCTGCTGCAGCTTAATGCCGGCGTAGATCTGGTCAAGGCCCTTCTGGATCTCCTCGGGAATGGCCGGCGGTGTGGGTATGTGATCGCCCGTGGCCCGGAAACCGTTCTCGTCGGCCGTGTACTGCACGTTGACCAGTGTGCCCTCGGGCGATTGGTACGAGTACTGGCCATGCTGGACCAACACCCCGTTCGGATTCGTGTCAAAGTCCTTCAGGAAGCCCGTCTCCTCGTGCACGATGCTGTTGCCCGTCTCGTACTCCGTCTTGTAGCTGCCATCCTCGCTCTGCTCCTTGTTGTACTTGATTATGGGTATCCAGGTGCTGGTCTCGCGGTGATCTTCGTGGCGATGGTGATCCGGCTTGTCATCACGTGGTATATTGTTCACATTCGGGTGCTGGTGCTGATGGTGGTGTTGCCCCTGGCACGAAAGGACCAACAGCACAAGTAGTATCTGCAAGAGATAGTTGCAGGCTTATAAACATTTAAACATTCGCAATTATTTGCAGATTTGTTCCCGTTCAAAAAAAAAATATTATTTTCGGAAGCCTTAAAATATATCCAAACTGCTTTTAGCCTAATTAGTTAATCTCCTCTGGAAAAATATGTTGGTTCTAAAAAGGTAATCTTTTCTAAACCATTTTCGAAAGATATAAAATACAAAAAGAAAAACATGCACACTACATTTTCGGAAGTACCGAAATATACAAATGTTTAAATGAAATAAACAAATATTAAATAACAGAAAAGTATGTATAATTTCAACCCTGAATTAAATTTTAGACATAAGCATATAACTCAATTGTGAACTGTAAATGCCATAAGGCATAAGAGTCCTTGTAGCACCAGGAAATAAGAAAGCAAAAAACTAAATAAATTAAACTAAATAAGAAAAAGCAAACTAAATATTTAAATGTTGTATTTTAAACCCAAATATTAACTATCGTTTCAGTGCTTTTAACAGGTCATTACAGGAAAATATCCTTGTGTTGCTGATTGACATTTTTCTTATATGCATGGAATATCACAAATTTTTGCACTATTTTCATACAATGTTTCTCTGATTAGAAAGTTTTCAGAATTGAGCTTGCTAATAACTTCACAAAAATTACAAAATCCGACAGCTTGGGAAGCTTGGGTTATGTGGGCCACTTACGAGCACTTTCATATCGCAATGAGTTTTTGCTGCTTATCCACTGATTTATTATTCCACTGATTTGGCCCGCTTTGTCGCCCGATTGATCACACTGGCTAGTGAAAGCAGCTCCGTTAGACACTGTGCCAAGCGCGGCCCTATTTAGGCCTTATATAGGCGCCTCGCTCCGACCGATCCATCCGATCCAATCCGATCTGATCCTCCTGCTGCACTCGTGTCCATGCCCACGCCATCATACCCATGGTAATGGTACTGGTATTGGTGAGTCGGCATGAGAGAGCGTGCAATTGCAGTTTCAGTTTCAGTTTCGGATGCCGATGCCAATGCCGATGGAGATGCAGATGCAGTTGCAGGTGAAGATGGGGATGGAAGTGGAAGTGGAGAGGTTGCCTAGTTGAATTCGCCATAGAAGCTCTTGTTTTTGTTGCTGCTGTCTGATCCAACAGATCGGTAATTGTTGTTTGTAGGCTCGTCGACGCTTAAATGCTAAAATAGGAAAAAAAACGATTCACTGTCGCTCTCGTTTGAGGCTGTTCCCTAGTCTTAGACGATGCGAAATCAGAAGGTTTAAGGTTTAATTTTTCTTCATATCTGATATATATATGATAGTACCACAACAGATCCATTTGTTCTACTTATTTATAAACTAAATTTATTTAAATAAAAATCAAGTTCGTTTCCTAAGTCTTTTGATTATGGTGCATGCAAACTTAGAATAAGAAGCTTCTTAGCTCAAAACAAAAATTTTATAAATTCTAAAAATTATATATTTTAAATTACAGATATATTTAATTATCGTCTCAGTTTCCGAGTCCAATAGATTTAGCTTAGAGCCCAAAACTCTGGCACCCACCTTAGCCCGGCTTTTTGTCGCTTTTCGTATTTGGCCTGCTTGTAGGCCCGGCTCAAATGTCTGCGAAACGTCCGTCCATCGCCAGCGCGTCCGGTCGTTCATCTTCGCAATGCCGTTATTTAGAAACAAGCCAGAACGAGTTTTTTTGCTTTCGTTGTTGACTTGGCCAAAAGCGCGACTCGTTTCGGTTCGTTTGGGCTCTCGCTCTCTGGCTCGGCAGAAGTGCACTCGAAGTGCATCTAAGATGCTGCTCCCAACTTCGGTTTCGGATTCAGATTCGGATTTTCAGACCCGCACTCGGCCTCAGATTCTTGTAATTGCGGCAGTTCGGGGGATGGGATCCAATACACCAACACCGGCGAGGCGCAAATTGTTGTAACAGCCAATGTGCCTTTGCAGATGAGGCAAGACGATAATTGAGTTCAAAGCGAGCCCGTGTCTTGGCAAATGTTAATTAGTTGCCAAACAATTGGGTTAATCTGCAACGCGTTTTGGGCCAAACAGAACACACACACACACAAAGTAGTTGGCAAAAAAAGGCGAATTCAATCGGGAAGGTGCAACAGAGACAATGCAGCAGACAAGTTGAACAACCGCCGAAGAGCCGGCGAAAAAGGCCGAAATGCAGCAAAACTCCAACGCCTATTGCGACAAACGACCTCTCCCCCTCCTGAACCATCATGTTTTGGCCACGTCTTCGTCTTCCGCACCCACAACTGCAAGTCAAACGCCCGCCAAGCCTCCAGATTGCCAATGTTGCTGGTGTTGCTGTTGTGTCTGTTGATGTTGCTGCTGTTGCCGGTGATTCATTGCAGGTTGTGCAACTTTTTAAGCTGCAGCTCCACGCACTGGCGAAAATGAAAATAAAAAACGAAAGCTGGGCAAGGTTAGCTTTCGAGTGCACCACCACAGATCCACAAATCCACAAATCCAAACATCCAACGAAAGATCGAGACATCGAAACATCCCACCATCAACACTTTGCCCCACTCACACACTGACCTGTTGCTGCTGGCAAAAAGGGGAAATTGCAGCATCTGCAAATGTCAAACGATTTCACCCTTACATTCTTAGCATTTGTCGAGCTGCTGCCGTTCTTATGAACAACATTTGACATTTCGGTTTCGGTTTCGGCTTGGGCTTCAGTGCTGAGAGCCAACTCGGCACACAGAACCCCGTTGCTGGCCATAAATATTCAGGCTGTTGTGAAATGAAATGCCTTGTCGATGCGGCCAATCTTGAGCTTGACTCGTAAATAATGCTCTAGTGGCGATTTTGAGGCAATCGTCAACGGAACTTGACATAAAGATCACGTACCGCTGCGTTGACAAGTGGCCCGGCCATAAAGTATTTGATTAATTCTTAAGCGCTCCAAATTGGACCTAATCCTTGAAGCCCATCTGGTGGCCGCTTTTATTGCCCATTTTATTTCGCTTTCGACAATTAAGTAATCTTTGCCTTCCTTTTCAATGGGTCGTACAAGAATCCAGTGAGACTGGTATTCAATAAATGCGTTTCGGAGGTTAGGAAATTCATTTCGATTTTGAAATCGGTCTCTGGCAGGAAGGCTGGCAAATGTTCGCCAATGTTTATGTTCGGGTACGTGTAGAGGCCCTGGAAGAATTTTATTTAACGGGGTTCGACACTATACGATTAACTACCTTGGGATGAGGACACTTTAGCTGATTTGCCTGCCTTCCAAAGGCTTTGAGGACAAACGAGATGAATCTGTGGCCGTGGATTCCCTTGGCGAACTGGCATATGTCCACATTCACATCGATTACCTTTTGAAATACCCTGGAAGGCTTTCGAGGCATCGACAGCTTGAAGGTGGCATTGTATTTGGTAATATCCTTAATGTAGATCACCTCGGCTGTTATCAGAGACTTATCGGTCTGCAAGATGAAACACTTGTGTTCGGAAATGTAGTCCGGATTCGTGAAGCAGCTGAATGTTTTCCACATCAATTGTAGGCGTGCATTGGAAAAAGTCTAAAGAAGAGTTGATAGAAATCAGAATGGTATATATCAGCGTACCTTGGCTGCTTCGCTTTGGCTAGCTATGGAAATGAGCAAAAATATCAATTGAAATTGAGCCATGATGTTGTAATTGCAGCACTGATCAATTAATACTGTCTGGCTTGAAAGCCCAAGCTCGGTCTATAAGTGAAAGCAAGCGCGGATAATGATTTTTATAATTATACCCCAATAATTGATATTTTTCGTGATTGCATTTTAAGTGGGTTTAAATACGAATCTAGAACGTAGTTCTGAATTTAGGTTTTAATATCTTTGTTTGTGGTCACTAAAAGCGGTTAGTCCGCTTAAGTAGTCCATAAAATGTTTAATTAAAATCAAAATGTTTATTTGTCTAATATTTCTCCTACTACACTAACGTTTAAGTACAATTTCCGGCGAGAGTAAAAGTCAGCTTGGACGTGAAGTTGGGTGGAGGGCACAAACATTGGTAAAGCATCTTCGATACTTATGTTATGGTAGTAAATAACGCCCTACAAAAATAGTAACGTTAAAATAAAGTTTCAAGTGCAAAATCATTTTAAAAACCTTTTTTATGGGACACTTTCGGGGTTGATTGCTCGATTTGACGATTGCGTTGAACATATTCGAAACCATTGTGCCCTGAACCATATCGGTTATTACGCGACACCCATTAAAGGTAATGTCAAAGAACTTGCGATACGTAATTGCTGGCTTGAATCTGGTCGAAATTTTGACATAAACTTTAATGGCGTCCAGTTCCTCCAGCAAATTAAGTTCCACATTTAAGAGGGAACGCCTTGAGCCTCCAACATTGCATTTCATTTGATCTGCATACTGAGGGCCCATCTGGCAATCAAAGCAATCCCATCTTATACGTCTCTGAAAATATATTGGACTATTATTTATTGACTTTATTTCTAACCAATAAATTACCTTGGCTTCAGTGTAGTTAATCAGATGGATGAGTAGCAAAATCATCCGCAAATAGTTCAACCATAAGCCAAACATTGCTGTCGATCACACGGCGGCAAACTGACATTGGTTTAGTTCTTGTCATTGTTGCCTATTGAATGATACGATATCAAAATTAAAGTAATTACTAATCTATAACATAATTGTTTATATTCATAATTTCGGTTGTCGATTGAGCGTATAATTTTAATTAATGGACTGTAATTAAGGGACTGTAGCTGTCGCTATGCAAACTACTTTGGTTTATTTTAAAATTAGGCATTTTCCATTCGCGTCTTTTTTAACTGCCCTAAAGTATGCAGCAATAGTAATGTATGAAAATTGTAAAGATTGTAAGTAAAATCCAATTACATATTAAAGTGTGCATTAAAGTGTATTCATAATGTCAATAAATGGTTTCATACAACTTGAAACTGCTTAATGCTTTATAAAATATCCCTTTCATTTATTTAAGGGGAATTAAACGATAAAAGCTTTACAAAAATTTCTTCCTCCTGTTTTTTTCCTTTGCAATTTCGTAAAGATGCCCGCGTAGAGTGACGTTCATGGCAATGGCCACCTTGGGTATGAAGAAGTCCAAATTTACGTAAAATTCAGACTCGGTCAACATGGGTGGTAAATCGGTAACCGATATGTTTTTAGATTCGAAACTTCCCTGAAAGAGCGCCAAAATGCTATAGATTTATGAAATGATTTATGAAAACACTTTATACCTTTGGAAAGGGACATTTCCAAGCCATGGCATTGCTGTTCCTGGCCAGTGTGTTGACCAAAAGGTCGATAAGCACCTTCCGCTTGCGTTCACGCAACACCTTGCACACATCGAAGGTGATGTCGAATATCTGGGTCATGACCTTTTTGGCATTGGGAATGGACACCCTGAGTAAACCACTAAAAGCGGTCAACTGTCGCATAATAATGACGGATGCCTCTATGGTCCTATTATTGGGTGGCAGGATCTTGCAGTGCAGCTTGTCGAAGTAACTGGGATTGCCCACGCAATCCATCTGCCTCATCTCCACAAAGTAGCCCAAGCTCTGGTTAAAATAAATGCTTTAATTATTTGCCATATTTTATCTAATGTTTGGTTACTCACTGGAATCAGCTTGGCTGTTTCGGCAGGATGTATTTGCAGCAGGCTGCCAACCAAAATGACCAAGCCCACGAGAATGGGTAACATTCCGGTGTCTCAATGGTCGATCAACTGAACTCACATTAGCCGCTGATGAAGTGGCACAATCCACACCTAATGGCTGTTTAATAATAATTACTCTATAATGGTAATAAAACGTCCGTCGTTTGTCCGGCCAATCTGGTATGCGTATGCGCCATTGAGTTGGCCAAACACACGATACCCCATTTCTAGCCCTATCCATATCCATATCCATATCAGCATCAATGTCATCCAGTGCCGAGGGCTTTTGCCATCAGTGCGACAGTGTAAACAAATCCGACAGTTGGGCCATGATCACCATCCACCATCCAGCATCCCATCCCCACTTCGCAGATCATCAGTGTTAACCGCAAGCGTGAAGGGCAATTTGGTAGTGTAATGGTATAGGCCACGCGAGGCTGAGAAGTAACTTCACTTCGGTTGTCGTTTTTCGTTATTATCGTTACCAATATTTATTTCTCTCTTTGCAGGCGATTCGGTGTGTTTTTGTTTGCTTAAATCTAACTACGGACTGTGGACATTTCAATTTCGTATGGCATTCAGGCAGTGCATAATACTTTCAAGCGAAATATTATAAGAAGTAGGAGTGTGGGGGCTCTGGATGAAGTAAGACTATTGTGGGGCCACGGGCAGATGATCTCCCTCCGGCTGGAATCCATTCTCATCGGCCACGTAGCGCAGGGTGATGAGGTTGCCATCGGGATCGCTGTAGCTGTAGGATCCGGTCTGGACCAGAACCAGCTCCTCGTGCTCATCGATCACCTGGCCGTCGGAGGTCTCCGTCTTCGGAATGATGATCTTCTTCAGGTAGCCAATGTTCTCCACGCGTATTCCATTGGAGGTCTCGTAGCTAGAGATTGTAACATAGTTATTGGGAGATCCTCTTTTCATAGCTTAACCCGAACTCACCTGCTGTTGAAGCTCCCATCGGCATTGTTCACATTATCCTGCTTGACTATGGTGGCGGCTGTGGTCGTGGATGTGGGACTGGCTGCTCCTGCCCGCTGATCCTGGGGCCTGGCCAGGACATAGCTGAGCAGCATGGCGGAGCAGACGAGCACGACGAACTTGTACATGTTGGAGTGGGGGCTATATATATCCTTGGACTGGGACTCAAGTGGGGGCGGTATTGGTATCGGTATCGGTATCCAGCAGGTTGGCGAGCGACTGACTGTTGACTGGCCGAACCGAAGTGGCGCTTTTTATACTCTGCTCTCGAGGCTTCGGCTGCTTACGACTGCCATTACGATGGGCGCACTAGATAAGCTTCGAAGTACTGGCAGAAATTACGAGCGGGCGCTGCCAGGGGTTTTTTTCGCATTTCGGATTTCGGATTTCAGATTTCGGTTTCGGTTTCGGTTTTATTGCCCCGCGATGAGTAAACATCAGATCGCACCGCCAAAAGAGATGAAGATGGAACGACGATGTCAGCAGGTGACAGTCTTCAGTCTTCAGTCTTCTGTCTACAGCACTCCACCCCGCGCCACATATCGTAGATCTTGACAGGCTACGTGATTTGTCTGAGCGGAATATAATTCTTTTTCTGGCTGCAAGTCGGTGTCGGACAGTTCCGTTGTCTTCCCAACCAACTCCTTAGGATACCGTTAAGGATTTGAGTGTGGCATGTTGTCTGCCAGAAGTTGTCAAATATTTCTATCAGTCATATCGCTGCTCTTAACTTACAATTGCGATCACGTCTCAATTAGGGAAATATTCGATGGTCGAAAAGCTAACGGTGAAAGGTGGAGACAAACAGGCAATAAAAAATGTGGAGTATTGTTGGCCATAAATCCAATTGATAACGCTGTCTTCTTATACCCATATGTTGGCTATATGCTGCGAATATTAACCACAATTGTGTCATAGAGCCTAGATTTCTGCGGCTACGGAATGGTCAATGAACTTGGCTGGCCAGAAACAAAAGAGTTGAGCGACAAAAATGGAAATTACCTCCGATACATATCTGATTAAATTTCGGTTTAGAGAAATGCTATTCTTTTTCAGCTTGTTCCCGGAATCGTCAATGTTCTTCCATGAATTTGATTTTAAAATTAACATATTAATGTGAACTAAAAAGAGGGTAACAAAACACAGAATCACACTTTCAGTTTCTGTTTGGCTTACATAATTCCTATTGATTGATTTTGCCTAGTCGAATTGGAAGTTCTAATGGTGAATCTCTTTTAAACTGATTGCGGATACGCGGCCTTGAGACTCTTGCCACTCTGCTTCGGCTCCAATTGCTTGTTTAACAATTTAGCTTTCAATTAGTAATTGTTTAGCAAGATGGCCAGCAGAGCCAAAAGCTGCTAAATAAGGCAAATTTAACACACATTTTGGCACACATGAGCCACTGCGCTGCAACCCTAAGTAAACATCGAACTGAGCTATTTGAACACCTTTGTTTCCGGTTAGCCAATCTATCGTTTTGTTGTTTTTAAATATCTGTTTTAATTGTCTCAGTTCTTTTTGGTTCCAATCACATTTTGGCTCAGTTCTAGTGGCATGCTTAGTGCTTCTTCTCGGGCGTCTGGTAGGGATGCAGCCGGATGTACTCCAGGGCCTTCAGAACGGACTCGGGAGTGGGTGGTGGCGTGGGCAGGTGCTCGCCCACCGGCTGGAATCCGTTCTCGTCCGCCACGTAGGACACCACATATGTCTGGCCATCGTCGCCCACGAAGGAGTACTTGCCATGCACTGACTCGCCATTGTGATCGGCATTCACCGTCTTCAACACGCCATCCTGAGTGGCCTTCGAACCGTCCTTGAGCTCGTAACTGGATAATGGGGCGGAATAATAGTCTCTGAAGTGCTGAAGTGCGATTAAGGGCCACAAACTCACTGGTAATGGTATTTGCCATTATACTCCACATTGGATTCCTGGGAAATCGGGTCATTGCTGTCCGTCGCCGAGGCAGCAACCACAAACAGGGCAATCAGCAGTAGGAATTTCATCTCTATCAATATCAGTCAATACAATCCAAGCTAATATCTCGAGGCGACTGGCGATCCCCATCGGTAAACAAAGACTCTTATATAGGCAACGAAATTAGCAACAAAGTTCCTCTACCAAAATATTTAACATGAAACTAAAATGTGGCCAATAAATAATATTGAACTTGTTCCGTTTGTCGCTGGCCTTTCGAAAAATGGGTGTGAAATTTGGTGCAGACGACTTCGACTCTGGCCAGCCAGCCAGCCAGCCTCCACATTGTTTTTCAAATAAATAAATAATAATAATGTTGTGCCATCCTCTATGGGCACTCGTCATCGACATCACTCTGATTCTGGTTCTCTGGCGATTTCGGAACCAACGTGACAGCATTTTTGCCAGCCTGCGTCTGGCCACTTTGCATAAAATGAATCTATCAACTATATCTCGCCTTGAGGTGCAAAACAGAATGAAACAATATAAACGGACGTTTGTTTTGGGCAGAGTCTATGAATAAACGGCGAGTCTTAGGGACTTAGATATATTTCCCATGTAAGCCATATCCCCAATGTGTGTGCATCTGGCCAACAAGTTTTGTGCATTTATTAACTCTATTTTCAGCGTTTTTTTATCGCGGTTATTTGAGAAATGGTAAATTTAGATTTATGACCACGACAGTAGCTCCAAACATCGGATAGAAATTGAATCCACCAGATAATCAGTGGGAGTGGAATTCTTAAAAGGCCAAAGTTGCTTTAAAATCAGATACTTACTTTGACTATTAAGGATTATTAGAGGTCATATTTGATTCTGCTTTTCGGGCAATCCCATTAAATTAAAACACTTGACTCGTTTACTTTTCGAAAGAATCTTTAATTCTTTATTTGCAGCTAAGGCTAAAGAATATCTCCATAGTTCTTCACAAGTGTTTGTATAACTTTCGAAGCGACATCATCGACTTCTTGGCTTAGACTACGTGTAAGTGTAGCTAATTTACAGACTATTTACACAAAGTTTGCTGTGGATAATATTCCTTGTATATTATTTAAGTAATTTCTTGTTTGTCAATTTTTTTTTACATTTTCTTTGTTGATTTCATTGATAAATCGACGATATCACATGAGTCCGAAAATGGCAAAGTTCCGGCGACTAAAAGATCTGAAGAGATTCGCGTAAAAGAAAGAGTTCGCGGAAGAAAGCAAGAAAGTAGACTGGGGCTATCTGTATAATGTATCATCGTGTTGTTCGGTTTTGTTTTTGTTTTGGTTTTTGTGTGGTGTGGTGTGGTGTTGTCCCTCAAATCCGTTTGAGTTTGTGTTCTTCAGTCAGTGGATTTGGCCGACCTTTGACCTCCAAAGTGGTAGAAGGATGAGGTGGCTCCAGCCCTTGGCTTGTGTCTTATGTGTGATTGTCTAGGATTGGGGGATCGGGGGTCTTGGGGATTTGCAGCAATCAACTTGTAGCAACAGCGCAGCATCTACACATCAGAATCGAAGGTGTCTTGGTCAGAGAATCGTGGGTCAAAATCCAAGGGGGTAGTCCGTCTCTAACGACGCTTTGCCGGGGGCAGGCTGAGCAGATAGTCGAGCGCCTTCTGGATCGCCGGCGGGATTGGTGGCGGAGTGGGCAGGTGGTCGCCCTGCGGCTGGAAACCGTTCTCGTCATCGGCCGAATAGTTGAGGGTGATCAGGTTGCCCTCGGGCGAGGTGTACGACACCGATCCCCGGGCGATGATCACGTCACTGGAGTCCGGAGAGGTGGCCTTCTTCAGGGTTCCGGTCTCCTCGGCCTTAATACCGTTGGCCGTCTCGTAGCTGCAATCGAAATAATCGGAAAATTACTCACAGGGCCTAAACAAATTCACCTTCAAATCTTTATTTGCTATTTTAAGTCGTTAAGTTGTTATGCATCATCCGGCTGGCGCCAAGCAAATTAAATTAATATTCAATCAACTTTTAACATTTCTGCTCAGGCTGCCAGATAAAGCTTGCTCTTTCTTAAATATGGTTCATTAATCCATTTTTGGTTAGCTTTATTAGCATATTCTTTTCGATTAGCTGGTTTTGTTAATGGGTCTAGGGATAGGGGTGTTAAGGGGTTGTCACAAAAAGATTTTGAATCTATCGCTTAATCAAAATTTATAGTTTCTTTTTGGGGAGTTTTTACTGAAACGAAATTTGTAATTTTATTCTTTAGGCCTTAAAATATGCAATAATTTTTACATTGTCAGCTACGGACAAATTTAAATGGCTATAAAACTTGAATCTTTTTAGCGCTGCTTGAAACTACATTGAGTTTTAGAGGCTTGAGGTAAATAAAGGTGGAAGTTCACCTAGCTAATGAGCCTATTAACACTTGTTATTGATTCGATTTTATATATCCAACTAATTGAGATACAAAAGTCTTACTGTAGAAGAGCAAATAGTTTGTTAGTTTTTAGGTAATACTATTATTTAGCAGCTTTAAATGTCTTTCTTAAATTTAAATTTATTCGGTTTTTTTAGTACTCACGCATAATTGTACGATCCATCCGGCTCAATATTAGACTCCTGGCTGATGATGGCGATGGGCTCCTCCGCCTTTTGGGGGGCAGCCTGGCAGCAGCTCATCAGGGCGGCGACCAGCAGACATAGAGCAAACTGTCGAAGGGAAAACGAAATGGAGAGTGCCGCAATGTTAGCCGAGCTAATAAACGTCTTGAAATCGTGCCCGGTGCTATTATGTAACGTCCTCAAGTCCGAGAGATGAGATTTATTGCTTTAGCTATTTTATTTGCCGTTCTCACATACCGCGAGCTCTTTAGACACCTTTTGAGGTCGGCAAATAGATGCCAATTAAATATTTTCCACATTTCCACACACACGACAGTCGACTGACTCAATTAACTTGTACACAAAAGAGCATGGAAATCGCGGGGCGTGGTCCTCCGTCGCATCGGTGTCTTCGGTTTTAATTTGGTTTTATTTTTGTTTTTTTTTTGGCCACCCCGAGTTCACCCCAGATCGACATCGACTCTTGGGCAATTGTCGCTGAGCTGAGCCGAGCTGAGCTGGGCTTCATTTTCCACTTGGGAATCCAATTTCGTGTCTGAACTTTTCAGGCCGATGGACAGCTGCCAGGTGTTGGTCCGTGGGTCTGACTCTGACTCTGACCTTTGCGTGGCACATTATACACCTCGCATCTGTGTCTGCGCCTGCGCCTGCATCTGAATCCGTTAATTGCCTTTGGCTTTTAAGCCATTCAAATGGCAAGACGTGTCTGCCCCCGTTGGCCATATAGCATATGCTATATGTTTTTGCACCCGCCTTTGCTGCCGGCGTTCCTCGTAATTGCGGAAGATTTAACCAACAAAACAAAATGAACACTCTAAAGGGCCCCGAGTTTTTGAATGCCTAAAAGTTATGAGCTCACCATAGGTGATTGATTTACGAGTACTTTTACAACCCGAGCATGACTGCCCATATGTTTTATGGGAAAACGAGGCCTATACAGAGTGCCCAGAAAGTCTGCCTTTTAGCTAAATTATGAGCAACAACTAGTTTTTGTACAAACTACAGTACTCTAGAGCAGAATCTAATTAAATATTGCTTGGTATTTTAATCATAATAATACTTAATGCTTAATAATATAATTTTACTTTATACATTTATATTCGGAATTTTAAAAATGCTTCTAGAATATAACTCTATGATTTAATATATTTTTTGAACAAAACAGCTTTCCTAAATATTATTTTTGGTGAGCCTAAAGAGCATAAATATAAATAAAACATTCAATTATTTAAGGCCCTCTACCTTTTTGACAGGGCAACTTCTTTTTTCACAATTATCCTGGTATACATTAAAATACAGTCTTTGTATCTAGAAAATACATTTTTTTAAAACGATGTCTAATTAAATATCAACCACCTTATTATATTTTGTAACACCCTTCTGCCTTACAGCCGCGTTCTTTTATGCTTGGAATTTAATTTGGCTAAGATTATTATGTAATTTCCACTTCATTAAACACTTTTTTTTCAACATATCCCAAAATTTGCTTATCAAATCCCATTTTTATTTGTCACTTTTTCTGAGTATTGAAAACCGCTTCGAATAGCTCCTTTTCTTTCGTTCACTTACGTTCTTCATTTTGTTCGATCAGAAGTGTAATCCAAAAGGCAGAATTATCCTTTCGACTGGGGACCTCAGCACTGCAGTTGTTAATTGAACGAACGTTTTTATTTAATGATGCCCAATGCCGGCAGGTGAGTCTATTTATACGAAAATTGCACTGGCGAACCTGCAAACAATTCAGTTTCAGTTGGCAAAGCGTCGCACACACAGACAAGATGCAAAGCTGCGACACGAGTACGGCCAAAACCAACAACGAACAACGAACAACTAACAACTAACTACCAACTTGGCTAGTTGGAGGGGGTGGGGTGTTGGGGTGCCCAACTAAAGAGAGAAGAAAATCTAAACTAAAGATTCAACGCCTAAGTCGCAATCGCAATCGCAGTCGCAGTCGCAGTCGCAGTCGCAGTCGACGTCACTTTTTGCAAAGAGCAGCAGAAACGGAGGCTCAGCTGTTCTGGGCTGGAAATAAAGAACTAACTTTGTACTAAGTACACTTAATTTATGCAAGTGTTTCAGGTTATTTTCTTGCAGAGCGTCTACACACATTTAAATCTATTGCTTGGTAATTGCATCAGCCGGCGGAAATAGCTACACAGGGATAAAATAGTTACAAATAGAGGGGTAAGACTAACGTTTTTTGTGGTTTTTAAAATTTTGTGAATCCTAGACGTATCCTAAGTAAAACTATTTCTATCCAATATTGTACGTTAAATACAAAATAAATGGATTTGGTATGAATATAACTTTTTTAATTACAGTTTAAACTATATGAGCTTTCGAGGTTTTCTTAAGAACAATGCTTAAGCACAAAAACATAAGATCATGCATTGACAATTTATAAAGAACCAAATACTATATTTACTAAGAAAGTTAGTTTAAAGGGCTTAAATATTAGGAGGCGCAGATATAGGTACATAAGTAAATGCAATATACTTCGAAAGCTCTAAAAAGGTAATGAGTAAATCTTAAAAAATTTTCAATTGACTTAAGAAGAAAATATCTCAAAAATCTTTCTGCGACTTCAAACAATATGAGCTTTTTCAGAAATTTAAAACATAATTTCTGAAAGCGACTAAGGTTTTGCGATATAGGTGAGACTGAATCATTTGAAAAGGAAATTTTAAGAACATCAGAAATTGTTCTCAGTGTAAGTAACCTGCAAGCGGCATAAGAAGAATGGTCGATAAATACGCCCCATTTAAGTGATAAAGATAATGAAGATACCGATCTCGGCCGCCGGCGTTGCCACCTGACTCGAAATGTATTTTTTTGGGGGTGAACCGTTGCATTTAAATGCGCCGCACTAATCGGGCATCGCAATCAAAGTCAGGCAGCCATCGGAGCGGTGGCGTTACTGGTGCCCATTCCATGCCCAGAGCACTAGTACTTCTCGTACCCAAGCCCATGGGCAGACCTCAAACTCAAACTGAAGCCGTGCACGGGGTCAAAATGCCAGAAATTGCTAAACGCCAAGTTGGGGCTGTTGTTGTCGTCGCTGCCAAAGTGTAGGCGCGTCTAATGAATAGCTTTGGGCCAGCAGATGGGGCCAGACTCTAAGACTTTTAGACTTTGGCTGCGACTCCTCCAACTCCAACTCCATCTCCGTCTCCACTTTAACTGCAACTCCGACACAGACGGCGACAGAATTTCGTGACAAGATTGCCCCAAAGATTGTGGCCGTATTGTATTGTTATTGTCTTTGGCAACCAAGAAAGATCGGAAAAAGAGGAAAACACATATAGTACGGCTACATACAATTGCCGAACTTAGTTTTTTTTTTTTGGGGCCTGAACTCAGTAAGTTAAAGGCGAAGTCGTCGAGGTGGAAGTCAAAGTCTGATTGTTGTACCCTCGCTCTTTTCGGCTGGATCGCAATAATTATGAAGACATTCCGCATTAATTTTAATATTTATTGTACTACTTGTAAATGTGTTCATTTCCACTTAAACCGCCGTCTGCCTACCGAGATTTATGGTCTCAGCCGAGCATTTCCCATCTGGGCTTACGATTAGGCGGCGGAACCTTGAAATGTTACGCATGGCTTCGGCGATTATGATCCCCAGCCTCAGAACCCGATGCCACCAAATGTCAGTTGGCTATCCAGCGTCTGGGGCTATATGGTTATATGGTTATATGGCCATATTCTGGTTGCCCAACCAGTTCTCGCCCGCTGTCCACTTTGAAGGTCGCGACGCGTTCTTTACGGCATACAACGTAATTTGTTTTAAAGACGTTTCGAGTAGTGTCTGCAATTTGATACCCAGCAATGCAATGGGTATGATGTACCCAAGGTGCGAGGCGACGAACCGAGGTGCCAGCTTGTGTCTACGGTTCTACGGTGCACTTTCTACTACTAGACAATAACAGTAGTTTTGCTATATTCTCTTTACTTTCTAGCTTAAAAATAAAATAATATAATGCAGTTAAAATAATGGACCTTACTAACTAAATTTATAAGAAAATTTAAAAGTTTTTGTTAGTTTGGTCAAGAAGTTCTGAATCTTTGGGTTGTTGTCAAGTACAATTTTTGTAAAAAAAGAAAAACTCATACTTAGTTCATAGCTTTAAAAGATTTTGATTTTGCTTATCCAATGATATTTTTTCTGAAGAATGAAAATGTATTTTTTGTCTACCGAAATATAAATTTCTGGGTCGCAGACTTTGAATTCTTCAGAACATTTTTGTAAGCCTACTTCTCAGCTTAGCTTAAGATCTGTAGCCAAAGTTCAAGAGATTTCTGTGACACCATGCGCTGTGGTTTATGCTCTGAAAATCCAAACCAAGATCCTTTTGAGCTCAAGATCAAAAGTTAATAGCTAAAAGACATCTCCCAGCCAGTTAGCCAGATATTCGGAGTGCACCTCTGTAAATCGGTTGTTCGCATTGATTTAGCTGTTGCGTAAGAAGCCAGAGCCGCCTTTTGGCCAACTCTTTGGCTGGGTCTGCGTCTACGGTCTAGCCTGGCATACTTTGCACTGGCTAATGCTAATGTCAATGTGGGCATAAATAAATAATTACACAGCGCAGCAGAAGCCACCAGCAATGGACGAAGTGGCGAACCAGTTGCTGCGGTTAAATGTCAGTGGTTCTGGTCATGTCGCGATCCCAGCTACTGCGATTTTGTGGAAAACTGACGTTTGGACTGGGAATCGCCAGTTGGCCGGTGTGCTGGCATGAGCTGCCCATTTCATGGTCAAGGATGGCCAACACTTTGCTCCGGTTTGGCGGCCTAAACTGGTTCGAGTGGTCAGGAAGGCACGAGACTTAACTGGAGCACATGGCATGGGACCATGAATCCATGGATTGACCTTAAGCCAGTACAGACACCAGTACACCAGTTGTGAGTGGCCCCATCTGTGCTAATCCGTCTGGGTATCCGAGCATTGTTGGGCTCAGTTTACTACTAATGTGATTTATGCAAATTGACGAGCGTCTTAAATGGCAGAGGGATCGATCTGCAGCACGTGGGCGTCGTCGATTATGGCTCATGGCTAATTAATGCAAATCGCGGCCAAGACATTTGATATGAGGGTGTGGGTCTTCGGAAACTCCCCCCATATGCAAATTTGTCACACTAATGTTTTGACATATAGTTAAACTAAGCGCTTTACCTTTATTATCGTGTAATTACCAACACATCTCAGATTTTTCCCAAGATTATCAACAGTTTTTCGCTTATTAGATTAGAAGGACAATTTAATGTATAAGCACGAATTAACCACATTTCCAGCTTGTTAAATCAAAAACTATTTGCACGACTACATCGATGAACAAGCTGAATATGGATAGAATAGCCAAATCCTTATAGTTCATAAACTGTTTGCGGCGTAATTGTAAACTTTGCGTTGTTGTCAAGCCGAAATACGCAGCACTGCATGTTAGGGTAATAACTAGTTTACTGATAAAAACGCAAAATCTCTTAGCTCGGGTCATGTGTTGATAACGTACGGATTCCCTCCAACCTCCGTTTACGGGCTGCCACATTGACCAATTGATCCAGAGCATCTCGAAGTGGGTCCTGAATCGGGTCTTCCAACTGTCAAGGAAGCGTACGTCTCCAGGACGATAGATCAGGGATGATGTCAATAAAAACCTATCTTCTTTCACCCATGTTTGGACCATAAAGACCTGCGACTCCCGGGTTTGCATGTCGTTCACCTCTATGCGGCGTAAAAACCAACTTGGAAAACGTCCGGCATTGTTGTGGTAAACCAACACTTCCGTGGGTATACGGATGTCTCGAGAGCGTATCCATAGATATATTGAGGTATTTTGCTTGATAAATATGTGCCCAGGATCTTGGAAAACAGTGATCTTTCGCTTCGTTCCAAATGTGCTATACAATGCCAGCTTAACTGATGCGGTGGTTCCGGCATTTAAACGTCCTCCGGTTTTCAAAGAGATCACAAAATCATGTAGCTCTCTTTTAGATTTATCCTCCGTTTCGAAATTAGGATATAAAATCGTCTTATTGTGAAGGCTATTTCGGTATATGTATAAACACACTATCAACAGCAGTATAATTGAAAAGGTAACCGAATAAAATACGACAACGTAAATATTGATCTGTGCTTCTCTATATGCTTTAACTGGAACCTGATGAGGGGGAATATAGTACAAATAGTTGGTGTACGTTCCCAGGACAGAGCACTGGCAGCGCCCCCCCCTCTTGACACTCAGATCCATGGTTGGGTAACAGCCGTGCTGTAACCATCGTTGCTCTGTCCCCGGATAGTTATATGCCCAGGTATCACAGCTACGGATTTGAAATATAAATGTAAAACTTGCGGGTCCATCGTCTATGGGTGTGTTGGCGCTATGTATAATCGATGTATTAGAGGCAATCCGCAATGCCATATATGCCCGTCGTTTCTTATGACAGTTATTTCGCAAAAGCAGTGTTTTGTGCTTGTGCCCATGGACCCGACACTTTGAAGCGGAAATCTCTCGGAACAGAGGCTTGTACCTTATTTTCAGAATCACTTGCAACTCGTGAGTGTTTCTAGTGAAGTGCACAGCCAGTAATGTGTGCTGCTTCAGCACTACCCGGTACATACGTATGTCTTGAAAAGTATGAAGGGTACCCTCTTTCATGGCATTAACATAAAGTCCAGCATGGGTAATAGTATCCCCATCGGTCGCTCGAAATTTCGATGACCTGCTCTGAATAGGTCCAAGCGCCATCGTCTTGAAGATAATTTGACTATCGATGAGCGGTATCTGAGCCGTAAATTGATCCACTTTTTCAAAAATGCGAACAGAAACTACAAGAGCACAGGGTCGTTTTTCAGCTGGATACCACCAATGCAGGTTTTGCTCAGTAGACACCACCTTAATACACACTCGACCACTAGTTTTACCCAGAACTTCCTTAATAACGGCTGGTGTTAAGTAAACAACGTGATTTTGATCACCCGATTTGATTTTGGTAATTTTTTTTGGAAAAGTGTCAAAGCAATGAATTGTCACTGTAACGGCGTCTTTTTTACCAAGAAGATTTGCTTCGTGTATATCACGTTTAGGAAAACTAAAATGACTATGTAGGCGATCCTTTTCCGAGGTAGAGTTCAATAGTGCAATCCATGGAAATATGGTTATTCCGCTGCCCAATGTTTGAAGATCACTAATCACTCCTTCATTTAGATCATGGTTCTGATGATAGGTAAGCCATGGAGGTTGATAACTGCTTTTGTACAACCTTTTCATAACTTCATAGATCTCCAAACAAGCAAGATACAAGTTGGCAAATGGCTTTTCTTTAAGAAAGGATACATTATGGTCTAGGTATATTTCTCGTATGTTATTGTTCATTTTGTTAACCACCATTGCTAGTAATACTTCCGACTTTTGATCTGCGGGATAAAAACGATAAGCTAATGTTAAGGTAAGGTTAGCCAGTCTTGCGAGGGAGCTCCATGATTGAGGTTGAATCGCAGTAAAGTTCCTTAGAAGAATTATTCCAGATTCTGCTTTGGATAAGTGAGATGCTCCAGATTGAATGACTTGCAAATACCGATGTAAGGGTCCTTCACTCAGAAGTTGAGGGATATTGTGAGGAATATTTTTCAGGGCAGCGACTTTAACCTTTATCCAAGTGGTGTGACAAGACCAGAAAACATCGCATACTAACACCTTAATAAAATTTGTAACAGGTAAGTACACCTCGCAGTTGCAATCCAGGCAGTTATTGAGAAGTACCGAACCAGCGTAATACCAGTACTCAATTGGGCTATTCGATGACACAAAGTTTCGACAACAGGGATAAAACGGAGTGAGTGCCTCGTGACCTTCCTTCGGATTCACCGAACATGTCCCACCAGTGGGAGCCGGGTTCTTAACCAGGATCTTACCATGCCAACCGTACCGCCCATCTGCCGATGAAACAAGTAGCTCAACGCGCATCTCATTCGATGAAGTTCGTATGTCCAGTATCAACTCCTTGTTGGTAAGTATAAACTGACCATCAACATACCATTTGTATCTTATGATTTGACTTCCGCAATTAGTGCATCTTGCATCAAGATGCACCTTCGAATCCGGAATGAAGAAATCTCCTCGACAATTTCTTACACATTGTATCGTTACCTGTAGCATGTTATCATTTACAATTGTAATAATTTGTTTTTTTTGCGAAGAAATACTAGGATCATTATCTCTAGTCACTTTCAAACGGAATATATATCTGAAACCAGTTTCTAAAGAATTTGCAGGAATCGAAAACGCCGCAACTAAAGAAGAATAAAAGTATAAAAGTATATAACAAGCCTTTCTGGAAACCTCTCACCCGACGATATATTTTGATGGCAAAATGGATTGCGACTGTCCTCAAGCGAATAGCAGTTCCAATTGTAGGAAGAAAACTGAACATCCTTACTTCTCTTGGAGAAGTCGTAGCTCGTTGAGCCGTCCATCCACAGAATTTCACTTCGCAAGGCACTCCTTGTTTTACCTCCAATAATTATGGCCTCCACCTGACCCATTATCAGTTTTATATAACAGCGGGAAGAGAAATAGAATCCATTAAGCATTCCCTTGACTTGTAATACATAAAAATTGCGCCACAATTCATGAGATGGGGAAAACCGCAATGTAAATGGCCGAATACTTAAATGTGGGCTTTCTGTATTATATGATAAAAACTGTGCTGTGGAAATAAAGGATAGAAAAGATGATGTAGTAAGCTAACTACTCACAAAACCCAACCGGATCCTTCAGGGACCAATTATAAGTAGTCCTGATTGTTAGATTGCAGGTCTCCAGAAATAGAGCATTTATGAAAAGTCCACGGGTGATCAGTACTTGTATTGGGGACTGGGGATCTGAGCACTTTGGCATTGTCAAATGCGGATGGCAACGCTGGTGATTCACTTTAATGGGCACAATTTCCCTTACTTCGGAAATCCGTGAAGATGATTTCGTTCGACCAAGAAGCTTGAGAATCCTATCGCTTTTCGACCAAAATGTTGCAGTTAAATTGGCAAAGTATCCCTCCTCATAAACAGGTTTTGTTTTCGTTCTAATTGCATACAACGAAAGCTCTCTACTGATTGATGAGGTTTTCTTAAACTTGGGCGGCATCTCTTTGGGCACATTTCCGATCTCGAAAAAAGCCAACAGGTAGCTTGGAGTACTCAGATGTATTGTTATTGCAGACTTAACTGGGAGATTTTCCATGGTTATAACAACATTGGTTTGTAGTCCGTAGGGCATATATTCATTACAATACACCTTCATATTGGCCTCTTTTAGTTCACTTGTTTCAGCAAACTGACGGGTCAAATAATATAGCAAAAGTACAAGTATTTTTTTATTTGTCGACATATATTCATTTTTACTTTAAAAATGATAGTAATCTCAATGATGATTTAGCTTCGTTATCAAAAAACACATTTTAATGACTAAACTTTCATTGGGCATATTAATTCTATACAAGACATTAAATATCTAAACTATATTTTAGTACTGACTAAGTTTTCTTTCCCACAGTTGGATGTATAACCATAAAGAATTGGTATGTAATGCTCATCAACTGTGAAACATTGACATTTATTATTAAAATACACCAACATAATGTCGAACTTACTGTCACGGCAGCTAAGGAAATAAATATATATATATATAAATATACATGTTGACCATGTAGATGTAATCCTCGTAGGAGCGCTATGCTCCCATTTTCTTCTGCTTTTTGACTGCTGACATTTTCCACACTTAACTTTAACTGGTTTCTGGCATTCAACGGCAACTAGTTTTATAGCCGCTAAAAGGACGTTCCCATTTTTATAATTTGACCGCTGAATAATTTATGTTCTAATTGTTTTGTAACTCAACTGTTAAGCAATTGGTGGTTGAAACTCACACATTTTGAGACTGTCAGTAGCTGATTAATAATTTAGGTGTGGTTGCCTTTTGCCTTCCGGGTGTCATCGTTTTTGTTGAAAAATATGATGTAACAAATACAATATAAAGTATAAATTATCGCATTCCACGCGCCGATTCAAACGAAACTTTATCATTGGTCTTTATTACAAGTTAAATCTGGTGGTCAACAATTTATCAAAGCGCAGGCAATAAGTTTTAATACACAAAACCTAGCGAATTCAAAGCTAACACAAATTCTCAATGAATATTTAAATACTAAACTTAAATAAATTCGAGCCAATTAATAAAACGACAAATATTCAACGACTCGTTTATGCAAATCAGCTAATAAAGATCTTTTGTCTGGTCCATAGGCAGATCTTATTTAACGCATTCCTCAAAGCAGCGACTTCAGAATCGGACCCATAAAATACACGAATTGCCAGCCTTTGGACATTTATAGTTCCAGATGTGGGCAAAGTTGTGTTTGTGTTTTGAATAGAAACCAAATTTGTTTGGGTTAGTCGCGGATTGCCTATTGATCCCAATTTGTTTTGTTCTCAGCTATCTCAGCCATAAGAATGCTAATTTGGACAGTTAAATAAATGGTATTCACGTTTTAGGGTGCACATAAAAGGTTCCAATTAATAAAACGAAAACCTGAGTTGAGTGGCACGTGACTTTTGCTGACTAGTGTAGAAATACAATTACATAGCTATTGTTGCACTCGTTGACTGCTGTCAAATCGCACGCGAAATGTGAAGGCCGGCGATGCAATCGAGATGACTTCCCCCAAAGCCCCTTCTCCACGGAGATATCTTCTCCACACAACCAACTCCAACTTCATTCATATTTATTCATGTGCCCGGGTCTCAGTCGCCCATTCATGCTTTATTCACCTCAATTTCAGATGGAAACAATAAATTATATTCGACACAATTGAGCTGAGGTAAACAGAAATATATGCATACTTCGCCTGCCATTTTATTGATTACCTAAATGAGAAAAATCTTAAAAGGTAGTTAATAATTTTCGTGCTAGCTTAGTTGGTGAATTGCCTATAGAAAGCTAATTAATTCGTAGTTTTGTAGGAGTGATGTAAGCCCAAGTGGGTGGAAAATAATGGAAAATGTAAATCTCAATTAATTTGTTTACTGGCTCCTCGAATTTCACTACTGAATACACAATATTTCCATAATCGAAATTAGCATTTATATCTTCATATGGTTAAACACGAATAGACACTTAACGCCCCCAGCTGTGTGTTTGCATGTTTAGCCAATCGTTTTGTCGGCTACTCTCTGCTCTAAATTATATTAACAAAAGATACGCGAATTATAATAAAAACCAATCTAAATTCTAAACGGAAATTGTCAAACTCTCTGGCCCAAAAGTTTTTAGCTGGCCACTGACCGAATACAATCAATTTTATGGACCGAAATTTGATGCTTATGCAAAATGGGCTGGTTTGGATTCAAAGTTGGTTATAAAACGATCAGTTAGCCGCGGAAGCTGTTACAGTTCCGTCGGACAGACCATCGTTGAAAGTTGCCAAAAAGCAAAATGTCTTTGAAGCTGGTAAACTTGATTGAAATCCCTTAGAAAGTGATGTGTTTCTAACTCAGAGTGTGCTTCCAGTTATCCTGCCTTTTTGTGCTCGTCTTGGCTGCCATTGCCTGTGAAGGACAGACCCAGTACAATCCCTACCTCAGGAACCCATACTACCGGGATCTGTACTACCGGAATCGCGATCTGTACAACCTGCGTCGCTACTACGATGGATTCTACAAGAAATACAATCCCTACATTGCCGCTGCCCAGGCCAGAATTGTGGAGCAGAAGAACGATGTGAACTACGGTCCGGGTTCCTATGCCTACAGCTATGAGACGGAGAATGGCATTCACGGCGAGGAGAAGGGTGCTCCGGTGAATATCGGTGGCCAGCAGCAGGAGGAGCAAGTGGAGGGAGCCTACTCCTTCATCACACCCGAGGGTCTTCGCGTGGGAGTCAAATACCTGGCCGATGCCAATGGTTTCCGTCCCGTGATCACTTGTGAGTATCTGCAAAAAAATCCTTTAAATATTTTTAGTATTACCATCAACTCCTTTTAGATGACGGCGTGAACTCCGCCTTTTATGCCAGTCAGCCAGCCGCAGCCAACGTGGTTCATACCAAGCATTGAAATTGATTTTTAACTGCTTAGTTAAGTGAAAAACGTGTGTTCAGCCTTCCTAAATTAATATAAATAAATAACACAATTATAAAACATAAAGACTACTACCTAAGGTTTTTGGTTACTGGAAGGCAGCCATTTTTTCTTAAATTTATTGATTATAGACAACCAAGCTCGCTGGCTTGTTAACGCCTTAAAAGCTCTGTCTATTTACTACTCAGCTTAAAAGTGTGCTGCGATTAGTAGCTAAAATTAAAAAGAAACAAATATTTAAGTGAGAGTTTAAAAGTCTCAGAACTTGATTTGAATTATGTATGAGTAAGTGGCATTTCATTGCTTCCGGCCGAGCCATGGCATACTTCAAACTCATGAAACCATTGAAAAAATGTAATCTCTTTTGGCAAATACAAAAAACTAGTGATTATTCAAAACTAATGTAGTAGCCACAAACCCTAATCTCGTATATAATATTGCTACGGAATCATTGTAGCAAGGTCAGACTTAAAAACAGCTTTCATAAAATTGGGTCAATTCCCGCTTATCAGAAATGTGTATACCAAATGTATTCGGCGCCTACAGACAATACGTACTTAGAATGAGACTTGTTTTTGTTCGCCTTAGTTGGTTCAACAAACCCATTAATTTTAAAACACTGCCCGCATATTGTGTATTGAAAAAGTTGAATACAATTTGGCAAAATATCAGGCACTTGCATTATTTACTGCGTATTGGCCTTTGAAACAAATTGTGCCCCGCTCAACTCAAGGGCTTGGGGTGATCTTCAAATCAAAATTCTTGGTAATTTATAACAAATTTTTAGTAGGTTTTATTTCGATATATCATATAACAAATTAATTATCTTATGCATAGCAACATCGTCAAATTCGACAAGTTCGACGGATAAATAAATACGAAATAACATAGAAGCGGACTATATATACGAATATTCTCCGGTTGCAATTCGATGCTGACATTCTTCACCTTCCATTTTTCCTTTTCCTTTTTTTGTTAATTTTTTTTTTGCGGTATTGCGATGGCTTGTTATAGTGTTTGCCCGTTGATCACTCGGCAAATGCATGGGGGGAATGGAATTGGGTGTTGGAGTGTGGATTCTGGATTCTGGATGGACTAGGACTGTTTCTGGGGCTTGGGTAGCGGGACTATATGGCTGTGGATGAGGCGAGCTCGCAGTTGGCACTTAGTGATGTCTGCCTGCCTTCCGCCGGCGCTCCATCTCGGCCAGCTCCTCGCGCTCCTCCTGCTCGGCGAGCTCCACCTCGTGCTCCAGCATGCGGATCTGGTCGCCCAGCTCCTTGGGCATGCGCTCCACATGGATCGCCTTGATCTGGGCCTTGATATCCTTGGTCATGTGGTTGATGCGGAAGCCGCGATGGTCGAACTGGGCTCCGCCGTTGGCCTTGTGCTGCTCCTCCACGTACTTGAGGGCACGGGCGATGGCGTCGGGAATCGGATGGATGTGGTCGCCTTCGGGCATGAAGCCGCCATTGTTGGAGGCGTAGTTCACGCGGTACAGCTTGCCATCGTCGCCGGTGTACTCATAGTAGCCCTTGGCATGGGTTCCTCCGGTGTGATGCAGCTTAGCCTGCTCCTCGCCATAGATTCCGTTCTCGGTCAGGTAACTGTTTGGGAAAAAACAGGTGTTTAATCGTGAATCGTTCTTAAATTTTGACACTTATTAGGCAACAACATTTTTGCTCAAAAATAAATAAAAACCCCAAACGAGTCATTCCTTTCTGAAGTTAATTATGCTAGTTGGCGAATTCCTTTTTCAAATTTAAACTTACGAATGATCGTATTTGTCCTGCTTGCGGACCTCTTCCTTGTGCAGAATCTTGTGGCGACCCTCGTCATCGTAGTTGAACAGGATGTTTCGGGGCGTGGTGGTGGTCGTGGTGGTTGTCGTCGTCGTCCTCTTGGTGGTGGTAGTGGGTTTCTTTGTGGTCGTGCTCTGCGAGTGTTGTTGTGGGTGTTGTGATCATTGGCTTGTATTCTGGTCTGGCGTGTGGGCATGCGTGTTGTGTGGCATGGTGGTTTTTGGTGGTAAGGGATTTGGGGGTCATGCAGGATACCGTTTGGTGGGGGTGTCATGTAGCGCGAGATGTTTATTTTGATTGCAGAGCCGAAAAACATTTGCATTTTTTGCTTGGATAGTTTGATGAAAGCTGGGGGTGTTTCGGGAATTTTTGGATTTTGTTGGGGAAATGTTTCGCTGTGTTTGCCGGATGTTGGAATTCGTGGGGATCTTGGGGTGTCTTAGTGCTGTGTGCTCGGTTGGTGATGAGGTTCATGATCGGGAAAGCCGTACTCCAAGGGAATTTCCGGCACGTTAAACTCGGCGTTACTTACTGTGTACAGGTCGTGGCTACAAAGCGAATAAATACATCGAATAAAACAAAGTTCTTTTACAATTGCGGCTGAGTTACTCACTTGTAGGGCCTGTCGTCATGGATATAGGGAAGATTTAATCCGGCATAGGGTCCATAGCCACCATCATAGGGATTGGGAATGTGATGGTAGACTCCAAGCTCACGCTGATCGTCCACATGTCTATAGGGCTGTGGCATGTGGTGATAGCGACCTTTAGGACAACAATATAAAACTAAGGTTAGTGGGCTGCCTACTTAACATGACTTCTTTCTGTTCGAGTGTTTTTGGTGAGTGACTTGCGTTAAAGTTTTGAAACTATTCAAGTTATACATATCCAACATTAGATATTTACAGAATTAATTAGTTTCTCATTTTGTGTTTGTACAAAGGTGGCAGTTGAGTCTAAAAATATTTAAATTTAGTGCTAAACTACAGTTGTTAAACTACAGTTAAGTTGGAATACCCAATTATAAGGTTTTTTTTTTTAATGGAAATTTTGGACTGCTTTTTGTGTGAAATGAGTTCGGATTTGTGTGATTCTGTGAGGGTAATGTGACTTTTCTGCCTTCTTTTCAGTTGTTTACCTAAACTGTCTTGCGAACCACTCCGTCCTATAGTATAAGTACAAAAGATATAAGTTTAATATAAGATTGTTCAATTCGGAGTTGATTTTTGGTTAGTTCTGGAAGCTCAGCTTAAGGCCTGCATATCTCGATTTTTTTTTACAATTTCGCTAATTTAAGACGTCAGCCTTGAGCTTGAACTTATTTGAGAGTCAAGAGATTATTCGTATAAGTAAGTGTGCGTTATCGATTTCATCGACTATACAAATATACATGTATTGCAGAGTATGTATGTTAGTATCTGGGCAAGTCTGGCTTGCTTTTTGATCGATTCACAGGGCTGCGGGGTTAGTGGGCGGCGGCAACGGCATGCAGTCAGTGGGCGTGGCAGTAGGCACGATATTTTTATGCTTGGCTCACAAAAAAAATACCTTCGTTCTGAGCATTCGCATGGTAACGTCCATCGTCGCTGGGGCGATACTTTCCATCGCTAGAGGATTGCTGTGGAACCGTATACTTGCCATTGTTGTCCGGAACCGGACTGGTGTGGCAGACAGCAAAGAGGGCCTGCAAAAGCAAAGAGGATGTGATTTTATTAACCGATTTGTTTAAACCTCATTAAACGCGACAGGAAGTGGAACAGTTGAATGCACTCGGTCTCTAAGCAGTTGTGTTTTGAATTTATCTGCGGATGCTGCTAGCGATTCAACGCTTGAGAAAAGGTGCAGCAGACGAAAAAAATTTTATTGTGCTAAAACTTGCTCGGAAACAAAGCAGCACAAGGTAATAAAATTAATTTGGATTTTACTTCTTTTTTTCTGACACACTTGAGTTACACTTGGGGAACACAAAACACTTTGAGCACTGATCAGGATGCACATCCTTTTCCACTACTCACCACGACCAGGGTGAAGCTCAGCATGGACTTGGTGAACATGATTGCTTTGATTATCCTTTGGGGGAGGTATCCTTTGACTGCTTGTCTGGCTGACTGGGTAATCCTGCTCGAAAGGCGACTGCAACAGGAATGTTTGGTTTCCCTTCCAGTACGCCAGGTTTATATAGAAATATGCCAGGTTCGCAGTCGCGGCGCTGCTCTCAACGCATCGTCGCGCCTAAAATTCTCCGAGAGAAGATTCGTCGGTTCATTTCGGTTCATCAGCTAAATTTCTTGAAGAGAAATACCCCGGGCTGCTCCCTTTTGATTTTTAGACACATGATGATGATGCCGAATTCTTCTTGTCTCACCTTTTTTGTGTTTTGTTCTCTCTACTTCTCCAACTTTAATCGCTCTCCGTAACAATAATTTATATACCATATCAATGTCACAAGTAAATGTAATTACATTTATTACCAATTAAGCAATTTGTATTATTTGGCAAATGTCGCTGTATCGAGTTCATCGCCCACTATACCGATCGTTTCTGAGCTAAGGATACGGGGCTTTCGGTGACACGTCATCGGGTTGTTTACTCTAGTTGTAAAAACAGAAATTCCCAGGTTTTTAAAAAATTGTCATCGAAATTCGGCCGAACAATAAGAGCGAATCATTTTGGAACCATTTTATTTAGCTGAGGTGAAGTTCAGGTTAGAGCAGACGTCACCAAAGTAAGATTAACATTTTAAAATAATGTATAGGCAAGTTTTTGGTTTTCTGTGTCATTAATGTCTCCCCAAAGTCAAAAAAGAAAACAAATCGAAAAGAAAACATAAACTAAACCATTTAAAACAACATAAATAGAGGCAAAGTCATGACGTATACTTAATTTATACATAACAAGGGTGTGTACCTATAAATGGCAATGTTATGGAAGATTTTATTAAGAAACTATATTACTTTCAATACATTTAATTTTGTATCTTGACGAATATAGCTACATATACACCGTGTATGTATTTATATATTTCTTAGAGTCGTATACTTAATATTTTATATTCTTTATTTGACAATTCATAGCAAGGAAGGAATAATCAAAGTATACCTATATATTACTTCCCCAATCCCAATTCACAGCCGAAGTTAACTAGTTGTGGCAACCGATGACAACATCACATCGCAGATTCGCATCCCAACTACCTGGAGGCACTCGGAAGCGCCATAAAAGTGCCGTAATGAAATCATAAATTACGCTCCAGCGGAAATACAGCAAAAAACTGTACAAACAATATAAATAAAATAAAATAAGAAACAATTCAGACAATGCGCACGCCAGCCGCAATGCAAAATGCATTAATATCGAAGCTGAAGATCGAGATGGAGATGAGCTCGAGATTGAGCTTGAAGATGAGGATGAGGATGGGTTTCGATCTGAGGTTGGGTTTTGGGGCTGACAACATAACCGGAATCGGATGGAACCGGCAAAAAGAAAAATGTTGTCAAAAGCGAATTTAATTGTTTGTAGCAAACGTTGACACCGAGGCGCTGACAGTGATGGCTTGGGGATCGGCTTGGAATGTGTCCTTAACGGTTCAGTGTCTGAAGATGCTGCCAAGATTATAGTCACTACCCAGCAAAAATGAGCTTAATCTGATCTTAATCTCTTACAAAAAAGACTACTTAAAACATAAAGTTTAAATCGATATATTTGATTTTATAAAAACGATCATTCTAAGCAAAATGAAAATCGAACTAAAAGTGGTTATATCTACAATAACTCTGCCTAAGACTTACAAAATCTTTATATGCGTAAGAATTATTTTTACGTTTATTTCAATACGTAATTTGGAACTCTGCTGAAATATAATTATCGATATTACAAATCAATAATTTGTTTATTTTTCCACTCAAAATATATGTCATTAAACCAATCACAATAGGATTGCCCTACATTAACTGTAGTTTAAATAAGTATCGTAAAGATTTCATTAAACTTTGAAAAAAGGTTTGCCATTGGGTACATCAACTTATACCTGTTTTTTCTGACACTATTTACAATTTCAAAGTAAGCCCACTTTTGTCAGCAAAAAGACTTTTGTGATTTGTATAAGGAAGAGTACTTAAATTTCGGCTTTCTTTCTTTCACAAATCCGAAAATTCGACATAACTTCGTTTATTAAAAATTCTTATTGGTAATAGTAAGGAACTGGTACGATTTGTATAGCACCCTAACTTCAGTTAAGTAATAAAAACCTTTTAAAGGTTAAAATACTATTATTTATTTGAATATTTTAATAGAAGTAGTTTAGGTTCCAGTCCGATTGCTTTCAGTGCATAGCCGCATGGAGAATGATTGCCGGTGCACATTGGCGGGCATATGCCGATTAATAATGGCCATCCACATAAACTGTGATTAAAACGCCGCATCTTCGGACTGCGACTGCCGAGTATCCAAGCGCCGATGCTGGATACCGAGTGCCGTGCCGGGTATCGATACTGCGTCACAGTCACTGCACTCCAAAGGTCGTACGCTGAACCCAGCTGCGATCTGGAGACCAAGACGAGATCCCAGTGCAGCTCAGCACGGAGGCGACATCGACGATCACCCAGTGCAGAGCAGAACAGAGCAGAGCCATACAGATTGGTGTGTGAATCACGGCGCGTGCTGTTATTGTTGCTCTCCGAGGAGTTGGCTCTCGAATTCGGCTCTTGGCGATATCTATATGAGGGCATTCATTACAGTCACAAGTACTTAATAAATATTCAAATAAGATGACTTTTTAATCAATTACAAGTTCGATTTGAGATTTTCAGACGCTTGCCACTTGATTTGCATGCTATTCGCAATCAGATATCAGATCTTCACACCGCAGGAGTGCTGCTGGTGTTATTTTATTAATCCAACGCAGCATATACTATACACCATACTGAGTACACTTGACATTGACCTTGAGCCGCAAGCTGGCCAAATCTGGCACTTTCTTCGATGCGTCACATGCCATAACACGCCATCACATGCCATATCTCGCGGCCCAGGTAGGATCGCTTCGGTCAGATTTTAATCTGGCCGGCCGGTCAAGTATTTACGATCCATATCCAATGTCAGAACAAGTTTGTTTGGGTTTATTTGGTATCAGTGACTTTATTGACAAGGCTTCACCTCTGAGAAATGTCGCAAATAAATCATTAATCTGCTTAAAACTATTTCTGTGGCCCCGAGTTCCGAATTCCAGGAAGTGCTGAATTGTTATTACTTAACATGTCACCGCACCCCAAAAAGTGTCGCCGACTAGACGGGAAGAAGGATTTTCCCACAGACGAGGGCCAGGAAGATCAGCAGCATTGGCAGCCGGAAATCCGATGAGAGAAAGCCCGCGGAATTGCACAGTGATCCACGGCAAAAGCATTGTTCTGCTCTATACTTGCTAAAGCAGCCCTCCGGCAAATCAACTAATACATAATGATCAACCCAAACTTTTTCGACATACTTTTGTTTTTTTTCTAGCTGTTCGCCACAGCCCCTCCGGGTCGTTTTCCACGGCTTTCCGTTAACCATATGAAACATCGCTGTCATCGAGCAGACCGTTGAGTTCGGACACTCTTCCACATGTCCTATGGAATTCCAGGAGGAGCCGCACGAGGTATCGGTGTCGTTGCACACGTAGCATCTGAGAACTTCGCCAGATGCCGGACCTGCGATCATCCAGAGCCCGAACCAAACCCAGATCCACGCCATGCTGACCCAGCTTAGCCTTAGCCTCAGTGGGAGCATAGTTCCGCAGCCCATGATATCCGGACGCACACTACCCGGCGAGCTTCCGAAGTTGGAAGAGCACGATAAATGTGAGTCTCGTGGCAGAGTTTCGTATTTTCGAATTAAAGTGATTAAGCCGCGGGGCACTACCATGTGTCACTAAGTCAAACCCTTGTTTACTACAGCTGATATGCAAGCGAAATCCGAATTTATCTCAACCGACATTGCTTTCCCTTGTGATTGGAGGGCGTTTTCCATATCTTTCAGGGCTGTGAACTGGAGCATTATGCTAGTGGAGCATATTTGTAATTTTCAGCGGCTATTGTAGTTATCGCGGGGCCAGCGTAGTTCCAAAAAAATACATATGATATTTGCAGCTAAGTTTTATTTATAATAATATTTTTAAAGAGAGAAGCTAATCATTTAAATCAAAAATCATTTGTACCATTAAATAATAAGCAGGGTTATCTATACTAGCCTTTTGTCTATGTATAATGAAGGTATATTTGTTTATATTAAGAAATTATAATTTTTGGTGCCTGGAAGCTCTCAAAAAACATTTAAGTTTTAATCATAAGGCTGCCTATTTAAATCTTAAGTACTTATTTAAATGAAACCCCTTTTCTTAGTTCATAAAGGCGTAAGGCACGGACTAACTGACATTTTCAAACAGATTACAATATGAAATTACGTTATTTCCTTGGCATTCCTGTTTGGGATCAGGAGACCTCTCCGCCCGGCTCCGCATATGATTTACGGGTATCTTCACCTCCCAATTCTTCTGAGAGTCTTTAGCATTTGGCGCAAAACAATTGAAATCTTTATAGGCTGTGCATTCCGACAATGCCTATAAATTAGTCTCATTTCGCGTGGGCTATCGCACACATTTCGCTGTCAATGCTTCGCGAATCATTTTTCTCCTCTGAATTTGGCGTTTTTTTTGTTTCCAGAATTTTGAAGTTAAATTTGTTCACCCGGTTTAGCTGCCAGAGATTTGTTTAATTATCATTTGCTCTCTTTTCGGTTTAATTAGTACACTTTGAGGCATCGCATTGTTAGCGGCTGTGAGCGAATAAATCAGAGTTGCACGTCTATAAATATTGGTAACTGCTGAAGCCAGTTTAGCCACCGAATGCCAAAATAGATGGATCGCTTTTGGTAGCAGGCGGCGCATTCACATTTTAATCGACTCCATTAAATACAAGCGATTTATGCCATCAATTGCTGGCATTTGTTTTACCCAACAAATTCATTTACAAAACGAAATTAAACTTGGCAACTGGGGCAGGGGTTCAAACAATGAAACAAATTGCCAATCACAATGACTGGTAATTAGATTCGAGCTGAATACCTAAGCCTGCGAGTTGGGCGAGTTCAAAGCTCCGAAATTATTGATCAATCTTATATCTCACCCCTCTTGGAGGTGCTAAATAAAATAAATTTCAAAGCAATTCCATTTCGGCTCTTGTAAGGAGAAGATAAAATAAATTGTAATAAAAAGGAAAAATCGCGTATTAATAAATTTGCAGCCTGACAAGTGCGAATAAGAGAAATGTGTTTTGATTTCACCAGTGCCGGGTGATGAGATCAGCGCAATGGAATTTCGATGTTATTAAGCAAAGCGAAGCGAACTTCCACAGAACTCCATAGGTCCAGCAGGCTGAGATTGGGTTTATCTTGGTTTGGATGGACCGCGGAATTGTCGTTAAATTTAAATATATATTACTGCAGGCGCCGTCTGCTGGCAACAAAGTATGCGGCTAAAATCAATTTATACGACCATATATAGTTGCCAATTGTCGGCTGTAAGTGGCGATAATTTGCGCACTCGCATAAATTGCATTGCGAAGGACGATGGACGATCTGTGAAAAAGTGGTTGTTGGGTGGGGAGTGTTCAAACGAGATTAATTAATTGCCCGCAAAACACCAAATTACGCACCATATTGTTGACTACCCACTGCCAGGGGCAGTCTCTTTTTATTGATTTCAGATGAATAATTTAAAATCTGGAAACAATTCCCAAACCAGACTCATCGATTCAGCGAGAGAGGGGCGAAATGCGAACCTGTTAGCTTATCAACAAGTTACAATTATAATAGAATTTTTAATTCCCCCACCGATGATCCATCGATTGTCTGGAATCGATTAAGTGAGAAAACTGGGTTTCTTAAACCCATGAATCATGGCATATCTATTTTGGTTTAGTCACTTCCTTACCAAGATCGAATAATCCAAATATGCACAAAGTTCGAGGCAAGAGTTCAAGCCAAAGAACCTTGTTTTGTGGGAGTGATTGCTTTCGATTTCGATTGCGATTTTTCACATCTTTTGAATACTCTAGAGATGTTTTGATCACCGAAATCATCGGTTCTGACAAATTGATTAATGAATATCGAATCGGCTGGGCTGACCGATCTGCCAGCTTGATTGATTGACAGCTATTATTGTTATTAATGCTCATTAAAGCAAAACGGGCGTTCCATTGTTTATGATGCTTTTTAAATTTGATTTAAACGACACTAATTACCTTTGATCCCATTGGATTTGCTGAAATGTAAACAAATTGATACTCGTCTGACCAATCGATCTTCGATGAATGGAGCAGTTGAATGTCTTTTTTTCGGGGGTTATCTCTTCTGGATTCTGGGAGCTGATTCATAAGTCGTTAAATTGAAAGGTGAACGACTGCCGAAAAATTATTAAATGCCGGTTTCTAAGCACGATGTCTTAAAAGCCATTACCTAATTGATTATCAATTTATTTATTTCTTCGCTCAAAAAAATGTAAGATTAAGACATGTCAGACCCAGTTAATATTTACAATTTTCTAAACGACTTGTTAACATTATAGTTTGTCATAATGACCAGTAGGATTGAGTTTTTGAACGGACAGTGGGCCAAACAGTTTAAACGAATTGCCTACCAATCAGAGTATGATCTATGGAACATCTTTTTAGAGGTGTCATTAGTCTTGTGTCGTTGTCGCCCCCAATTTTGATCCGGCTTGCCCCGACTTGCCTCTCAGAAAGGTTAAATGCGACGAGGGGCCGCCAATGCAAACGAGTTGCTAACTAAGTTGCTTCTGAATGACTTGTTAGTATGCAAAGAATTTCTATACGGATGAGCTAATATCGATTCGCCGGCCACCGAATAAGCTCGCGTCCCGCCCATATTTAAACTAATTAAACGATGTCGTCTTGGACATAAACCCCCCGATTTATTGGCTGAACAACAATCGGTAGTGGGGACCAAAACTAAAATGGACAGCGGGTGCATTGGGGTCGAATCAGACGTAACCAAGTAGTCAACATGGACACACGTTTGCTAGCTGCACTCTTGCTGATCGCTGCATCTACAGCTGAGGATCTGGAGGGCCGGGGAGAGGAGGTGCCCAGGCGAGTGAAGCCCGGCCGATATGTGCCCCAGCTGCACGGAGCCACGGGCTGGTACATGCCAGATAACAGCGGAAAGTATCAGCACGATCCCAGGCCCTATGACGGTGGATACGGGGATCGTGGTCAGCCCTACTCCTCTGACCTGCGGGGCATCTTCTCCAAAGCCCAGAAGCAACTGGAGGAAGCCACCGACGGCCTTTCGCTCGGTCCCCGGGATCATCTGCGCTTCATGATCGACTTCAACTTCAACGGCACCGGTTGGCAGATCATCCAGTTCCAGTGGGTGCGCGATGGCGATGAGTCGCATCCCGATGCCAAGCAGTACAGCTACGTGAACGAGAACAGACTGTGGGACTCGGACCAGGCCTATGAGTACCAGGAGCCCAGCGATGGCTGTGAGGTGAGCTGTCAGCCGGAGACTGCAGATGCTGCAGGATACCAGGAGTCACCGGAACCTGTCCAGGAGCCAGCTGGCGATCAGAGCCAGCCAAGTGCCAGTATCAATTCGGAAAAGGATGTAAGCAGTTGGAATCTACTACTAAAACTACTAAGTCCAAGTATCTTATTTGCTTTCAGCCCGCCAAGATTCATGACACCATACATGAGGTCCTGGAGTACATACAACAGCGAATCCTGCCCACATTGAGATAAAACTATAACCTAAATCGATGAAGCATAAATAAATTAATAAATGACGAAAAAGTACATGGCAAACTGGTGTTTTATTTTTGAAAAACAGACTAAAAAAATATTTTGAAAATGTAATGACATAATCACAAAATCATTTGTAAGCATAATTTGTATGTGCTTAAAACATTTAATGACTCATTAAAACCAGCTTTTCAGTTGACCAAACAGAAAATTTAATAAACATCTTTAGCCCCTCATAATGAATAATTTCAACAACTTATGGCACAACAGTTTATTAACCTGCAACCTTTGACATTTACACATGTATGGCCTCATTTATTTCTTCCTCTTGGCATTTTCCTCGAGATAGGCCAACAACTTGGCCACATAGGGCGGTGGGGGCGGAGCCGTGGGCAGGTGGGCGGCACTGGGCACAAAGCCGTTGTCATCGGCAACGTAGTCCACGCGGTAGAGGATTCCGTCGGGTCCGGTATACTCGTAGAAGCCTTTGGACCGCAGCCCATCCTCCTCGGTCAACTTCTCGATGCGTCCACTCTCCTCGCCCAGAATGCCGTTCTCCGTTTCCCAGCTGGGAATAAAAACTCTTAAATGGGTATTATTAGTGAGGGGTAAACACCTACAGATAGTGATAGCCATCCTGCTCCACGTCGTCTTCTTGGCGGATGATGGCCCAGCCGTTGCCCCCTTCGCCGGTGCCACGCCCCTTAGGCAAATTGGCAGTGGGATCGACTATCGCCGGTGGTGGTGCCGTGGTGGGACGTGGCGCCGGTTTGGCTGTGGCCCTTGTCACGGGCGCACCACCACCTCCTGCTCCGTCTCTACCTCCACCACCTCCTCCACCGCCTCCACCACCTCCGCCTCCCTTGTTCTTGTCACCCACATAGCGTCCCTGGTCCCCGGTGTAACCACCGCCTGGACGATCGTCATGCTGGTACTTATTATCCGTATGGACATACCGTCCATCGTTGCCGCCAGAGTATCGACCATCGCTGCCTCCGCGATAGCGTCCATCGTTGCCAGCCGAATAGCGTCCATCATTGCCACCTCGATTAGCCTTTGTGGGCGGAGGACGATAACGCCCATCTCCCTGGGCCAAGACCACCGCCACGCAGGCCAACAGAAGAGCGATCTGCAAGGTACTCCTATGGGTAATCCACTGGCTGTATAATGTATGCATCTAGTAACTCACCGTCACGCGCAGCCACATCGTCGAAGATGAGCAATGAGAAGATCTAGTCGTCGGACCCCGGCTTTATATCTTTCGGATGCACCCCCATCCGCCCACATGGATGGGCGACAATCTGAGTGGCTTGTGTGATGTGTCTAATTGCCACTGCTCCGACCGGTGACTTGACCAATTAAGCGTCTTGGTTTACGAGCCATTTCAATTCATAATTTGTGGGAAAGCAGCTTTCCGATCTGATGGCTCCGCGGGTGAGGCGACTTAATGGAGATGAATTGCTATCTGGGATTACGATGGCCTGCTGTTGGTTTTTCTTGGTGGTACCTTTAAGATATTCGGACATCGGCCAACCAGCTTACAGAAGAATCTGCATCTTTTAGGTACTCAAGATCATTTCTACGGAACAGCCTAAAACTAGGCAATACAATATTGAATGGCTAAGAAAGTCGTCTTAATATTCTTTTAAACAATTTTTTATTATACCCTTGCATTCTAATTTCAGTCAGAAGTTTGCAACGCAGTGATGAAGACATCTACGACCCTATAAAGTATATATATTCTTGATCATCATCATTTTTTGCAGAAATTTGAAAAATCTGAAAAAATTTAAAAATTATACCCATTGTACATGCTAAATACTCAAACCCATTCAATTGTTTTGACTCACTTCTAACAGAACTTAATTGAACTTAGAACTTTGGAGTTCTTATCTGGTAAAATCAGGCATGGTTTACTATCCCCATAATTGTTGTGCATTAATAAATCGTGGTATTCTTAAACTCAAGTGCCTTGCCAATAAAGCCTACGTATACAGTACATATTTAAGTTCACTTAAAGAGGGTCAACATTTAACCTGAAAAATGGAAATTTCCATCATTTTTACAGCGCTTTTCCGATAAGTTATTAAATTTATTAAAAAAATTTATAAATGTTTGCTATAGTACAATAGTTTTGCCTTTTTCTATTTTTATCTAAATTTGTTGATTTCAAAAGGTGGCAGCTTTTGATTGTATACTTTACAAGTGTTTACGTTTACTAGGTGGACCGGTACAAGTATAAAATTCCGTACAAGCTAAATTATTGACTAATCATTGAAATGCTTCTCAACCTCTTGTTGTTGTATGGCCAGTTTTATTGTTTATTCGCACACGTTTTGTAAATGAGTAGAGTAGAGCCAGGTAATCTGAGTGGATATGTGGATGTGGTTGTGGATGCGGAGGTGGAGGTGGGCTCCTAGCCCCGCCGGTTGTTGAACCCACCTGCCGGCTGCTCTTGTGGCGGCGGAGGAGCGGTGGCCAAGTAGGCCAGTGCCTTCTGGATCGCAGGCGGAATGGGTGGCGGCGTGGGCAGGTGGTCACCCTGCGGCTGGAAGCCATTCTCGTCCGCCAGGTAGGTTATCCGAATGGGAATGCCCTCGGGCGAGGTGTACGAGAAGGAGCCCTGCGCGACCTTTTGCGCCAAAGAGCAGACAAGATTGTTGGGATTGTGGGTTAGTTGTGCAGTAAGTTCATTTGGCAAATTTCTAGCCGGCAAATGCCAAGCACGATTTTCAATGCCCTCCTCCAACTAAACAACTAACCAACTACTACTCCTTCACTCACCTGCCCTGCATTGTCGGTGCCTGGGTTCTTGAGGTAGCCCTCCTCCTCGGCGTTGATGCCGTTGCCCGTCTCATACAGATACTTGTAGGAGCCATCGAAGTTGACCTCCTGCTCCTGCCTGACGATGGGAATTGGCTCTCCTTGGGCCTGGGGTCTGCCCTGTGGGATGGCTTGGGCGAGGCTGAGCAGCAGGGCTGCTATTGTCAGCAGCTGCAAGTGTTTGGTGGAGTATTTAGTGGGGAATATCCCATGCAGCTAGGTGTATGTGTATCCTTACTGTGAACTGCATGTCGAACTATTGTATATCCTCTGATCCTTGCTGGACGTCTGCTCCGAGTCCGCCTCGATGGGTTACTGTGGCCAACGGAGGCAGCTCTTTGCATATTTATACCAATTCGCTTGAACTTTACACACATACCCACTCGTGCAGTCGGCGATTTAGGAGTGAGTGTCTAGCATTTTGAAGACCCGCCGATCGGAAGCCTGCCCGGTGGCTGATGCCATCTTCCCATGGAGTGTTCATGAACCGAATCATGAATCGAATCCACCCACAAGTGCACGACCCATCCGATTTGTGCTCGCCGCTGTTGCTGCAATTTGTCGAATGAGTTGTATACATGACAACCTGTCGATGCCACAGTAATAATCGATTGAAAGAAAAAAACTGAACAACAAAATGTTCAAAATAATTAAAAGGTTTTGTTTCTTAATTAATAGCTTACAGTTGTTAAGCCCATACAAAAAAATCTATAGGAACAAAATATTCGGTATTGTAAATATCAATATTTTCTAAGCCAATAGTCTAAAAAAATTGTAATAAAAACAGCGATTAGATTAAAAGCCAGTTATTTTCATTATATTCCAAATTAATAATTTATATAGATACCGATACCATTTTTTTACAATTTAAATGAAATTTCCAAAAACTACAATACTTTTCTGGATTTAAAATAATTTTATAAACTATGGTAACAAATTGAAACCGCCTGGTGAGCATTCCCCTTAGGCATTGGCCACTGTGCACCTGTGTTTAGTGGGGCGTTGGTGGTTCGATCATCTCGCGTCGTGTTGAACATGGCTAGCTTTTGGCATTCATAACTCTTCCTCGATTGCATGCGATGGACAGGGACAGGCTGCTGCATTCCTACATCAATTTGTCAGCTCAGTCATTAGACATTTGGCTCCACTCTTTGGTGATCATTGCGGCGTGGATTATGACTGCCACCTGACCATGATCATGTCTGGCCAACTGACTTGCCCGACTGCCGTGGCAAGTGCCGCCTGACCTTTGCGGCAGGCGGGCAGATGTTTTTGGTAACAGGTCCGGCCAAAAGGCGGCAATGAGTGGGGCGTTCAGCCGTTCGGTTGAGCAAATGTCAGTTGCCCCAGAAATAGAAGCCCAGCTGGCCAATGCTACGTGAGATAGTTAACTACGATTTCGGAAGGGGTAAGCAAGAGGCGGTTTGTGTGTGTGTTTGTTTTGGTGTTTTTATTATTGTTTGGGCTATTCAGGTGATACGGATCGTTTCAAGAGGCGGCATCGTGGATCGCTGTGCTGGTGGCTCTATCCGGTCTTCTTGTTGAACAGCAGGGAGAGGAGCTGCTGCTTGAAGGGCTTCACGGTGGTGGTGGTGGTTGCGGTGGGGGTGGTATAAGTTGGGGTGGTTGTGTAGGTGTACGTCGTTGTTGAGGGCGACGAAGGCGTGGTCGGAGTGGAAAAAGACGATGGCGAGGTACCCGTAGCAGTTGCTCCTTGAGCGATGGCCACACAAGCGGAGAGGATGACGAGGACGGCGAAGAACTTCATGTTTTTGGGTTTTTGTGAGGTTTTGCGGATTGCTGACTGTTGCTTGTTGCTGGAGGAGCTGCTGAACTCTGAGTGTGCCTTTTGATGGGCCAGGGCTCACTATTTATACGCACCTTCCGTCTGCAGTCGCTGTGCCATTGAATGTTTGCACAAATGGCTTCCTATCCGTTGCTTGCTCTTCCCCCCACCAACTGGCTGCCCAAAAGTGTTTGCCTAGCGGGGCATTGTGAAATGCATGCAGCATCCAATGTTTGAGCCCCATTCATTTCCCCATTCACCCACACCCGAAAAAAAAACAAACCTTTTCCATTCGGATGTGTCAATGACTTGGCATTCCTATTACTCTTATTCTTATCCTAGAATATATGGCGTTCGTAGCTGCTGGGCCACTGCATGGAGAAGGCAAAGTCCGGAAGTGTGGCCAGGAACTCTTCGCTGAGGGCGTCCCTTTTGTCATGGGGACTCACGTAGTGCCCGGATACGCCCATCTCGAAGACGGGCTCATTAAAGTTGCCGTTGTCCTTCTGAAAGTCACTTGATTTACCCGAAAGCTGAGGAAAATATGTAAGAACTTACCGATAGTTCCACAAAGAACTCGATGGGCGTGCTGTCGATGCCGTAGGTTAGCATGACCTCCAGCGGTGGCCTGTAGGTGGCTGGGTTGTCCAACATGCCGGGTGCAAATGTCCATCGGAGCACTCTCACGCCGTCCAGCGGCTTGATGAAGAGGCCCATGTTGGGGGGTCCGCTCAGGCGGAATTCGAAGCGCACCTGATAGCCACCGGGAAGGACTGTCTTGTTGAGGAACTCCAAAACAGTGGGATATGGCAGCTCCACCGGTTGCTCGCGTGCCAGCCAAAGTGCATGTTTCCGGGCTTTACAATATCGGTAGCAGGGAATACCGCACATCAACTCCGAGTCGCAGTCCTCGCCCAGGAGAACTAAATCGGTCAGATTCATGTAATCCCGTAGAGGGGCCTCTTTGTTACGATCGCCCAGGTGGAAATAGTAGCCAGAGTCCTCGAGACTAATGGAACCATTGTACTCAAAGAACTTACGGTGCACTTGCTGTTTCGATAAAAAAAAAACTACTAGTCACTGATCTTTGGAGGATTTGGAACACCCCACTCACCATGAAGTCCGCACGCATTACGTTTGTTTTGGCGCGGTAGGGGAATCCCACATCCGATACGGAAATCATGCTAAAAATAAACATGACCACTGCCAGGCCACCCAGCATGCAGTTCGGTCGCCGGAATATGTTGATCAGGGGAGCCTACAAATAATTGATTAGTTTAATAGGCTAAAGAAATTAAGAAGCCTAATTTACCGCAAAGGACAAGGCCAGAATAGTGCCAAAGGCACACAAAGCAGCAATCAGTAAATCCGGGTTAGTGGAGACCCCAAAACGACCGAGCATCGGAATGAGGATGAGTATGAACATGTGGAACAAGTAGGCGTGGTATATGAAGGGTAGTATCTGGAAGACAATCAGTACCAGGCCCCAAAGATAACCTGTAATTGAGCAGTTATTTAGAAGAGTTCTTTAGATTTCAAGAAATAAAAAAAACCTACCGCGACAGTGCAGACGGGTCAGCAGATTGATAATCAAAGCTGCTACGTAGAAAATGAGGGAGATCAGGAATAGATACGAACTACGGTATTTAAGGGCTGTTGTGGCCAAACACAAGATGGCCAGAAGCACGCAGTTGGCATGTCCCACTATGTGCAGGTAGTAGGTGTGGGGGATCTTCTCCTGCAGATACAAAAATCATTAAAAATATAACAATAACTTAAGTATCCAAACAAATAACTCACAGTTTTCTTATACGTCAAATAGAGTGTAATGGGCAGAACCAAACCAATCACTGAAGGGCAAATGTACAAACCAATCACCAGCCAACTATTGCTGAAGTAGGTCAAAGTGCGATTTCCCACATCGTAGAAGATGGCCATGAGCAGGGGAAAACCCACGGCAAGTAGTACGCCTGCGAGGGCCAGAAGGAACAGAAGTCCAAATACCCCAGCATAGGTGCCCATAGTCTGACCCGTAACCCTCGACATCCGCCACAAGGAGACACAAACCAGAATAATGGCTCCGAAGGAGAAGCAGAGATTCAGGGCCAAGCTCGTCGACTCCTGATAGTGCACAAAGAACAGGCCAATGAAGTCGAAAAACACAGCGTGTCCCAAAGCGTGTGCCTGTTCATAAAAACTTGATTAAATCAGATGACTAATGGCTTTGGGAAGAGAAAACCCACCTCAGTGTCGTACATTTCCTCAGAATTTGAAATACTCCACACCAGGGCCAACAAATTGTCCCCTGAATTCTGCAAAGAGTCGCGACTTATCACCGTGTAGCGATCAAATTTCGTGTGGTAGACGAAGCCATTATAGATGCCAGCCATATCCAAACCTAAAGTGAAAGAAGTCCTCTTAAATCCAATTCAAGAAAGTACTCCTGATGCTGGCTACCAACCTGGAATGACGCCAAAGTCACGAAAGATCCTAAAGTCCGTATCCGAAGGTATAATCCCAGCCTCGAATATCTCCTCGGCCGTAGTGGTAGCAAACGGATGTGGGACACTATTTCTGTAATGCTGAGATAAGGCAATCGATTAGATTAATTGAACAGCAGCCAGACGGGTGATATCATCCATATCGGAAAAGGCCCAAAAAACAAAAGTGAATCATCCAATGCGTTGCAGACTTTCAGGGGGTTTTCAGAAAAACTAAAAATAACTTACTTCCATAAGCCAAGGATGATTGGGTCCGCCCTGGAATAGCAGATCGCGTCCACCAGCACCGGCAGAGTCCAAGTTGAGAAGTGCCCTGTTTATAAGAACGTTTTTAAACCATACAGAGTATAACAAAATGTCAATATACTCACTTGCAGTTGGCAGCCCATCTGTGCTGGGTGACAAACCCATGAGAGCCCTGCATCGGTTGCTCCTCGGCTCCATTGAACAGGAATATAATGGGGTGCAGGAAGGGATCCCCTGAAATGGCCACCAAACGTAGCACCTCTAGCATGACGACAACCATAGCCGCATCATCTCCGGCACCTGTAAGGTTAAGAAACCATCATGGGATTGCCGAATATCTCTTTAGACCTATCTTTTTAGACTTACCTGGTGACCCTGGTTTGGTGTCGTAGTGACTGTTCACCAGAAGGTAGGAACTACTATTGGAACTCTTCGTACTCAGCCTGACGATCACATTTTGCACACCTTGATAGTGATTCGTGAGGCCCTTGATCAAATAGGAACCGGAGGCCCGTTGCACTTCCACCTCCATGTCGTAGATATCATCCCGTAATACCTGTCGCACTTTTTCAATTTCGTCGAGCAGAAGATTCACAACGGTGACCTCATTGTTCACATCGCCCACCACTCGCGGTCCCATCTGGCTTATTTTCAATAGAATTTCCTGAGCCCTTTCGGCCACGAACTGACCCGGCTTGTCCGCCTCCTCGGAGATCCTGATGCCGGTGGGCAGGGCCTGGAAGAGTGGGTAGATGACGGAGAAGAAGAGCCCTACCCAGAAGAGGAGATAGGTGGGGGCAAAGTACCAGGAGAACTGCTTGGGCCACTTCTTCTTCCCCTCGTCCATCTCGATGATCAGGTTCTCAGACCCCAAAAGCGTCTGGGGATGTACGAGAATTACGCTTAAGATCCGAGTATATGGCGGATGGAGTCACACACCTTGTCGTCCTTTGTAGCACCCATTGCTGGCCTTCCAGAGATTCGAGAACCGTCCAAGCAAGAGCACCTTCCACGACTCTCGACGCACGACTAACCTTTCCGACATCTCCAGCCGCAATTTAAAATTGTGGTTTGTGTTTACGATGCGATATGGTTGATATCTTCACCATAGTATAAAGATATTCGATATTTATGGCATTATGGCGCTTGTTATTCACGCCAACCTATCAGCATGCGTACATAGTACTACATACCAACCAAAACTTTCGAGTATGCCGTCGATAAATTCCCAACCTGTCGATCTTTTCCGGTCCTCGAGGGACTGTTGCCTTGATTAGCCAAACCAAATCATTACCGCTGACTTTGTCCCATATCGTAATCGCACTCGTTTACCATTGCGGATTTATGAATTTATAGTGCCGCATCTGGTCGGCAGTGCCCGCGATGGGCCCAAAGTCAAGGCCATAATTCCCACCCATTTCAAGCTGTTTAAAAGGGTACTTCAAACCCGAAGCAAAAAATCCAATCCGTTTATGTCACTCTAAAGGATGGGAAAAATCCAGCTATTTCACAAAAAGAAAATAAAAGATATTACTCATGTCAACATCAATAAAATTTAACAAGTCGACAATGGTGGCTTTATAGCATCGCATCTGTTCGGGTTTTTATTTATGCTTTCCAGTACACTTTGATCAGTGATCATATAAGTATTTTTTGAGATTCCTGTATAAGCTTTGTGGCTTTATGGCATCGCATCTAGTCGGATTTTTAATTAGGCTTGTTTACCAGTAAACTTTAAGTATTTTTATGAGATTCTTCATTGAACTTTGTTAGTAACGATCGTACACGAGTAGCGGAAAAGTACTTCGCACCCAAATAAGGTTTTTTTTTAATGACTTTTACGTTTTATTTTGTATCAAATCTTAGTATTACTATGAACACTATTTGTTATTCTCAGAAGATATAGCGTTCATAGGAACTAGGCCACTCCATGGGGTGAGCAAAGTCCGGTAGATCCTCAATAAATTTCTGAGTCGTGGCATCCCGTTTACTTAAGTGACTCATATAGTGCCCGGAGATACCGAACTCCACCAGCGGCACTTCGAAGTTGCCGTCTTCCTTCTGCAGAATGGAAACATACATTATCATATAAAAAGATATCACCTATAAAATGGTATAAACTACCCACCGTCATCTCGAAAAAGATTTCAACAGGCGAGTTATCGCTGCCGTAGCCAAAGAACACATGATAGGGAGGCTTATAGACTGATGGGTTGTCCAGCATTCCCTTGAGGAAGGACCAGTTCAGCATCTTGACCCCCTTCAGCGGTTGAACGAAGAAACTCATCCTCGGTGGACCCGATGACACTATAAAGTCAAGCCGAACCTTTGGATCGGATTGAGTGCCCGAAACTGTCTTGTTCACAAGCTGCAAAACCGGAGAACCGGGCAAATCGACGGGCTCATCACGGGGCAGCCAACGGGCATCTTTCACGGCCAAACACCAACGATGGTTGAAGCACGGCATGCCGCACTTCATCTGCGTTTTGCACTGCTCATCCAGGCGTGTGAACCCAGTGAGGTTGATCTTGTCCAGAAGCGGAGCCTCTAGACGTCTGTCCTGCAAATCAAAGTAATATCCGCTGTCCTCCAGACTGAGAGATCCATCGTACTCGTAGAACTTGCGATGTACCTCCTTAAAACCGAGAAAGAAATACCAATAGCACATGATTCTTCTCTTGTTATTTGTTATAACTCACCAGAAAGTGTAGACGCATCACATTTGTTTCGGCGCGATAGGGAAAGCCCACCTCCGACACAGATATCATGCAAAAGACAAACATCACTAGGGCCAGTCCACCAACCATGCTCTTAGGTCGCTTGAAGATATTCAGCAGTGGAGCCTGGAATAGTGCCCTTATTAGCTATTAACTCCCTCAGACAAAAGACAATCCGTACCAGGAAGGCCATTGCCAGAATTGAACCCAGAGCACACACAATAGAGATCAACAAATCGGGGTTGGCATCCATGCCCTTCCTGCTCGTCATCGGAATGGTGATGACCAGAAGAGCATTAAACAGGTAGGTGAAGTAGAGATAGGGAGGAATCTGGCAAAGACAGAGCACCACAGCCCAGAGATAACCTAAAGTAGACGAGTAGGCGTCATTAAATATCACATTTGTGCCTCATTGCGGCCTTACCTTTGTCATGGAGACGCGTAGCCAGGTTGATGATTAGAGCTCCCAAGTAGAAAAACACACACATCATAAAGAGATAGGCCGTGCGAATGCCAACAGCCGTGAGTAGAATGCAAAGTACTGCCATCAGAACGCAGTAGGCGTGTCCCACAATTTGAAGGTGATAGGTGTGCGGTATCTTCTCCTACGGATCAAGAACATGTATTCATGCGTTGATAACAAAACATTCTCCAGACTTACATGTGGTCGCAGCGACAAGTAAAGAGTCGGAGGCAAGACTAGACCTATAATTGAGGGGCAGATGAAGAGACCAATGACCAACCAACTGTTGCTGAAGTAGGTCATCGTGCGGTCTCCGGCATCGTAGAACACAGACATCAGCAGGGGAAAGCCGAGGGCTAGCAGAAATCCCAGAAGAGCCAGGAGGAACTGCAAGCCAAAGGCCCGGGCATAGGTGCCCACTCTCCGATCCGTGACCTTCGCCATGCGCCAAAGGGAAAGGCAAATAACCAGGATGGCTCCCAGGGAGAATGAGATGTTTAGAGCCCGTTGACTCCGTGTAGTAAACGAAGAAAAGGCCCAGATAGTCAAAGAAAACCGAGTGACCCTCTGAGTAAGCCTGATTTCAATCAAATTTCATATGAAGTGAGTGTAATATAATGGCAATTTTCAAAACCCACCTCAGTATCATACATTTCCTCGGCATTGGATATACTGCGAACCAGAGAAAGCACATTGTCACCAGTGTTTTGCAGTGAATCTCTGGAAATCACTTTTATGCGATCGAACTTTGTGTGATAGACAAAGCCGTTGTAGCAACCAGCCATGTCCAGACCTGGAAATAAAATAACTTACATTATCAAGCACAGATACCAGACACTTACACCTTCAATCACCCACCTGGCACCGGTCCAAAGTCTCGGAAAATGCGGAAATCTGTGTCCGATGGTATCAGATCAGCCTGAAAGATTTCCTCGGCCATGGTGGTGGCAAACGGATGCTTGGCACTCTTTTTGTATTGCTGCAGTGCAAAAAAACGATTTTTATTGGATATCGTACAATAAGTGCAGATAAGATAAGCGTTCCAGTAAAAGCAACTCTTTCAAAGTTTTATGGCCCGGTTATTAAGATTAGTTTCAAGTGGAAAGCACGAATTTGACTTGCCTTCATTAGCCACGGATGATTGGGACCCCCCTGGAAGAGAATTTCACGTCCGCCGGCACCTGCCGAATCCAAGTTGACTAACGCTCTGATTTGGAGGCAACATATTGTGAAAGTTCCGTTGAAGATATCCCAATATACTCACTTGCAGTTGGCAGACCAGCGATGGTTGGATATAAACGAATGCGATCCATGGAAGGGCTGCTCTTCGGCGCCATTGAACAGGAATACAATGGGGTGCAAGAAGGTCTCCTCGGAAGTGGCCATTAAACGGAGCGTCTCGAGCATGGTGACCACCATGAGTTCCGCATCGCCAGTGCCTGCAGAAAAGTTTACACTCAATCTTGATCTAACTTTAGAGTAAGAATATTAACATACCCACACTGCTGGGCTTTGAGTCGTAATGACTGTTCACCAATAGATAGGAACTACTGTTAGAACTCTTGGAACTCAGCTTCACCACCACGTTTTGAATGCCCTGGTACATATTGATCATTTGCCAGTGGAGAAAGGCACCACTGGAGTGCTGTACGTCCACCTCCATCTCATAGAGATCGTCTCGCATCGCCTCACGAACTTTTGATATCTCGTTTAGAAGAAACTCCACCATGAGCACCTCGGTCACGTAATCCCCGGCTATCTTCGGACCCATTGCATCGAGTTTGATCAGTATGCTTTCCGCGCGTTCGGCCACAAAAGTGTGTGGCAAGTCGGATTCCTCCTCGATCTTCACTCCAGTTGGCAGGTAATAGAAAAGCGGATAGCTCACTGCGAAGAACAGTCCGACCCAAAAGAGCAAGTACACAGGAGAATAGTACCAAGGCAGTTGCTTTGATGAACTTTTCTTCTCCCTCGAGTCGATTAAGATTTCGTTGCTTAAACCCTCTTCAGGATCCGCTGGCTCGGTAACCAATTGCAGGGTATTCTTTTCATTATATCCTGTCGACGGTTCCGAATGTTCCGAAGACGTATCCTCCTTAAAGCCTCCATTCTTTTGTTCCATAATATTAATTCTCTACCGCAACCAGCATCAAATCACAACGAAGAAACGCACGCGACTGAGCAAACCTCAAACAAGCTTATCATTTTTAAACCTTTTTAAGGCCGGTATGAGATTGCTATCCAACACGGAACCTCCATGTCCCAGTATATTTATGGTGCATTTATAGTATATAGCTTATAATCTTTTGGAGTCAAAGTCTCCGGCAATCTTCTTTAATTTTTATATCGTGGCATCCGAATACCGCCCGTTAGATATGTGTGTCGAGAATAAAAATATATAGTAATATATCGATCAACATATTCGACATATTCATCATAATTCGAATTTAAATTTAAATACAATTTTGAAGTGCGGAAAAATATTGAGAAAATTTTAGAAATACACTTTACGATTTTGTTTATTGTTTTACACATGAGCATTAATTTTTATAAAATGTTTCATTGGTGGTATTAGGTATTTCTTTTTTTTTTATAAACTTTTGTTGTTTCGTTACAAAAAGTAAATTGAAACAATTTTGTAAAAAATTTCAGTTGTTTTTAAATTGTTTGTTTCCAAAGAAAAAATTTAAAAATTATTCGATATTAAATTTCTATACTTTTCCCTTTAAGACACAACCGTCTCGAGTAAGGGCCCATGAATTGCAATACTACTGCAGTATAAAGTTATCAAAATGGCGTCATAAATTTTGTATCGATTTTATGAATCCTAAATCAAGTGCGATAAAAAAAATAAGACCACGATAAGATACCTAATCGTTATGTATTTTGGCAACCCTAAAACCATAAAGTACTTTTTTCGGGCAGTTAATGGACATCTTTTACCAACTACTTCGCATAAAATAATCCATAAGTAATTTGAAAGCCAATCACGTAACCTTTCGGAAACAATTATGCAATTTATATTTGCTGAAAACGTATATTTTAATAAAACTTTAATAAAATGTTTTGCCTAAACAATATAAGTTTTAAAATATGTAACCTTTAAATATTGAGGGCCATTCCATGGCGTTTACATAGTCTGGTAAGTCGGCCACAAACTGCTGAGCCTCGGGATCCCTTTTGTAATCGTAACTGACAAAGTGTCCCACAACTCCGAGCTCCAAAATGGGGACATTAAAGTCACCATCGGATTTCTGCAATTTGCGTAAAGTTAAATATTTAAAAATAATTATAAAAGATATGGCTAACTCACCGTTAACTCAATATAAAACTTCAAGGGACTGGAATCTTTGCCGTATGAAAAAAATATATAGTACGGTGGCTTTAATATTTCCGGTTCCGACTCAAAAGACCAGTCCGTAACCTCAGCCTCTCCAACTGGCTGGATAAACACGTTCATATGTGGCGGTCCAGTAAGTTCGAATTCAAATCGAATGGAATTTCCTGTCTGTGAAACTGTCTTTTCCAATAACTCGAGAGTTATTTCTCCGGGAATTGTTACATCCGAATCTCGGGGCAGCCAACCAGCATTCCTACGCCCTCCGCAGAAATAGAAACAAGGTGCTCCACACATCACATACTTATCGCAGTCTGGCTCCATGGAGACTAGTCCAGTCAGGTTGACACCGGAATCCTTTAGCGGACTTAAGCCCCGCCTATCCTGGTATATAAAATAGTAACCGGAATCACTGTGACTCACCGTGCCATCGTAATCGTAGAAGATGCGATTTGTTTGCTTTGTGGGGATTAGATATCTTATGATCTTTATCGAAGTATTATAGAATTTAGGAAATACCTACCATAAATGTAACTCGCATTACATTGGTTTTGGCGCGATAGGGAAAGCCCACCTTTGAAACAGCAATCATGCAAAATATAAAGGTGACTACACCCAAGCCAAGAAGTATGAGCTTTGGCCAACGAAAAACGTTGATGAATTGGGCCTGATAGTCAACGGTTAGATAGACAAAAATATATAATTACAATTTTTAGAATTACTTACAACGAATCCCAGGGCAAAGAAAGTGCAGCAACCACACAAGACTGCTATAATAAGATCCGGGTTCGAGCCGATTCCGTTTCTTCCCGTGACCGGAAAAAAGACTACGAGTACCATATAGAACAAGTAACAGAAGTAGCAAAATGGTAGCACTTGCAGAGACATCACAATCAAACTCCAATAGTAACCTGAGTACAATACCTCTGTTATCAAAAGCTCTTATATTAATTGTTATATTAAAGTCAGTTACCACGATCATGCAATGTACTGAGAAGATTAATCAAAAGAGCTCCTCCGTAGAAGATCAATGACATCAGACAAAGATATTGGGATCGGATACCCACAGCGGTTAAAACAAGAATAAGAAGGGCCAAGACCACACAATGAGCGTGTAAACTCATCTGAATATGGTAAGAGTGGGTAAGTTTTACCTGTAATTAATGTAAAATCTATAGTAATGATTGTTATTGCAGTTAGTACTCTTACATTGGGCTTCAGGGTAAAGTAAAGCGTTAATGGCAGTACGAGGCCTATGATGGCAGGACCTACGTAAAGTCCAAATACCAGCCAGTTGCTGGTGAAATAAGTTAGCGACCTGCCTCCAGCATCGAAGATGACGGCCAACAATAGAGGCAAGCATATACTTAGCAAAAATCCAACCAAGTGCAGTACCAAGATAATGAGAAACCAAATCAAAATACGACCTAGAGAAACCTCCTTCGTTTGGCAAGACATTCTCCAGAGGGAACAACCAACTAAAACCAGACTTATCACTCCAATCAGACAGTTTAAAATAATTCCAGTTGTCTCGGTGTAGTATACAAAGAATAGTCCCAGGAAGTCAAAGAAGACAGAATGGCCATCATCAGCACCCTAAAAATGAATATGGTCATATAGGTGGGATAAACATTAGTACTTCTACCTCTGTCTCATTCAATTCAGTGGCATTTGCAAACGCCCTCGTAAGTGCGAGAATGTTATCGCCAGTGTTCTGTATGGATCGTCCTGGAATCACACTAAAGGTGTCGAATGCTGTGTGGTAGACATACCCATTATTTGCCTGGGCAATATCCAAGCCTGTTGAAATACACAATCAGTAATTAAGTCATATAGATTCCTTCCTAAACAGCTCACCAGGCACATTTCCATAATCACGGAAAATTCGAAAGTCGGTGTCAGAGGGTATAATTCCAGCCTGCCAGGTTTCCTCGGCTAAAGTAGTTGCAAAAGGATGTTTCGCATACATCTTGTAGTACTAAAAATGCAAGAAAATCAGGTGCTAACAAAAAGAAAGTAAGAATAAAAAGTTGAATCCACCTTCATTAGCCAAGGATTATTGGGAACACTCTGGAATAAAAGATCCCGCCCTCCGCTGCCGCCTACTTCTAGATTTATAAGGGCCCTAAAATTAAAAGCTTAGATTAATAACTTTTACAATTATTATTAATTCTGACATACTTGCAATTCGCTGCCCATTTGTGTTGCGTAATAAAGCCATGTGCTCCCTGAAGGCCGTTTTCCTCGGCTCCGTTGAAAAGAAAGACTATTCCGTGTTCAAATGGTGTTTCAGATATAGCCATCTGACGTAAAACCTCCAACATAACCACAACCATGGCACCATCATCGCCAGATCCTGATAAACCGGCTTTTAGAATCTGAATGTTCATATTAGTTAAGTAACACCTACCTGGACTGCCTGGCTTTGAGTCGAAATGACTGTTAATCAGGAGGTAAGACTCACTTTGGGAATTCTTTGTACTTAGTTTCACTATTACGTTTTGAACGCCCTGATACATGCTCAACATACTGCCAAAAACTAAGCTACCAGTAGCTAACTGGACCTCAACATTGATCTCGTAAAGGTCACTGCGCATTTCATCTCGTACCTTTTGCACTTCATTCAAAAGAAACTCAACCGTTTCCACCTCGTTCGCTTGACTGCTCACCACTTTGGGTCCGATCCGCTCGAAGTCTATAAGCTGCCTCTCCGCCCGTTCTGCCACGAATTCTCCGAACTTTGTAGGTTCATCTGCAATGGTCACCCTATCCGGAAGTCTGTTGTAGAGCGGGATCACGATGGCAAAGAAGAGTGCCAGCCAGAGAAGCAGGAAGGAGGGAGCATAGTACCAGGACAACCTTCTTCTTCCTTCCGGTTCTCCGCTCACTGATGAAAAATCCCCGGTTTCGTTGTCCAGTGCCAACTCCTTTGGACGAGTAAGTCGATAAAGTCGTTACCCTTTATGTTAGTTAATAAATACCCACTTTATCGGTCTTCTCGTTCATGGTTATGCCATTAGCGGGAGTCAATTCCAACTGCTTCGATCAAAATTTAACGCGAAATTAAACGTCTGTACCTTGGGCTCATAGACTGAAAGACTCTCGCTTTTTAAAAGTCTATAAAGATTACCAATGACGTATGACTTTTCTTAAAGCAGTAACAACTTACCTTATCACATGATACTTTTCTAAGATATACAGCTTTTTATATGCACATTCGGGCAGGTAATGGATAACAGTTTTTAATTGCAATTTTATTGAAATCTGTAAAGCTTTAGGTGATTAAAGGTTGTTAGCAACAAAAAGTTCAATGAATATCTTTATCATTTTGAAGTCCAAACCAATAAAGATAATTTCAAGTAGACGTGTATCCGGAAGTATTTATTAAGCTGTTATATACCAACTTTGATATAAACAAAACTTTTCTTATCTGAAATCTAAAACACTGAAGTCATAAGTTCACGTTTTATTTATGAAACCCTTCGGGCAGATAATGGATGGAATCTTAATAGTACACCTAAAGCTAGCTATAAACTACTAAAATAAATATCGCTTAAATAAAGATGGCCATTCCATGACATGGACATAGTTGGGAAAGGCGGCCACAAATTCCTTGGCCTCTTGATCCCTATTGTATTCGTTACTGACCCAGTGACCCACAGCTGCAATTTCGACAGTGGGTTCATCAAAATTGCCATCTGGCTTTGCCATATCAATGAAGAATTTCAAAGAGGAATTATCTGTTCCATAGGAATGGAAGATCTGGTAGGGCGGCTGGAACTCCTCGGGTTCGTCCAGCATTTTTCTCACAAACGACCAGTCCTCCACCTTTGCCGAACCCACTGGCTGAATAAACACATTCATGTGGGGCGGTCCGGATAGCTCGAACTGAAATCTTGCGGTTGTGCCAGACTCCAATACCGTCTTGCCCAGATACTCGAGGGTAAGATCGCCGGGAATGATAACCTCCGACTCACGAGGCAACCATCCATCCCACTGGCGCCACTTGCACCAACTGTAGTAGAAGCAGGGAATGCCGCACATCACGTAGTCGTCGCACTTATTGGCAACGGGCTCTAGACCGGTCAGGTCGAGATCAGAGTCCTGGAGGGGATCAAAGGATCGCCTGTCCTGATAGTTGAAGTAGTAGCCGGAGTCACTGAGACTCACGGAGCCATCGTACTCGTAGATGATTCGACGAGTGTGCTTTAAAGGGAGAACATTTAGATGTTTTGGATCTTAATCAAAAGTGATAACCTACCAGGCAGTTGGCCCGCATCACATTGGTCTTGGGGCGATAGGGAAAGCCCACCTCCGAGACGGCAATCATGCAGAAGATAAAGGTGACTACTCCCAAGCCCAGAAGAATGAGCTTTGGCCAGCGGAACATGTTGATTAATTGTGCCTGTAGGTAGATTCAGAGTTACAGATAGTAATGAAAGAAACACTTCCAAGAAGTACTCACCGCATAACCCAGAGCAAAGAAGACGCAAATACCACACAGCAGACCTATGATAAGGTCAGGATTGATATTGGCACCATTCCTTCCCAAGACCGGAACAAATATCACAAGGAACATGTAGAAAACATAGCAGAAGTAAGAGAACGGCAACACTTGCAGACACATCACAATCAAAGCCCAATAGTAGCCTGAAAAATATCTCTGTTGAAAGATCTTTTAGATTAATGGTCATAAAAGAAATCATACCACGGTCATGCAGCGTGCTCACTAGATTAATCAGAAGTGCACCCCCATAGAAGATCATGGAAATTAGGCAGAGGTACTGAGAACGCAGACCCATGGCGGTCAAAATAAGGACCAGCAGGGCCTGGACAACCAAGTGAGCGTGCAGACTTAACTGCAGGTGGTACGGGTGGCTTAGTTTGTCCTGAAAATCATTAAAAAGCTATAGTAACGATAGTAGTTATCAAAGCAGATAGACTTACATTGGGCTTTAAAGTGTAGTACAGGGTTAAAGGGAGAACGAGGCCGATGATTGCGGGACACACGTAGAGGCCAAACAACAGCCAGGTGCTGGTGAAGTAGGTCAACGACCTGTCTCCGGCATCGAAGATGACAGCCATCAAGAGAGGCAGGCCTATGCTCAGCAGAAATCCCACCACATGCAATCCCAAGATACTGAGGAACCATATCGATATCTGAGGAAGCGACGCCTCCTCCGACTGGCGAGACATTCTCCAGAGGGAACAGCCAACCAAGACCAGACTTATCACTCCAATCAGGCAGTTGAGAACAATCCCAGTTGTCTCGGTGTAGTACACAAAGAAAAGTCCCAGGAAGTCGAAGAAGACAGCGTGGCCATCGTCACCCTACAAATTACCATTTTCACAATACCGTTTAAGTGTGTTCAAATTGCTCAACTCACCTCTACTTCGTACAACTCACTGGCATTGCTGAAGGCACGCACCAGGGCAAGGACATTGTTTCCAGTGTTCTGTATGGATCGTCCAGGAACCGCTTCGAAGATATCAAAGACTGTGTGATACACATAACCGTTCTCGATCTGGGCAATGTCCAGCCCTACGAAAAACAAAATTGTTATCAAAGATAACGACATATGATTCATCAACGCACCAGGTATATTCCCGAAATCCCGGAAAATTCGAAAGTCTGAGTCAGAGGGCAAGACCCCACTTTGAAAGATCTCCTCGGCCATTGCATTGGCAAACGGGTGCTTTGCGTGCTGCCTATAATACTATAAAGATTCGGTTTGGTATTTCGGCAGTAAAAGAAATGGCCATAAAATCGGCCATAAAGTCCATACGGTAAATGGTAACTAAGCAATAGGCTACTAATAATGATTCTTACTTTCATGAGCCAAGGACTGTTGGGACCACTCTGGAACAACAAGTCACGTCCCCCGCTTCCGCCCACTTCAAGGTTGATAAAGGCCCTAAAAAAGAGATTAAGGTTGCAATGAAAAATTCGGGGAAAAATTCTTTTCGTCTCACTTGCAGTTCGCTGCCCATTTGTGTTGCGTAATAAAACCATGGGATCCCTGAAGCGGATTCTCCTCGGCTCCATTAAACAGAAAGACAATGGGATGTTCGAAGGACGTCGATGATATGGCCATTTGGCGAAGGACCTCCAGCATGACCGCAACCATGGTGCCATCATCACCGGAACCTGAAGACCTCGATCAGTGCCGGATACTACAATTGAACTCCGGAAACCACTCACCTGGACTGCCCGGCTTGGAGTCGAAATGGCTGTTGAGCAACAGGTAGGATTCGCTCTGCGAACTCTTTGCACTCAGTTTGACGATCACATTGTGAATACCTTGGTACATGTTAACCATATCGTTGAACACGTATCCACCCGTTGGTGACTGGACGTCCACTTCGAGTTCGTACAGATCACTGCGCATCTCGGCACGGATCTTCTCCGTTTCATTTACGAGAAACGCCACCGTGGTCACCTCATTCGCATAACTTCCGGTTACTTTGGGTCCAATGCGGTCGTACGTGTACAGCTGTCTCTGTGCCCGCTCCGCCACGAATTCTCCAGGACTGAGGGATTCCCGGGCGACGGTCACCCTGTCCGGGAGTCTGTAGTAGAGCGGGATCACGATGGCGTAGAAAAGCGCCAGCCAGAGGAGCAGGAAGGAGGGAGCATGGTACCAGGACAACCTGCGATGGCGGACATGTCCCTTTCGCAGCGACAAGGACTCGATGAGTGCAGTGTCGTGGGGAATCTCCTGATAAGCGGGCGGTCAGTGGGTTCCTTTCCCTGCATTTCACAAATCAAAACTCACTTTATCCGTCTTCTCCTCCATGGCAAGATGTGATGTGAGTAACGGCAGCCAATTCAAACCCTTCCGATGCCCGATCCGCGCATAACTGAACGTCTGCACCGCCAGCATATCGACTCGAAGCCTTCCGCCGCGTTGGGGCCCATAAAGATAATGCCGTGTGCCGCTTGATACCCGCCGCCACGCCGGTCGGCTTTGTCTTGAGGCGCACCAGGGCGGCTGGGACTGAACCATGGCCATGGCCATGGTATCTAAATTGGACGGGTTTACGACTAAATATAAATATACATAAGTGGCGATTCCGACACACGCGAGGGGCAGCTGCAAATTAAAGCTTATTCTTTCCCACCGATGTCTGGCAGATTAAGGTGACGCTTGATGTGGGTATCGAGAGATTAGTTTATTTTTCTTTCTTATCGATTGCACTATCGCCGCACTTGGAATGTCCCGAAATATAATGAATGCAAAACTTAACTAACACTATAAGGCTCTTAAAAGATATACCGCTTAAACAGAGACGGCCATTCCATAGTGTAAACAAAGTCCGGTAAATCCGCTATGAACTGTAGGGTAGTTGCATCCCTCTCGAAATCCTGGCTTACATAATGCCCCACTACTCCCAGCTCAAACATGGGTCCATTTAAATCTCCATCGGGTTTCTGAAAGATAAATAATAATCAGTATAGTTTTTCAAAGAATTAGGTCCGACTGTGACCTACTGCAAAATCAATGTGAAATTTAAGTGGGGTCTTATCCAGGCCATAAGAGAAGTATATTTGATAGGGCGACGAGTACTTGTCCGGTTTGTCCAGCATTGTCCTTAGGAAAGACCAATCCTCCACTGCAACTCCTTCCAGCGGTCGTATATAGAGACCCATGTGCGGAGGGCCAGCTAGTTCGAATTCGAACCTCTTGGATTTTCCCGATTCCAAGAGGGATGAGTTTAAGAGGCTCAATTCCAAAGTTCCGGGTATGTCCACTTCCGTTTCGCGAGGCAGCCAGGCCGCACTAGAGAGCCCCCTACACCAGCTACTCCAGAAACAAGGAATCCCGCACATCACGTACTCATCGCAAGATGTATCTATGGAGGTAAGTCCAGTCAAGTTTACGGCGTAATCTTTAAGTGGGCGAAGGGCTCGTCTATCCTGATAGTCAAAATAGTACCCCGAGTCATCAACGCTTAGAGAACCATCATACTCGTAGAACATTCGACGGGTTTGCTTTAAATAAACAGAATATTATTATCACTTTAGAGTAAGGTATGACGTATTTACTTACTAGAAAATTCACACGCATCACACTGGTCTTGGGGCGATAAGGAAATCCCACTTCCGAAACAGAGATCATGCTGAATATAAAGGTTACCACGCCGAGACCAATCAATAAAATGGTGGACCACCGAAACATGTTGATCAAAGGAACCTATCGAAAAGGCTTAATTAGATAATGTTTATGAGGTCTGGCTGAATATTACCACAAAACCGAGGGCGAAAAAGGTTCCCAAAGCGCAAATCAGGGCTATCAGCATGTCCGGATTAACAGAGTCTCGATTTCTTCCCATCGCGGGGAAGAAAATCACAAGGAATATGTAGAAAAGATAGGAGAAGTACAAGTACTGGAAAAGCTGAATCAACTGCACTGTCAATACCCAGTAGTATCCTGGAAATATAACATATAATATTAAGTAGAAAATAAATATAAACGTTTGATTACATACCGCGATCATGTAAAGTAGTTAAAAGGTTAATCATCAGAGAGCCAACATATAGACTCAACGATATCATACACATATAGGAAAGTCGAAGACCAATGGCTGTCATAAAAATGGTTAGGAATGCCAGGACCACACAATGTACGTGCAAACCGATGTAGATCTGGTACGAGTGGTTTAACTTTTCCTAGAGATAGTTTTAAAATTAGAAATTGTAATCATTTTGTTTTATCAACGCTTACATTTGGCTTGAATCTGTAATAAAGTGTCGAAGGCAGCACCATTCCAATGATTGCCGGACAGATGTAGAGACCAATAACCAACCAGTTGTTACTGTAATAGGTCAAAGTTCGATCGCCGATATCGTACAGCGCAGCCATTATCAGAGGCAAACTAAAGCATAGAAGGCACCCCAGAAGATGCAGACCCAAAAGTACGACAAACACAATGGATATCCTTCCCAGGGAAATCTCGGACACACAAGCCATTCGCCACAGGGAAAAGCCAACGAGAAGAACACTAAGTACTGCCAAGCAATAGTTTAAGATTACTCCAGTCTTCTCCGTGTAAGTCACAAAGAAAAGTCCCAGGAAATCAAAGAAGACAGCGTGACCCACACTGTGTTCCTGCAATAATATATTAAGTATTAATATATCAATATTAGTAAATTAAATATTCTCTACCCACCTTAGTATTACGTAATTCACTAGCATTGGCAAAAGCTCTAACTAGTGAAAGGACATTTTCTCCTGTGCTCTGAACCGAACGACCTGGCACAACATCAAAGCTATCGAACTTTGTATGATAAACGTATCCATTGCTGAATTGAGCGATGTCGAGACCTTAAAAAATTAATATACATTATTTTGTAATGTCATTTTGTTACCTAAAACTGTACCTGGAATATTCCCATAATCTCGAAAGATGCGGAAGTCTGTATCGGAGGGCAGTATTCCAAACTGAAAGATCTCTTCCGCCAATGTTGAGGCAAATGGATGCTTCGAGTACTGTTTGTAGTACTAAATATTTAAGATATGAGTATAAGTTTTATCTTTTTACTATTTATTATACTATTATACCTTTACTAACCAGGGATTATTTGGACCACTCTGAAATAAAATATCTCGACCACCGCTGCCGCCCACTTCCAAGTTGATGACTGCCCTGGGGAAAAATAAATAAATTAATAAATATATTTTGAAAGTAAAATAGGATCATAGACTTACTTGCAGTTTGTCGCCCATTTATGCTGGGTTATAAAGCCGTGGGAAGCCTGCAGGGGATTCTCCTCCGCTCCATTAAACAAAAATACTATGGGATGTTCGAATTTGTCTTCGGAAATTGCCATTTGACGAAGAACCTCTAACATTACTACAACCATGGTGCCGTCATCGCCAGCTCCTATAATTAGGGATTAATTTATGGACATCTTAACTCGATTTTAAACTACTTACCTGGACTTCCTGGCTTCGAGTCGAAATGGCTGTTGATCAGCAGATATGAGGTGCTATTGGAGCTCTTAGTGCTCAGCCTTGCAACCACATTCTGGATGCCCTGATATATGCTGGTCATGGTTCCCACCACATAGGAACCCGATGACTGCTGGACATCCAATTCCAAGTCAAAAAGATCGCTGCGCATTTCCCCCCTAATCTTGGCCACCTCATTCAAGAGAAATGCCACGGTCGTCACCTCATTGGCTATGCTCCCAACCACTTTGGGTCCCATACGATCGAATTCGTAGAGCACTTTCTGTGCTCTCTCGGCCACAAATTGCCCGGGCTTAATCGGTTCGTCGGCAATGGTTATGCGGTCTGGCAGCCGATAGAAAAGCGGAAGTACGATGGCGTAGAACAGCACCACCCACAGGAGGAGAAAGGAGGGGGCATGGTACCACGGTAGTCTCCTTCTCAACTCCTTCTCCTTCGACAAAACGTGGTAGAGCACAGTGTCCGAGTAGTTTGCCTGTGCAGTCACAGTGATTAATGTTCATTAATGAAGTGGTTATTAATAAGTACTCGCTTTATCGCCGTCAGCCTGCAGTTCCATATTTCCAATACGATTCTCCGGAGAGAGCCAACCTTTCTGATGCCCAACAGTCTCGCTACTGAATGTTTGTGGTCCGATTGCCTCGGATTCGAGCGGCACTCTTCAGCATATAAAGATAGGAAGGCGTTGGCACCAACAAAGTACATGGCAAACCAATCATTCTATGAAAGCTCCGATTTAGATTTATAGTTTAAAATCCATTGGCAGGTCAGTTCGCATCTACCCACTCAAATCTTATCGGCCAATCTGCACACGCGAGTGTACTAATTACTTCATATGGCAACAACGAAAATGTCCATTACTCAAAGCAGTGCGTTTAATAATAATCTTAATGTAACGTTTTATGACTAACAGAGGCTTTGTTTGCTGCAAACAAAAATAAGCGATAACTATCTTAACTACGCCAATTTAAAATATATAACGCTCATATAGCGTCGGCCATTCCATAACGTGAGCAAAGTCAGGGAAATCGGATATAAACTTCAAGCCAGCAGCGTCACGTTCGTAGTCATAGCTCACAAAACTGGCGGAAAATCCCAGCTGGCAAGTTGGAGTGCTGAAGTCTCCCGAGGTTTTCTAAAAAGAAAGATATTATAGCAAGAAATATGACAACTATTCACATGACTCACCGCAAAGTCAATGTGAAACTTCAAGGGAGAGTTATCTTTTCCATAGGCGAAGAATATTTGGTAGGGCGCTGAGTACTTGTCGGGCTCATCCAGCATATTTCGAATAAAGGACCAGTCCTCCACCTCAACCCCTTCCAGAGGTTGAATATATAGGCTCATGTGTGGTGGGCCAGAGATTTCGAATTCGAAGCGAGCCACCTTTCCAGAGTCGAAGACTGATTTGCTCAGGAGCTTTAGAGACGTTGTCCCCGGAATGGCCACCTCCTGCTCCCGCGGCAGCCAATGACTATTGGTGCGGGTCTTACACCAACGGTGATTGAAGCAGGGAACACCGCACATCAGGTACTTATCGCAATCAGCGGATGTGCTAACCATCCCAGTTAGATTCACAGCAGTATCCTCCAGAGGATAATAGAGACGACGATCCTGGAAGTCAAAGTAGTAGCCAGAATCGCTGAGACTCACAGAGCCATCGTACTCATAGAAAATGCGACGAACGTGCTGTGAGATCAGGTGTGTTAATAGGATTTAAGTCATTCTCAGAACAGGTGATCCTACCAGGAAGTGAATCCTCATTACGCTGGTTTTGGCGCGATACGGAAAGCCCACATCGGAAACCGCAATCATGCTGAATATAAAGGTGACCACTCCCAAACCGAGCAAAGCCAACTTTGGCCAGCGGAACATGTTGATCAGGGGTGCCTAACAGGTGAACAGATATTAACTATGATCTCTTATTATCCACCGTCGTCTTACCACAAATCCCAGGGCAAAGAATGTGCCCATAGCGCAGATGAGGGCAACTAGGAGATCTGGATTGGTGCCATGTCCAAAGCGCCCCAACATGGGGAAGAACACCTGGAGGAATGTGTAGAAGAGGTAGCTGAAGTACAGGAACGGCATCACTTGCAGGATTTGCACGATCAACACCCAATAGTATCCTACAAACATGTAGAGATTTTTTAGAGTGGTAAACTTTGATTTTATGAAAATTACTTACCACGATCATGGAGGGTAGTCAACAGATTAATCAAAAGAGCTCCCGCATAAAAAAGCAACGACACCATACAGAGATAAGGGGTTCTCAGACTAATAGCAGTTAATATAATGGCAATAATAGCCAATAGCACACAGTGCGCATGTAGACTCATATGTATGTGATTGGGATGGCTAATTTTGTTCTAGAAAGCAAACACTTACACTAACTGAAGACTCTGCAATCAGCTGAAATGTAACTCACGTTCGTCTTCAGGGTATAGTAGAGGGTCAGGGGCAGAACCTGTCCAATAATTGCCGGAACGATGAAAAGACCAATCACCAGCCAGTTGTTACTGAAGTACGTCATCGAACGATCTCCGGCATCGAAAAGCACTGCCATTAGCAGGGGCAATCCCAGACTGAGGACCATTCCCAGCACATGTAGTCCGAGGATTATGGCAAACCAAATGGATATCTGGCACACCGAGGCATCCGATTCACGGGCCATTCTCAGCAAAGAGCAGCCCACCAGAACCAGGCTGATCACGGCAATGCAACAGTTAAGGATTACGCCAGTGGTCTGGGTATAGTACACAAAAAACAAGCCCAAATAGTCAAAGAATACAGCATGCCCTTCACTGTGATCCTGTAATGAAATATTAGGTAATACTATTATTGATTAATTTTTGTCCAATAATATAAATGACTCACCTCTGGATTGTACAATTCACTGGCATTTGCAAAACCCCGCACCAGCGACAAAGCATTTTCTCCCGAATTTTGAAGGGAATCCAAGGGCACCGCCTGAACATTATCAAAAATGGTGTGATACACATATCCATTGCTGATTTGAGCCATATCGAGGCCTTGGAAAGTTGTCGTTTTACTACACAAGCTAAAGACAAAGAAGGGTAGCCAACTCACCTGGCAGATCTCCAAAATCCCGGAAGATACGGAAATCCGTATCGGAGGGCAAAATGCCAGACTGAAATATCTCCTCGGCCATTGTGGTGGCAAATGGATGTTTCGCATTTTGATAGTAGTACTACAAAGAGAAAATAAAATGTAGATGAATTTATCAAAGCGTGGCGCTTTCATCAAAGGCAAATAGCATTCCCGAAATCAAATTGCAGCAATTAAACAATTCCAAACTCGATAAACAAATATAATTTATAAGGTCTATAAACTGCAAATAGCCATGAGTGTTGCAAACTGTTTCCTGGTCACCCCGTGTGATTCGTCATAGGTACCTTTATGAGCCAGGGATTATTTGGGCCGCTCTGGAACAACAGATCACGACCTCCGCTGCCGGCCACCTCCAGATTTACTAGCGCCCTATCAAATAATTTTTGTTGAAATTGTGTTAAACTATAAGGGATAAGCCCACTCACTTGCAGTTACCAGCCCATTTGTGCAGGGTGATAAAGCCATGAGACGCCTCCAAGGGATTCTCCTCGGCTCCGTTGAACAAAAACACAATGGGATGTTCGAATGGTGACCCCGATATCGCCACTTGGCGAAGGACCTCCAGCATGACCACAACCATAGTGCCATCATCACCGGAACCTTTAAAAAGAAATTAATACCAATGATTAATATTTTTTTTTTTTAACTAATTGTTTTGCCACATTTAATTTGTTTTATATTTTAAAATAAATAAATAATGATTAAATGAAATTAAAAAACATAGAAAAGGGAAATTCCAATTAAAAAAAGAGGAATTTTACTTACCAGGACTGCTGGGCTTGGAATCAAAGTGACTGTTGACCAGAAGATAGGACGAACTATTGGAGCTCTTGGTACTTATTTTCACGACCACATTCTGAACGCCCTGGTACATGTTCACCATTTGCCAATGCATGTAAGCGCCTGAGGGCTGTTGAACATCCAACTCCAGCTCGTAGAGATCACTGCGCATTGCGGCCCGGATGTTCTCGACTTCCTCGACGAGGAAGGCCACCGTGGTCACCTCATTGGCCACACTGCCCACCACCTTGGGTCCGATGCGGTCGTACTTGTAGAGTAGCCTTTGAGCCCGCTCCGCCACGAACTGGCCAGGTTTGGTGGACTCATGCGCTACCAGGACACTGTCCGGCAGTCGATGGTAGAGGGGGAACACCACGGCGTAGAATAGAGCCACCCACAGGAGCAGAAACGATGGTGCGTAGTACCAGGGCAATCTGTAGTTCAACCGCTTTTGCTGCGACAAAACATTGATCAAAGCCACGTCGGACTTGACTTCGGCAGAACCCTATAAAATAGTTTATTAATTAATTACTACAAATTGATTCCGAAAATCAAATCTCACATTCTCGTCCCTTGACTTCATGTCGATGGTTTCTGGTTGGTCGCGAATGTCGAACATTTCCTTTGGCCAGTCCGAACTGAACTGAAAAAGCACTGACTTGCGGCACCCAAAGTTGAAGGTAGACGGATATTATCAGCAGTGATTCGCACTTTGAATCCCATAAAGATTAATCGCTTTATGCATGCAATATAGCGTTCGATGCTAACGAGGATATGGCAAAAGCCCGACTATTTCCCAGGGTCTTCCCTCTTCGTTTTACCTCTTTGGTATCTAAAAAGTGGGAGATTTATGGACTCCTTTATCTTTATATCACTTTAAATTGCTTCAAGATATTGTTTTTCGCACGCTTGTTTACCCCGTCAATCGCCAGTCGCTCAATCGGGAAATCTTATCTTTATGTCCCCAAATGCGATATATATAATACATCTCGTGCTACCTCAGTACCACATCTTATTGAGACCACAAACAACTAAATTCGCAATGTTTTAAGGTAGTTTAATGACACATCGATCGATTTACAGTTGAGAAACCCGATTAGAGAGGTGTACAATGTTAATACTTAGGAAGGACATCGTGTAGACTTCGAATTCTTTAAGACTTCTTACAACAAAAGATGGTGGTTACAAAATACATATTAAAATCAATCAAAATACACATTATATAAAAAAAAAAAAACAATTTCTTTATAGCTATCCTATTTATTTGTACTTGGTCAGTTTATGTCCATCCAATCTATTGTCTACGTCTATTGTCGCATCGACTCAGCAAGATTTTCCAGCAACTTGGCGAGATCTTTTGCATATGGAACGTCGGAGAATTTATGCGGATTATCGGCATAAACATCGGACAAATCCACCCGGAGACCAATGAGTACTTTGTATAGCTTGGTGCCTCGCAGCATGCCCTTGTACTTGGCCCCGAATCCGAAGAGTTTCCACAGCATTAGTACGGCCAAGCAGTGCTCTGCGAACGAGTCCAAAGCATTTTCACCAGCTTGTGCCTTTTTCTCCACTGGTTGGATCAAAATATCACGCAGCAGGTTAATGAAGTCGGATTGTTCCACCAGCTGGCTGCGGTTGCTGTTGAAGAAGGACATGTTGCGAAGGATACGAAGGCACAGGATCCTCTTTGTGCTCAATGGTGTTGAGCGTCGAATGGTGTTGACTAGGGCATGAAGATGGCAAGCCTTGGATCCGACATCATAGCGGGAGAATACCTCCCAGAATCCCAGCCAAGCTATCAAAACGACCGGTCGTACTTTGGTGGCGTGAGCGGCCGATGGATTTTCCGGGAGAATCGTATCGAACATGTCCACCACATGCATTTTGGCCAGACTCAGCCGACCCTCGGCACAGGAGCAGCAATTTGCCATTGCCCTCAGCGCGGGCACCACACTTTGATTTGGCTCCCTGTTGGGGGTCTCTTTCCTGGTCGTTTCGAAGTCAGCCACGCGAACCATCAATTGGAGCAGGGAATGCGACTGCCCGGAGGTAAGCAGCGAAGTCTGTTTGCACATCTCGAAGGAGTGCTCCGTAAGGAACATGATCAGCGTGACGGTGATCTCTTTCAAGTGCGGCGAATGCGACAGCCAAGGCCAAATGCGGATGAGGATTCGGACAAGAGTGGCGGCCATAGCGGGCTGGGTGATCACAGCATGATGCGAACTGTGCCACTGACCCAACATATTGATCAGCAGCAGGAGATTGCTCAGGATATCGCGCGACTTGTGGGCTCCCACTCGCTTCACATAGACGCAGGCATTGCCGACGACGGGGTCGTCCAGAAAGGTCTCCAGTAGGTGAATCACTCGATCCAGCAGCATCATTTGCCCGGCCGCCTGCACAGCACACGGTGAGATCTTCAGCAGCCCGCCGAATGTCTCACAAATCTGCACATGATTTGCTCCAGGTGCTTGGAGAAAATGGAAGGTCCTGGGCGGGTAATGGCGGTCGAAGAGCGCATCCAGGCGGTGGTAAAGTAGCACCGCTGCATTGCTGGCTTTGATGTCAGCCGTTGGGATCTGTGCATCACCCCCTGCGTCTGACTGCATGAACCACGACAACAGTTGCTTTTTCATCGATATCATTTCGTCCTTGCCATCTGCCAACTCCTCCTCTTCAAACGACAAAATTTCATCCATTTTCAATTCATATCGTTCCAGCTCCCTTATCAAGCTATCCGTCTCCGGAACATTGTGCGCCTTGATGAACACCATGGACAGTGCCGAGAGGGTGTAGCGCTGTAAGGTAGTGTTGATGAATGACATATGCAATCCGTAGAGGAAGAAATCCAGGAACAGGGCCGGCCAACTCCTTAACTGCTCGTCCAGGAAGGCACTCGCATTGGGGTCCTTGCTGAATACCAGAAACAACTTGAACAGCTGAACCAACAGGCGTTCGGGACTTTCCAGGTTCAGCACATTGTTGGTCAGCGACAGAAAGCTCTGCAGCAGGACGGAATCGCGGCAAATGGTCCTCTGCAGGAACTCAAAGTTGTCGCGGTGGCACAAGGCGTACAACTGGCATATTTGTCCTACACACAATTCCAGGAAGGGAAGCGAGGAGACTGCTGGCGGTGGCGATGGCGGTGCCGTTGGCGGTGGCGTTGGCGTTGGCGTCTTCATCACATCACTGAGACCGCTCATAAAGCTATGCTCGCACAGCGTGGCGCACCACTCCGGCTTGAGGTCCACCATCTGAATGCAGATGGCCACAAAGCAGCCGACTATCTCACACGAATGCTGCTCCCCCGCCGCCTCTTTGGTAATGCAGGGTGCCACGTGCAGGACTCGCAGCGCATTGTAGGCGTCCTTCAGAAAGTCATGGTTGCGCAACAGTTCGATGCTAGCCTCGGCGCCAATGGTCGGCATCAGCAGAATGAAGACGCGTCCGGCCAGCTCCCTGACCAGCATCACTTCGTGGATATCCAGGAGCGTGGTCAAGCAGCAGGCTGGCAGGCCGCCAGGTAGAAAGTCCAGGCTGGGCAGTATGCTGGCCATGCTGGCGCCACAGCTGGTTATCCAGTTGGCCATCGAAACCCATGCCAACGCACGCACTTCGCCATCGCTGTGCCCGCACAAGCCGAGCAAATAGCGCAACACCTTCTTCGCCACTCCGGCATCGTCTGTGGAATTGGTCTTGGCGGAAAGCCGCGATTTGTGCATGTGCAGCTGGCAAATGATGTGCAGGCAATCCCGCTGCCACTGCGATCCGGTATGCGTCGAGGTCCTCAAATCGCTGGACAGCTGTATAAAGTGCTGGCAATATTGCTGCGGTCAAAGATTCAAGGTGAATACTAAACAACTATGTAATTTCAATCAACAATATCCAGTACTCACCATCAGCTGAACAGCGCTGAGACTTAGCTGCCGCTCGCTCAAGTGCCGCAGGATGCTGAGCACGCAGCGCACATGCTGCAGCTGGCGCAGCTCGAAGTGCGTCTTGGCCAACAGGCTCAGCTGCATGAAGAGCTTGCCATGCCAGTTCATGGTGACCCCATGGCACTCGGCGGACAAGAGTTGCACCAGGCACTGGCTAATCAGGTGCAGAGTTTCCAGCGGAATGAGGCGATCGTGCAACTGCAGATGGAAGCTATGATGGTGATCCGTCTCGAGGGCCTTGCTCAGTCCACTCATCACCTGGGGCTGGCGGTGGCGCAGACAGGTGAGGCACAGTTCCAGCAAGTACTTGTAGAGCTCACGATCCGCATCGTTGCCCGGCGCCAGGCGGATGTACTTGTGGACCAGCTTCCACAAACGCTCGCCCATCTTTTGCGGAATGGCGCTGCGCATGAGCATGAGGAACATCTGAATGATGGTCACGATCTGTTGCAGATCCTCGTGGCTGCTGCAGTTACCGGCTGCAGTGAGCTGGCGTCCAAGCTGTAAGTCCAAGTCGGAGGCCTGCTCCAAAGCCAAATCGTGCACATTCATCTTGAGGCAGTCCCTGATGTCCAGATTTCGCATAGCCTCCAATGTGATGCTCGCCTGACACTGGCGAATGCAGTGGGCCATGTACAGGCGCCAGTGGTGGGCAGCTCTTTCCTTGTCTCCTCCGAAATGGGTGTTCTCCAGGTGTTCCTGCAACGCGATTCCCTCCGTCGCAACAGTGGCGGGGGGTGAGTCGTTCACTTCGTATGTGACGGGCAGAATCATGGGACCCAGTTCTACGTCCAGCACTAACTGGCCCTCCTGGGAGTTGATGTAATTGTGGAACAGCATCTGGAACAGGCAGATGCTGACGTCCTGGCGCAACTGCGTCTCATGGGGCAGCATGTACAAGGCGCGCAGCAGACACACATACACCTCGAAGGTGTTCGCGACCTCCTGACGGAATCCAGCATCGTGCAGCAGCAGCTTCATCAGGATACTCACGGCGGGCAGGAGAACATCTGCCGGATCGTTGGCACTCTCCTTCTTCAGGGCATTGTGCAGCGTCTCCAAAAGCAGTCGGTATCCATCCTCCTTCGTGGCGAAGTCATCGCAAGCCTTCCAGTTTTGCAGCAACACATTTAACTGAATCATCGTGGACTTCCTGATGGGGGGCCTCAGGTCCTTGGTCTGCAGCAATCGGATGAGGGCATCCAAGCTGCGCTGTCCCTGGAACGGCTCATCGGTGTGGTCATCAAAGATGCTGCTATAGTTCACCGGCGGTTGGATCAGGCAGAAATCGTTCGCAAGCATCTCAATCGGAACCTGGTTCATGGTTGGCTTGTATTTCTTCGTGTAGTCCTGACATTGCAACACGAATGCGATCCTGGTAGCGGCATCGCTTCTCAACTGGGAGTCCGGATGGAACATGTAGTAAACGTAGCCACGCAGCATCAGTGTCGGATCCAGGGGGCTAGTGTCCGGCTCGAACAGCTCCCAGATCAGCTTGTGCAACTGCTTGTACGAAACCGACTTGCAGATCAGCAGGGGCAGCACGGGCAGAATCAGCTGGAACACTGTGCCGAAGTCCGTCGCATTGAGCAGGCAGCTCAGCTTGAGCAGCATTATGGGATAGTCGATGCACCACTGCCGCACCTGTTCCGGAGCATCGGCCTCCATACTCTGCAGAATCAGGCCCTGCAGTATCTGGGTGTTGAGTGGCAGTCCGAGGATGTGATGGCGCACCAGCTCCAAGTTGCTGCAGCCCGTCATGTAGACCGTCTTGTTCATGAAGGCATGGAAATGCGACACCACGGGTCGCGGCATCAGGCGATACACGAAGCCACGGAGATGTGGGTCCGGCAAATGCATCAGTATAAATATCAACTTCTCCGCGTCCTCTCTCAACTTCGGATCGCCCGCGTAGAGGGGTGTGCACTCCACGACGGCGTCGAAGAGCTGCTTCACCAGCGTCTCACTGCCCAGTTGGTCGACCACCATGCACACCTGCCGATGCACTTGGATCAGCTGCACCGCACCCATTCTGGTGTTCGGCCGCAACTGGTTGAGGGCCAGGCTGTAGCACCGCTTTAGCTTGATCAAGTGCTGCTCCTCCAACGAGGGCTCCGCGGACAGGAGGCGGATGACACCGCTCAGTGACTTCACGCGATCGGGCTGGCAGGACAGGTTGGAGCTGTCCCAAATGATGCGTTTGATGAGGGACTTGGCGTGCGTCTGGTCCATCTGCTTGTCGTAGTTGAGACTCAGGATGACCGTGTCCTTCAGCAGGCCGTGGAAGATCAGCGACTGCAGGCGGGAAACCACCATTGTGTCCACAAGCTTGTTCAGGTCACTGCCCTCCAGACTGTTGTTGTAGGTGACCAGCTGCTTCGATATCTTTGCGATGCGCAAATTGCCCAAGTCTAAGGCTCGGGAGCCAAGAACGTCATAAGTGCGGACGCACTCCATGCTCAGCTCTAGGATGTGCCAGTTGTCATTCGTGGGGCAAAACAGCAGCGGGGAGATCAGCTTGGTGCAGTTGACCAGCAGCACGCCCAAGGCGCTGCTCACCCTCAGCTGTTGGGGCCGCGTGGCCGGTGGATCCAGGCTGGCCGCATAGCTTAGGGTATTGTGTTGCAGCTGGATACGACGCTGTAGCTGCTTCAAGCATTCAATGAGTGCCCGGTTGACGTACAACAGGCTGCCATCATTCCGGTTTTGCAGATGCACAAGGTGCAGGAATATGTACGGCGACTGTAGGAAGTACTCGGCCGGATAGTCGCCCATCCGGATGGTCAGATGGGTTAGCTGCACTTGTAGCTCCAGCACACTCATGGCGCCAACGCGCGGCATATCGATCATGCTCGTCATGCTGGCCACATCGTCCAGGCACGGACGCGTCCAAGCGGTCTCGAAGTCCTCCGGCTTGAGATTGGCCAGCAACTGGTCGATGCCGCTCGCCACGGATTCGTTTCCCTGGCTCTGGTTAGTCTGGCTAGTCAGGTCGATCGCACTGAGGCTGGAGATGGACGGCGTAGCCAGGTCCATTTTGTACTTCTGGAGCAGCAGCAGCTGCAGGTCGTCCAGGAGTTCGGTGACCCGCTTGGAGTTCAAGTCCCGAAGCACGCGACGCACCTTCTCCAGCTCCGTCTTCAGTCGCGCGTAGGGAATCTTGCGGACCACCGTCTCGCCGTACTCCGAGCGCAGCAGCTCCAGGATTATGGCCAGCACCCGGTCGGCGGCCAGTGGAGGAGTGTGCCCGAACCAGCGGATGAGCTGCTTGAGCAGCAGCACCGGCTTGAACTGGATGTGCTCGTCCAACTGCAGGCACCGGATGAACCGCGTCTCAACCTGCTCGAGCGCGCGCAAGCGGATCTCCTCCGATTCGCTGGTCAGCTTGGCCAGCTGCGGATCCGCCAGTTGCAGCGCCAGACTCTCTTTCGCGCTCATTTCAATAGCCCAATATTACCCTAATTTCACCTCGTGTTCAGTTCCTTTTCCGGCTGCAAAAGTTCCAGGATGACATTTTTGAAAGCGTCAACTCGAATTTAGCCAGCGTTGCCAGACTTTGCCAGCTTTGTGTTTCTTGAAAAGGGGCTAAATAATCCGGACAGTATCTGGTATTTTTCATAGCTTATCTAGTCTCCGGCTTCAATTAGATTTAAAAATAGATTTATAATTAGTTTTTCACATTTAAATATTATTTAGTTGTCAAAGGAAATATTGTTGATATAAATTATGTATTTTGTTTAATGCTTATTGCAGGAAATAAAGTTACTACGATAATTTTCTTATTTCCAAGAATTACTTTCTTTTTGTATAAAATCCCCACAATTATTTTTGGTATATTTCCAGCAGCCACCTGGTTTTTCGATGCACTCCATTCACGGTCACACTGGCACTTTATGTTTTAAAAAAATCGCCCATCTGATCGGACTTACTTTGTAGCGGGTAAATAATTGTGTTTGTTTGGAATTGCTGCGAAGTACTAGACTGTTCTGTGTGTGTGTATATCTGTTTATCTCCGATTTCGTGCCATTCCGCGGACTTTGCAGTGTATAAAGTGTAATTATGAGATTGCAAATACACCCACACGCACTGTTACCGATAATAATCTGTTGCCAACCGGTTTTTTGTAAATGTAAACTTGAACAGAGTGTCATTTGTGCGATGTCCTTATTCCATCTGTTGTGCTTTTTTAATTCAAATCTGGTTTCATTGTTTTGGCATCTTGTGACGTCAGAGGACGGCGTGGGTTTGTTTTTATTATTACTATGTTTTCTTGCGCGCCATAAAGTCAATAAACATGTTTGCATACATATGTATATGGTATATAAGTATGTATGGAGCCAAATGACACTTGATGAATTTGTAAACCAAACAAAGCATATGCTGGAAATGGAAATGGCGAAATGATGTCACTTTGGCACACGCCCGGGTACTTCCCTGCCCCTCGCACTCCCCCTTTTACTACTCGAAAACTTATTCACCGGTCGTGTCCTTTGCTTTTCCACCTTTTACGTACTCACACATACATATGTGTATAATATATATCACACCCTCCAGTTGGAAATCAATAGCCCTCCCTCTATTTCCTAATTACAAATGGCATGCAATTAAGAGCAAGTGTTCTCTCCTCCCCACTCTAGTTTCCAATTGGAAGCAACAGGTCTCCTACAATCGTAAATAAGAATTGAATATTTGGCCCATGTGCCAAACTCAAACTAAGCGACATGAATTTATGGCTAATCTTATCGGACTGGCCACTTAAATCCTCGATTACGACGCGATTATCGTTTCGCATCACTGCCCATTGACCTTTGACCAAATCAATTGCTTAGCGATTCAAATAAAAATTAGATTTATAATGCGTCAAGGAAATATTCTCTACCCGTTTTATAACTACATCCAATTAATGTTGCATTCGTTTTATATTTACGTTTTGAAAACTTCGGCTCGCCTTTTATATTTTCATTTAAACTTTAACTATAAACGAACATTAAAATAAAATGATCTACATAACAACACGCTAACGATTGAACATGCGTTAATTATAAAACTAAACAAATGATTTAAAATGTGTGAATAATTGAAGAAAATAACACAAAATTTTCGTCGACGAACCTAAAACACGTTTTGACTTGTGTTATCACTTAGTAATAATAGGAAAAAGAATAGGAGAATAAAAGCATTTTTAATTATTTAATTTTTGCCGAAACTTGATTTGACCTTTAAAACATTTTTTTAAGTAGAGTGTTTTGAATTCAATACTGCGAGCTCTATATATTTTTCCAAGGTTATAGTGGCGTTACTCGTAAAGTGTTCCCGTAGACAAAGTCAGGGACTGACAAATTGTCACCTCACCCTGTGCAATTCACCGTCCTCTCGCAATTTGCATGTGCGAAATTGATTATAATGCACTCTTTGCATTCGAATGTCTGGCAATTCAATTAGCAGGCTGAGCAAACTGCGATATGTTGGCAGGGGCTTTCAATAAAATAATCAAATTCAGGCAACATGTTGCGATAAGTCCGAAGTGATAAGCAATGGGAACTTTGAATTGCCACTAATCACACACAGAGCACCATTTAGATTGTACAATGACAGTTTAACTATCGTTTTTTTATTTTTTATCGCCAACGCCTGGCGTAAACAAACGACTGCGACCTATGACTCACTTTACCTATCAGTTCTCGGTTTTGTTTCACTCAGAATAATTAGGAGTTCTACAGTGGGTAATAGTTTATGGCCTTGCTCTTGTACATATGTTCATGGGGATCCACATTTGGGCTATATACCCTCCACGGTACGCTGAACCCTCTTTGTGCCATTGTCTTCTCATATTTAAGCAGTGAATTAGCTTTCTGACCCACACTCATGATAAGATAATAAAGCAAATCATGATTCTGGCCAAACATCTGGCCCTAGAACCTTAAAGTGCCTCGATTTCGACTCGATATTCACCCTAAAAACCCCTGTTGTTCGTATTTTTCTGACTCAAAAAAGTTTCCGTTGTTGTTTTCTGTAAACAGTGAATTGGTTTACGATTTAAACAGTAAAGTCGTTTGTTTAAACAACCTTTTTCGAAGAGCGAGCCAGTAAGTTTGCTTCTAGCTTTTCTTTGTCGTGGAGAGAAACACGTTTCCCTCTTTTCCACTTTTAGCACACCTTTGAGTTCATTTGTTTATACGGAAAACACTTAGGCAATTATCTGTGAGAATAAATGTGTTTTTTTACTCACAAATACTTTGTACATGTATTTTGGAAGCCATCTCTCTTCTACGATTTTTCCATATTTTTATCTGAGTTTATGGCCCATCTATGAGTCAGTCACAGGTGTGAACTTTTCCTATCTGGGACACCCCAATTAGGTGTCGGGGCTATTAAATTATGAGTTTTGGAGCAGACATTAGTAAATCATTGCCCATATATCAAATAAATGACACGCTACCTAGGATAAACTGATATACTCAGTTGATAAACTATAATTATAAATCCTAAAACAAATTTTCTTTCTTATTTAGAGTATTCAAAATTTCATATGGAAATATTTTGGAATTTTTGCTCAGGCTGCGCAATTTCGTTTTAAGGAACCATTATAATCATAAAAGAAATTCGCAAACTTATTGACTGAATTGCCAACCATTAATTCATGAAAGTTTCAGATTTTTGAAGGCCATTTTATATACCTAATTTGACCTACATATATAGTTCTATCCAGTTGGAAATTTGCATATTTTGTTCGTTTTTCGAGACAACCATGCAGTCTTACATATGTTTCCATCAGCACGATGATAAACCGGATAAAAATTGCAGCCACAACGCATATTATTAATGACTCTCCTTTGTTCATTCGTTTAAATTTTCCAGAGCATTTACACATGGGCCAGAGCAGCGAGATCGAGCACAAACACCTACAATTCCGATTCTGATTCCAAGTAGTTGCAATTCTTCAGCCGCACATTCCCTAAACCCGACGAAATGGCACAGAGCGTTCCATTGGCTCGGGCCATTGGCGGCTACATCTTTGGTCTCCTGCAGGCATGCATTCGTTTTGTTTTCCGGCTGATCTATGGAGCCAAAGGTGAGACTGTTCCCCCGATCACGGACCCCATACTCTTGCAGTCGGCCACATCGCTGGCCAGGAAGATCCGCAACCAGGAGGTGAGTGCATAGAGTATTCGCTCTTATAGTGTACCTAAAGTATTCCCGTATTTCAGCTAAGCAGCGTCCAGGTCCTGGAATCCTTCATCCGACGCATCAAGGAGGTGAATCCCATTCTAAACTGTGTGGTGGACGAGCGGTACGATCAAGCGCTTAAGGAAGCAGCTGAAGCGGATGCCTTGATCAAGTCCGGCCAGTACAGCGTAGAGGAGCTGGCCAAACAGAAACCCTTCCTGGGAGTGCCCATCAGCACCAAGGATTGCATATCCGTCAAAGGTGCGTTGTTCCCTTTGGCTTCTTGAAGTGGTGCTAATGTGAAGTTCCACCCTTTTTCCTTAGGCATGCTCCACACCGCTGGACTGTACGAACGTCGGGATGTGCGCGGTGCGCAGGATGCGGATGCCATGGCGCTGATGCGCAAGGCTGGTGCCATTCCCTTCGCCCTCACGAATGTCTCCGAGGTGTGCATGTGGTGGGAGAGCAACAACACGGTGCACGGCAGGACAAGGAATGCCTACGACACCAATCGCATTGTGGGCGGTTCCAGCGGCGGCGAAGGCTGCATCCAGTCGGCGGCTGCCTCCGCCTTTGGCTTGGGCTCGGACATTGGCGGCTCCATTCGCATGCCTGCCTTTTTCAATGGCATCTTCGGGCACAAGCCCAGCAAGCTGGTGGTGTCCAATGTGGGTCAGTTTCCGGCTCCCTTCAGTGCGGAGCAAAACACTTTCCTGGGCCTGGGACCCATGTCACGATTTGCCGAGGATTTGCGACCCATGCTGAGGATTATGGCGGGCGAGAAGGCTGCCCTGCTGAAACTGGACGAGGATGTGGACCTGACAAAAATGAAGTTCTTCTACCAGGAGTCTGATGGCGGTGGCCGTATGATCTCCGCCGTTGATCCTGACCTGAGACAGGTAAAGTTGGCTAGCTATTATTGGCCTTATTCAATATTTATATGCATAATCTGCTATGCCTAGGCCATGACCCAAGTGGTGCACCATCTGAGCGAGAAGTTCGGCAGTGAGAAGGTGGAGCGTATCCAGCTGCCGCAGTTCCGCCAGTCGGCCGCCATCTGGTTTGCCAATATGCGCGACGACAGCGGCCATGGATTTGCCTATCAGCTGGGCAACCTGGAGCACGATATCAACACGTATTTGGAGCTGTTCAAGTGGCTGTTTGGCGCCTCCAAGCACACGTTCATTGGCCTGTCGACGGCCATCATGGATAATGCCCAGTGCAAGCACGGTTCGCCCAAGTACGACCACCTGGTGCGAAAGCGGAATGAGCTGAGGGCGGAGCTGCAGCGCCTGCTGGGCGATAATGGAGTACTGATCTATCCCACGCACCCGACGGTCGCTCCCTATCACAACGAACCGATCACGCGACCCATCAACTTTGCCTACACGGGCATTGTGAATGTGCTGGGCTTCCCGGCCACCGCTGTGCCATTGGGCAAACTGGGGAGCGAGGGCCTGCCGCTGGGCGTCCAGATCATCGCCAACTTCAACCAGGATCGTCTGTGTTTGGCGGTGGCCGAGGAACTGGAACGAGCCTTCGGCGGCTGGGCCAAGCCCGAAGTGCGCCTGTAGGGCTGTAGTCTCAACTGTTTGCATAGCTGCGACTATGCAGCTTAGCTAGATGTTAGATAGTAGTGGTCAGGCTATCCTCCTGAACTCGAACCTTCACCCACCCACCAACCCAAGCGTTCGCCTGGTGATAAAAGGTTTTCCTTGCAATGTCACTTTCCGATGTGATTTTATCTATTTTGTATGTGTTTTTAATCGTAAACTAATCAATGATTCATGCGAATCCGTTCCCGTTTGGCATTTATAATAAATAATTGCAACCTAAGATGCGGTCTTTTCTGTGAAATTCAAGACGGACCGCGACAGGCAGGCGCCTCTTGGCCAAACAATAAGGGCAATAAGAGTGCTGAATTCGAGTCCGACGCACTTGGCGTGTAAACAATCTTTATTTGAAAGATCATACTTAAAGATTCATGTCGACGCACCACCTCCATTGGCGGGTTTGTATTGTTTTTGTTTTTTTTTTTTTTTTTTGCTTTTCAGTGCCAGGCACTGCTTTCCAAATAAACATTCTTACTCGGCAAGGGGGGACCTAAACAAATTAAAATTAGCAATATCAAGGATATCTTATTCACATGTGGCTCCTCTACATTACATTCGTAATTTGGTCACTTAAAACTACTGGCCATCGGTGCTGGGAGTCCGAAAGTCCAGAAACGGAAACCCGGGAATACCCGCAAGCTCTAACCCTTGCCGCCCAGCGAAAGGATTAGCTTGAGCAGCTCCGTGCGCTTGGCCTTAACGGTGTCGATGTGCAGAGAGGGCAGGCCGTCGATCACCTCGTACCTGTTCAGGTAGTCGGCTATGTGGTCGGTCATGCAGATGACGTGAATACCGCAGTCGTAGCCATTGGCCTGCTGGAGACAGCGCATGGGCCGAAACTTGGCCAGACGGACGCCCAGCAGTTCCTTGATCTTGTTCATCAGCACCATGGAGTTGCCGGTGTTGTTGTTCCCGTACGAATCGAAGTGATAAAAGGTCTTCTCCGGCCGCGAGAAGACCAGCAGTGACCAGTGGGTGCCGCCGGCATCGGTGCTCTCGTTGTCGTTCAGGGCAAAGAAGATGAAGGGCTTGCCGGTGGCCTGGTTCTGGTCGAGAAGCTGCTCCAGCTCCTGGTTGTCCATGTACTTCATGCACTGCGTCACCTCCGGTGCGATGAAGTGCAGGTCCGCGTTCGTCTTGTACTTCATGTGCGACAGGTACTCGTAGTAGAAGCTCAGGATCTGGTCGTTCAGCCAGTGGGGTCCATGGAGCAGCTGGACGTCGGACATTCGCAGGCAGGAGTCGTGGAAGGTCAGCGAGATGGGGTCCGCCTTGGAGTTGCTGCCCATCTTGGCGTGGTAATTGTTGTTAGCTCTGGGGCGCCGAGAATTCGGATTTTGGATCTGATTCTGGCGTGTGTGTTGCCTGTTGGGAATAAATAAATATAGAATTAATTTAATTGATTCATGTAAAAAATTGTATCTAGATTTGGGTTTTTTCAGTCCGTCGACTGTCACCTCAGAATTTTTCTATCTTGGGGCAGCATTTTCTCGACTCTTCTGCGCAAAAACTCCGCTGAAATAAAATAGTTTTCCCCAGAAATATTTTGGACACAACTCTAGCTTTTCAAAGTCAACGCACGAATGACATTTTCTTGGTTTCCCCTTTTGCTTTCCCTTTCGTTTGCCGGCCGGCACGATGAGTTTCACAGCCATCAACAATCGGTCATGCAACGCGCTTGACCAGGGCAATATTAAAATAAAATAAAATTCACTTTCAGCTTAAATATAACAATAACAAACTTGAACTTTGAAGAGAACGTTTTTGTTGTTGCGGGTAGCGATGAAAGTGCGTAGCAAAACAAAACGAAGAAGAGGGGCGGTGGGTGATGGGTACGAGAGCGGGAGCGTGAGCGGGGGAGGCACCCAATTCACTCACCACGCAAAATGGCTTCTCCTCGATGTCGTGACCTCGCAATTTGTCCTTTCTTTGGACACTCCTCGCGTATTTTCATTTATTTGGCTGTTAAATGGCAAATAACTTGAATATGTCAACAGTTTTTTTAGTTCTTATCAAATTACACAACACTCAGAAATGTTTTTTTCCGCGCAAAATATTATAATCGTTCTGTCTTCTTTGATTCTCATTTTCACAGCGAAGCTGCCAGACTTTTTTATGTTTATGAGTTATTGATAACTGGCAGCACTGTCGGTTTAATTTCTAGTGTTGGGTAACTTACAACCTATTTTAAATTTAAAAAATTTTACATTTAATAAACTTATATATTTTACAAGATTTTATGCGCCGTTGCGAGATCCCCCTAAATAAAATAAACATGATTTACTCAAACAAACTGTAATTTATATATTTTATTTAGTAATTTTTATTTCTGTACATTTTCTCATCATGCTACATACATATGCACAATTTAGAATCGACAAAACATAACCTTTAATTTTAAATTTGATTAACAAGCCTTTTTAAAATTCTCAAGCTTACAACCCTTAACATTTCTTACAGCTAGGCTTAAAATTTTCAGGACATACTAGTCTTTCGGACACATCCAGATTCTTAGAAGTTTCAAAAACTGTTTCGCAATTAGGTTTGTTTTCCGAAGAGGTCTCGCTGGATTCTGGAAAGGAAACATCTCCGTCTGCAGGATTCCAGGTGCCTCTTCTCAACTGCTCGTTGACCCACTTTAGTTGCTTGTTAATCTAGGAAAGAGATACGTCAGTCCTTTGTTCAAATTTCACTGAAGATTATTATAATACCTTTTCGACCAACTCCTCGTCATTCTCGCAAGAAAACAATTTTGCTGTAAAGTGAAATATATTTGAGGGCTTAGCCTTAATCGCCTCGGATGTAATGACCCGAATTATAGCTCGAATCTCCGGGTGGCGTTGCAGGTATGTCCAATCATCTTTTCGCATGTTTCGGGAAACATTTCCTATGGTCTCGTAAAATTTTGATACATTTTTGTGTAAGTTTTTTGCATGCGTAACATTCTCTGTATTTTCGGTTTCCTCAACGCTGGACGTTTTGGTGAAATCCATTTTTCACTTTGCCAAAATTATAACATTAAGTTTACAAAAGTAAATACGGCTTTGGTTTATTTATTTATGAGCTTAAAACTCTATGAGCTATCGATTCTGAAATTTGAAACTTGCCTAAAAATATTTAAAGAAAAATAACACGATTCCATATGCAGCATTCTGGTTTACCTAAACGATATCTTTGAATTTCAAATTTCATTACATAAGTGGCAAAATATTTATGTTATCCAAAAAAAACTTCCCGACTCCGTGACAATGCGTTTTGAAGCATTGCCGTGACCAGGATTCGAACCTGGGTTACCACGGCCACAACGTGGGGTCCTAACCACTAGACGATCACGGCTACGTCGGGTTGTGGATCGAGCTTTCCAAAATCCCAGCTGGTCACCTAATTAGTTAATTTGCCAAAAAAAATAGAAAATCAAATATATATATTACGTGTGTTTCATTATAAAACAACATATTTATCTTGAGGGTTTGGCTAACATTAAGTATACAGTTTTTTAAAATGTAAAAACTTTTTAAAAGTAAAAAAAAAAGAAATCCCGACTCCGTGACAATGTGTATTTCAACATTGCCGTGACCAGGATTCGAACCTGGGTTACCACGGCCACAACGTGGGGTCCTAACCACTAGACGATCACGGCTACGTCGGGTGATGACGGAACGCGGTCAAATGCCGGGTTTTACCTCCATGCGGAGAAAATCACAGCAAACAAAAGTTTGCGCCCATTAATTTGAAAGAACATGGATAACAAACCCACAACAACCCACACTTTTTAAGGGTAAACAATAATGAGTTGGTATTATATTGAATTTATTTATTAATTGCCAAATTTTAATTTAATTTGGTGTTTTTAAAAAAACGTATTGTTACTTATACTAAAAATTGTATATTGTGTCAATAAATGCCGTGTTTAGTTAACAAATAAGATTAATGGTATTTAGTAAATGTATAAATAATCCTAGAAACATAACTATGTATATTTGTCGGGCTCTCAAATTTACCCCTTAATTTTTATACAGAATGTCATCGTTTCGTGACTTCATATTTGAACATACTTCTTATACTGCTATTTATACAAATCATAGAGTAATCTAATCTACATACATTTTAAACTACAATACAAATCAACTACAATACAAATCATCAGCTTAAAGATAATATTTAGTGAATACAAATTGAGTTAAGACTGAGGCTTTTGTGCTTTCACAACTCGCTTGCCGGATCCTTTTTGGCTGCTGGCGGAGGCGGCTGGAGCTGCAGTGGATGAAGTGGATGAATTGGGGTTCCCACGATCCCGACGCTGCTTCAGACGCTCTCGAAACTGAATCCGCAGCGTTTCCATGGGCGTGTTGAGGGCGAAGTTCATGTCCGGAAGCTGGTAGGTGGCCAGCAGGAAGTTACAACGCACCCGTTCGTTGGCAATCTGCTTGATGAGCTCCTGCATCTCCTCGCTCTGCACCAGATTCCTGATGGCCGTGCTCACCTTGTCCTGCGAGTTCGAGGAGTCCGACTCCAACTTCGGTTTCTTAGGGGCTTTGGATCCGCCGGCTTCTCCCGCCCCCAGAGCAACCGACTCGAACTGGAGGTCAGGACTTATGCGTCGGGCGCCTTGCTGGCTCTTCCTGGCCCTATTGCGTCCGGTTTTACCGGTCACATCGGCCGATGTGCTTGGCGATGTGTCCTTCATATCCGAAGACGATGGAGATGTTGAGTCCGCACTGCCCGCCGAATGAGGGTCCGTTCTGGCAACCTTTGTTGATTTAGGGGTGTGTTCGTTGCTTAGCTTGGCTTTGGCGCCGCCACTACTAAGGGGTGTTTCACAGCGTTTCGAACCCATCGTTTCGTCAACTTCACTCGCCGAATCCTCTTCTGAGTCTGGTATTTCTATAGCTTTATAATTGCTCATTATGTTTGTTGGCTTCTTGGCAAACCAGCTGTTAAAATGCAGTGCTTGATAACAACCAAAAAGTGTTGGGTAACTTGAATAATGGGTGTCGCCACCTGGTGTTCGTTTGTCACTAAAATCAGCAGAAATTTGTAATCACAAAATTTTAATTGAAATTCAATATGTTTCGGTTTAAGATACTGTCTCTTACATACTGTATTTATAAACATTATAATGGCACGTTCAAAAAGTCGATCTGCAACACTGTTGCTTAGATTTGGTTTCTGGCCGCCAGCGTCCAACAGCCCGTCGTAGCCGTGATCGTCTAGTGGTTAGGACCCCACGTTGTGGCCGTGGTAACCCAGGTTCGAATCCTGGTCACGGCAATGTTGAAATACACATTGTCACGGAGATGGGCTAATTTTTTCCTTTTTTTAGTGTTATTAAACAATAATTAAAATTATTCAGAAATATGACTAATGCTAGCATCTAAGCTTTAAAGATATTTGGATGAAACCCAACAGCCTTTTTTCAATTGTAGTAAGTTTATGTTTATTATATGTCTATATATCGAAATGGACCGAAACGTACAATTGTATCATAAAGCTAAAATAGGATCAATTGTTAAATAATTATTTGTTGTATTAAGACCCGTACGCTTTAACTGTAAATCAAAAGTTTGAATAAAATTTTTTTGTTACGGTTTTAGAAAAAAAAAATTCATTTCAAACTATCTTATTTGGCTCAAAAGTTATGATAAATGTTGCCGTTTTTTGACGTTGTAGACGTGACTTATTAGAGTAAAGTTCTTTTTAAGAAAGGTAACGAACCTCAAGTTTGTTCGTTTTAGAGTTCGATAAAATACCTTATTATTTTTAACTACAAAAAACAACATTTTTTTTCGGTTTAATTTTGTGTCTAAATTTCAGTAAATCGCATTAAAATTAACCAAGGTATAGCCATATTTATACCGGTACACTAGTACTTGTGTACTCATTTTCCAAACTCTATTGCTGATTTCCTCAACTAATTAAAACTACTGCACATATGGTTTTAAAATTTTAACACTATTTTTTTTTACATTATGGACGAGGTAACTTGGTTGAGTTGCTTAATATTTTTTACTTTATGATAAAAACTTATCCGATTTTCGCTAAAAACCTATATTTTTACTTTTAAAGCTTTCCCTAAAAACGATATAATTTTGTTTTTTTTTTTAATTCGGAAGATCCAGTACCAGTAAATAGTTTAAATGTTCCAAATAAATCAAAATTAATCTTTTATTCTCTAGCACCAACTCTGCAAACAGCAAAACAATGAAACAGAGGTTTTGGTTTGTCTTTTCCAAAAAAAAAATGGACTAGAAAACTCGTCTAACAAGTTTTTTTCAATTCATTAAAAAATTCTAGTTTCGGATGTTTGACTGTAGCTCGAAAAGTGAAAGGCACTTGACTGAGAAACACGCCTAGTGAAAGGCAATTGACCAAGATGAATAACATATTTTTATTCCATATTTTAATTCCAACAATTACTTTTCAAGCCCTTTATTTTATCATATATGATTACGTAATTCTAAAAATAAATACATATAAATTTGTAGTCACTGTCATAATTTTTAAAAGAAGTAATAAATTCAACAATCTTTTTAACAATCTTTGCTGTGCTATATATGACCGTACTAGATTGTTGGGATTGAAGCCGCGACTGGTTTTTTTCAAAACAGTCATTTGACCGCGGCCCATCATCACCCGGCATAGCCGTGATCGTCTAGTGGTTAGGACCCCACGTTGTGGCCGTGGTAACCCAGGTTCGAATCCTGGTCACGGCAATGTTGAAATACACATTGTCACGGAGTCGGGATTTCTTTTTTTACTTTTAGCAGTCTTTATTTAATTTTAGTCAGACTCTGAAGATAAATATGTTATATTTAAACATGATTTCATATTATAGTACATTAAAAAGTAGACATTGACTTTTTGAAAGTAATCTTCCATATATAACACAGATTTTGTATTTTCTTTTGCTAATTAATTTGGACTACCAGGTGACCAGCTGGGATTTTGGAAAGCCTCGATCCACAACCCGACGTAGCCGTGATCGTCTAGTGGTTAGGACCCCACGTTGTGGCCGTGGTAACCCAGGTTCGAATCCTGGTCACGGCAATGCTTCAATATGCATTGTCACGGAGTCGGGATGTTTTTTTTTAAACCATTTTTAAAATATTTTCTTGTCTATATTGGGAATGGGTAAACCCATTCACACAACCTCTGCTAAATTTTAAGATATATTTCTACTCCAAAATCTGCATAGTCTGACTGAATCAGCAAATTTTATTCATTAGTTTTTAAATTTTGTCCTATATAGAACCCGTTGAGTTTTCAGCCTATCGATTTCCTTTCCTTTGCTATATGCATACGTCAACAGCCTCACCGATTCGAAATATATTTGTTTTTTATTTTTTTATTAAATTTTTAGACAGTACTTGCAACACTGTTTAAATCCTGGTCGCGGCATTGCATCCATTTATAACGGATTCGTTTTTCATTGTCGCTAATAAATTGGTATTTGCTATTATAATATCCCAAAAACTTCTGTGCACATTTTGTTTTATATATTTTTAATTTTGATTATTTACAGTTTGCCTCTTTGCATAACATACAGAAGATATAATTATTTAATTATCATAAATTAAACTATTTGAATTACTAAAGCTTATAGGGTTTCTGCTAGAAATTGCATCTGGATCCGTGATTTAATGTTGTTCTTCGGTTAGCATAATAAAAACGCGCCCGGGCGGAATGTGTATCCACTTTAGTTGGGGGGAGGCATAAATAACAAGAAATAAATTGACACAATTTTGTATTATTAACTACGAAGCTAGCCATTCTCTACAACACAGGATGCTAAATAAAACGGTCAGGTGAAATTATATTTTAACACTCCTCTGCTGCTCACTGCTGGCCGTAGAGCAGCTCCGATCCAGGTGGTATGCTACTGGGATCCACATTTACATTAAAGTAGTTGGCTGGCGTGGCAACGGCGGGAAATGCGGTGGCCATTCCTGGGCCCTGTTGGTGTTGCTGCTGCTGCTGCTGGGGATTCTGTTGCAACGTTAGGTTGTAGGGGTTTTGCACATACTCTTGGTAGATGTCCGCCGCTGGCCCGGCACCAGTGGGCGCCGCCTGAGCCTCGTATACGGGTGCAAAGCTGTGGACAATGGATGCCTGCGGCATTTTGGGCAGCGAGGGGTAAGCATTTCCGGCCAGCAGATGACTTATTGGCACGTTGACGGCAGGATCGCTAATTTGAGCTGGCAACTGTTGCTGTTGGGCCTGATACTGCTGTTGGTAGTACTGTTGGTAGAACAGCTGCTGCTGCTGCTGATGCTCCAACTGCTCCGCAGCAGTCTCCGATGCCATGGGCACTTCAATAGCATAGCTATTATAGGTATTGTTGGTGGTCACGATGTTCGTCTGCTGCACAATTGGGGCGGACTGCTGCGCCGCTTGAGGACTGTGCATGGGGGAAGTAGGAGTGGCCAGCACGGCAGCAGCAGTTGCCTCGTTCACCAGATCCGGCAGCAATGCGCTGGGCTGCGGATCCGCCGCCGCTGGCTGCTGAGGTGGAACAATCAGAGGCTGTCAAATAAGTAGACAATTATTAAACAAGTTAACTTCATTTATTTCCATAAAACCCACCTGAGCGAATACAAAACTGGGCGGTTGCTGCAGTGCATCGGCCATGGGTGGCTGTAGTATAATACTCCGCCTCGGGGATTCCACGGGAGACACCAGATTGGGCGTAACTGCCGCCGGAGTGGATGCACTCGTTAGCAACTCGTTGGAGAAGAGCTCGACTTGGTTGGGCAACATGGGCGCGGCTGGCACCAGATAGGGCGCGTTCGGCACCAAGTCGTTGGGCAAAACCTGGACTTGGTTAGGTAAAATGGCCACCGCTGGTACCTGCTGCTGTGGGAGGGGAACCACAACTGCCACAGGAGTTGGGTTCGTTAGAGTCTGAGCACGCTTGCCTGCAAAACGAAGCATATACATGGATACTTTAACTATTTAACTTGTACAAAAAATATAAAAACTAAGGCCAATCAATGCAAAAGAGGAAATTTAAATGAAACCGAACGCTATTCATTGCTTTTGCCAAGTCTCTTGAGCACCTTCAGCTTGGATCTGAACTTGGCCCAGGGTTTCTTGCGCTGTTTGGCCGGAAGGGTCTCACTTTTGGCCGTTCCCGTGGGGGAAGTCTTGCGACAATGACCATAAAGCGGCAGGGTCAAGGAGTGCTCGATTGTGCCCGGAGCAGGGGCGTATCTAATTAGCGTAAAGTCCAGCGAGATTGCTGGAGAAATTAAATCTGCTGGTAGGGCAAGGGATTAAGCGGATTCTACAGCAACCGCGTTACGCACCTTCGTCGCGGAAGAGCTCCTCCTTGAGGTTGGGCAGGAACTCGCCGATGCGCCGCCAGGTTAGCTCCCAAAGAGCCTGCTGCAGACTGCCGTCCTGATTGTGGAACACCCGCACCGAGTGCATCACCAGCAGCATGTTCTTCAGTATCTCCTGCATCTGCTCCGACAGCGTATCCGATCCCACCTTCATGAAGCGCTCAATGTAGTCCAATATATCCAGCCACAGCTCGTTGAAGGCATTTCCCAGTTCGATTAGCGTGGTCAGGTGCTGCAGGAACACCTTGGACATGATGGTGGCCGTCCGAATGCGTGACTCCTCCAGTAGAGAGGCATCCAGTTGACCGGATGCACTGCTCTCCGGCAGCAGTTCATTCAACAGGGGAAACAGCACCTGGTGGAAGCAGGAGCACCATTCCGAGCCGGACAACGTCTGCAGATCGTGCACCAGCAATGCCCGCTGCTGCAGGCACGAGATGGCATGGGTGCGCACCTCCCGCCGCCGGTCCATGGCCAGCCGGGCGATGCCCTGCAGCAATGGACACCAGCCGGGTGACCACAAAGCTGCCGACTGTGGGACTGTACATCCCTCCTCCGCCCACCAGCGGAAGATCTGGGCAGTCCGCGTGTACAACGTATACATCAGGTCTAGCAGTTGAATGGACAACTGCTCGTAGCGCTGGGCCAGATCCTCCTGCTCTGCCGCACTTCCATGTCCCTGATTGTCGGCTGGGTCGCCGGTCAGAAGGGTCAGGTTACTGCTCGAGGCGGAGGAAGCCATGCCCGGCTTGCGATCGCTGCGCTTCTTAGCACTTCGCTGTTTGGCCGCCGTCTCCAGTTTCCGGCGCTGCCGAATCCCTCCATCCCGACAAGCCTCCACGAAGATGCGAATGCAGCGAACGCAGGCCTCAAAGTTGTAGGGCGTGATGTGAGCCACACTGCGCACGATGAATGCCAGCGAGTCCCAGCACTTGAATAGAGCAAATGGCGCGTGATCCAGTAGCTGGCAACTGTAGACAAGCGTGTTAACTGGCGGAGAACTCGAACTTGGCGGAGACTGGGGTCTGCAAAAACCATCAACTCTGATTAAAGAAGACTCATGCAATCTTTGGTTTGGGCAATGAAACTCACCTGGAGGCCGTGGTCAGCTCACTGTCCTTGTTGTTGACCAGGATCCAGTTCTCGGCACTTGGACTGGAGGCACCAGGTGCTGCCGACGCCTTGGAGAGCTCGGAATCCGAGGTGTAGCCACGCTCTGGTGCACTGGTTGCGTCCTCCTCACCACTCAAAGCGCCATCAGACTTGGCGCTACCGTTAGGCGGCAATGGCAGCTGGGCATCATCGTAGCTGGGCGGCACAGCTCCGGCTCCCACGCACTCAAGCAGATTGAAAATGATCTGCCAATCCTGCTCGGAGTGGATATTCTGGGCCGATGTCTTGAGCAGCTCATAGATTCCAATGGAAATCTGTTTAGAGATGCGCAACAGCAATGCAGGCTTGAGCATCAGCAGCATTTTCAAGGACTGCAGGACAATCGGACACAGCTCCTCGTTTCGCATCAAGTAGATGGCCAATTTGAGAACCGCCACAATGCAACGGTTGAGCAGGTAGTCGTAGCCGCAGGAGGCACTTCCCATGAGGAGGAGATACATCTGGTCGCGCACCGCTGGCCACAAGGGTATCATGCGATCCCGGTTGTGCACGACAATCTTCACCAGAAACTCCATCCAAAAGACAGTTTGATCTTCGGCATAGGGCAAACCAATTGATTTGTGACCCTGGGGCGCTTTCAGCAGACCCAGCACACATTTAAGCAACTCCTGCAGCGACTCCAGTTGCACAAACTTTGATTCCTGCAGCATTTGGTCCAGCTGGCACTCCTTTATGCACTTCCGTCCAAGCTTGATGAAGTCCTGCTCCTCGTACGTTGGTTCTCGCTGGCCCTCAGAACTGATGAAAGAGTACAGGCTGGAGAACAGACCCGATTCTTGCTTCTCGCGAGGCTTCTCCAGGATCAACAAGGCCTTTCCGTTTGCCTCGCAGAAGTCTTCGACTTCGATCAGGGATTTCGGAAGCAGTTTCAAGCGGAAAAGCTGCAGATATAGGTCCAGAATGTGCTTCCAGCTTTCCCTCAAGCAGTCGCCGTAGTCGTGAACCAATAAGAACACCGTTCTCATTGCCGCCTGAGCTTTGCCATTCAATCCAAAGTTCACAGCTTGCTGAATTTCATTGTTTGCCGGAGCGGGTTCGTGCTGTTCCACGCTGCTCAGTAGCGTCGTGAACTTGCAGAGAGTCAAAACGAGGGCATCGAAGTCGGAATGCAGATTATAGTGAGCCGATATGGCAGCTGACTTGGTGAAACCTGCAATAAACTTTTTAAGTAAACAAGGAAAGATCAAATACTATAAATTCACCCACCTGCAAGCGTTTTTTGGTAGCCCGATTCAGTGCTCTTGTCAAACATAAAGCTTAAAGCGCTAAGGGAAGCGCCCCACACGATATTGAAGATCTGAACGTCGTAGGATGCATTGTGGACATAGTGGAAATGACCATCATGTGTTGCCCCTCGACGAAGCAGCACTTTCCATTGATAGTTTTCACGCACCAAGCCCGTTTGCTCTGCTGGCATAACGATCTCTTCATTCCTAAAAAGTTAAAGAAAAGTGATATAAGTAAATTTATCTGATGAATAGTTAACAAAGCTTACTTAATAGCATTGAAGACTTGCGCCAACATTTCCTGATCGAAATCTTCTCCGCCATTTAGACCCCGCAAATTCTTGGTGAAATCCTCCAGCGTCATTGGGACATTAAGCCGCTTGGCATTGGAGTTGTGTTGATCCATATTCAGCATGATGATGGCGTAGGCCAAGCGGAAAGCTGCGTCGACGTTGGCAAACGGCTCCTGGTTTTGGGTCTAAGTTCAGGAAATAAAACACATTTACTCTGTAAGCCTCTACGCATTTCAATAGTATTACTTACATGCCAGTGATCGGAAAAGTGTTCCAGCACCAGGAAGATCAAAGGAGCCTCTCCAGGCAATCTAAAAGTCTCTAGATAAAGCCGCAGGGCTTGATCTACTCGAAGACCGGTAAAATCAAAGGAATCTACAAAGTTAATAAGGATTTTCGAGTCCACATTCTTCTTTTTCGAGATGTATTCGCCAATCATTTTCTTATCCAAGCCGGGATTCTCTCGAAGAAATAGGGCCACCTGCATGGGATCAAGCTCGGCATTGAGTATGCCGTGCTCCTGCAGATATTGGATGCCCTTCTCTGGACGCTGATTGAAGCGCTCAGTGCCCTGGGACAGCAAACGCTTTTTCTGTTTCACATTGGCAAGCTGTTCAGTGGTTATGCCCACTCCATCTCCAGATTGCAGTCGCAATCGCTGTGAACTGGTGTTTATAAAGCTGGCTATATTTTCCACACGCTCCTCTACAGTTCCGCCATTTCCGGAATCGATTACTATTCCCTCCAATCCGCTGTTGTGCCGTGAATGGCGACTTCCGCCCGTTGCTGGAGCAGCCTCTGGCAAAGATTCCCTGTTGTTGCTGTTCTTGGCCGCTGCACAGCTCCGCTCGATGCTGTCAATTACACTAATAAGCGTATCCATCGAGATGATGTGGGTGCTATAAACCGCATTGGTCGCTGACAGCGTGTACTTGCTCAGCAGGTTGGTCAGACTCTCAAACATATCCGTGCAGTACAGGTCACAATCGTAGTTGATGTACAGTTCGGTGACAAAGCCGGGAATGCGCCACAGCTGCAGAAGATTGTCTAGAGCCAACTCGCGCATTTCGTAGGGCGTCTTCGGATTGTCGCTCGCAATGATTTCGCTTAGCTTCCTGAGGTAGCCCTCGAGCTGGAACTTGAGATGACCACGGAGCGACTCAAAAAGCAGGAAGCAGAGCTGCAAATCGGCAGCAAAGATGCTGAGGCGCTCTGAGCTGAGAAGCTGGTAGGAAAAGAAAGTGTTATTGCATGTGTAATCATTGTAGAGGAGGATAGTTAATTACCGATATCAGATTTCTGCACAAATCATCCTTGACCAGCTCAAGCAAACCCTCGTACTTTCCAATGTTATCGGCAGCCACTTCGAATGCCACTGTGAGCAGGCTCAGACCCGTGTGCATCATGCTGTCCGAGTTCTGCTTGTCCAGGGGGTTGCAGAGGATTATGAGGAAGCGGAAGAGCTCCTGGATGAAGGGCAGGCCGTAGGGCGAGAGCGAAGCGGCCTCCTGATCGGTGGATTGTTGTGTGAAACGAACGCCTACCGAGTTGATGTACTCGCTGCTGTTTGCCTCCGTCAGGGAGCTGGTTGCCTCACCCGCGTCGCCATCCAGCAACGGATCCGAATCGGCAGCCTCCACTTGAATGACAGGTGCATCTGGGGCGCCAATTTCTTCTGCCTCCGAACTCGCAGTTGTGGTTGGCGTCTGCGTGATCTTGCCCTGCATGTCCAGAATGTTTCCCGCTGGACTGGCTGGCGTGGTGGCCAGTATGGGTGCCTTCAGATGGCCTGGAACCGCCAGGTTGGCAGATTGTGGTGTCTGTGGAGGGTCCTCGACTGTTGAGGATTTTCTGGGGGCAGCTGGTGCAGGTGCCACAGCCTTTCGCTTTAGTTTCTCTTGAGTAGCTCCACTGGCAGCATCGCCAATGGTAAAGCGCTTCTGGAGCATGGTGTCACTTCGCTCTTCGGCGAATTGCGGCAGTCGCATGAAGAAAAGGAGCACCATGTCCTTGAGCGACTGCTCCGCCGAGCGACGCAGCAGCTCACTCAGCCTTGGCTCAAAGCAGATCTTGAAGCAACTGAGCATCACCTCGCACATCGACTCATTGCTCACGGCAGCGCCCTCGGGACTCCGGATGAGGGTGTGCAGCACTTCGATGACCCGCATGAAGGTGACACTGTCCGAGGACTGGTCGGTGCCCATGAATCGGGCATGTGTCACTGCATCGGCAATGCGCTCCACAATATCGGCCAGATTTGGAGATGTGGGATCTGTGGGTAGTATGAATGAATGAGCAAGCTCGAGGAAGGACAGCTATCCATCTTACCTATAAGCCCATATGACAAGAATTTGTTAACCGAGGCCAGAGCCAGACTAGTCAGCGGACCCGTGGTATCCGCCGTGCGAATCACCTCCAGAAATGGTGCCAGGAACACCTGCGGCTCGATCAGGCGCAGATCCTCGATGCGGTTCAGATCCTGCTTGAGGTCAATGAATAGCTTCAGCAGCGAGTCCTTCTCGTCGTCCTGTTGGTGGAAATTCAAGAGCATTACTTCCAGTGACCAGCGGCCATTAGAACCATTAGTTACCACGTAGGCGGTGGCATTCCAGCGCGTTCCACGTCGCATGGCCGTCATCAGGGTGGCCATCTCGCCCCGCACCACGTAGATGCCATTGCCCGGAAGAGCCATTGTGTCCGGGTCTCCCTGTACGGGTACGGATCTACGACAACAACTAGTTGGCTTCCAGCGCTAGCGCAGAAAATTGCAGTTTTTGTGGGGCAGGGCAGCTCAGCTCCTCCTCCTCGCCTTCGACCTTCGCATATGTTTTTGCACTCGCCACTTGCCCACTCGCACTCTCTCGCAGCCTCGGATGAAAGTCGGCCCGTTTTCTAGTTACACATGTCCTCCAAAACCTAATTAAACGAACTTGTTAGCTGCTAATTTTTGGTGACGTTTACGTGTCGTTTGTTCTTGTGTGCAGCCCGAATATTTTGCACGAACGTCTTCCAACACCGGCGCGGCAGTCACTCGTTTCGCAGCACTGGCATTGCCAGCCATGCCAACTCGATGCGCAGTTGTTGAAAGCCAAGCGATAGTAATGAAACAAGTTTTATGTTTTGTAATTCTTAATATTGGGTTTTGTTCGTTTTTCTAAACATTTTAGTTTTATATTTAAAGTCTAATATAAAATATTACATCTGTTAGAGAAGCTTTCGGCTTCGTTATTTAATCGAGTAAATTGTATTCGATGGTTGGTGATTTTCCAAAGTTTTTAATTGAATAATTTACTTGGGTGTCAGCATGGTTATATAACATAGTTTATTTTGAAATGAAATTATTAAGTTAGGCTGTCTGCAATAAATTGGTTTTAAATTTTAAACTTGTATCAACAGAAAAATTAAGATGCCCATTAATTTTGCTTTAATTGCATGGAGTGTACATTCTTTTTTTTTTTTAAATTGTTCGTGCCCTAAATTTTAAGCACGCACCCATCTCTATTCGTGAGTGAGTAACCCATCCCTAAGTTACACTGGCGATTGCTTGGTAGTGCGTAGGCGAATTTCTAATTTTCCGATTTTCTAAACAGAAGCAAATTGAATTTAATGCCAAGGGCTCCTGTTTCAGACCACTGCGGACACTTCTGAGGGACCGAGCACGGGGCAGGTGGATTTAAGGGATACCAAAGCAGCCGAAACCCGAACAATATGGGAAACACGGACTCCAAGTTGAACTTTCGCAAGGCGATTGTGCAGCTGACGCAGAAGAACCAGAAGATCGACCCCAGCGACGAGCAGTTCTGGGAGCAGTTCTGGCAGGGCCACCAGACGACGCTGGAGGATGTGTTCGCGCTGGTCACCTCGAGCGAGATTCGCCAGATCCGGAACGAGAACCCGGCCAACCTGGCCACTCTGTGCTACAAGGCGGTGGAGAAGTTGGCCCAGGCGGTCGACAGCAGCTGTCGCACGCAGGCGGAACAGCAGTGCGTCCTGAACTGCGTCCGCCTGCTCGTCCGTTGTCTGCCCTACATCTTCGAGGACGACAAGTGGCGTGACTTCTTCTGGAGCAGCCTGCCCTCGCAGGAAAAGACCATGCCGCTGGCTCAGTCGCTGCTGAATGCCACCTGCGATTTGCTGTTCTGTCCGGACTTCACGGTCACGGCCACGCGACGCACGGGTCCGGAGAAGGCCGAGGAGCTGGCCAACATCGACAGCTGTGAGTACATCTGGGAGGCGGGCGTGGGATTTGCCCAGTCGCCGCCCCACAACGCCCACATGGAGCGCAGGCGCACGGAGCTGCTGAAGCTATTGCTCACCTGCTTCTCGGAGCCCATGTACCGATCCCCGCAGCAGTCCGAGGAGCCCAACAAGTGGATAGCCTACTTCACCTCCGCCGACAACCGGCACGCCCTGCCCTTGTTCACCTCGTTCCTGAACACCGTTTGCTCTTACGATCCCGTGGGATTCGGTGTGCCCTACAACCATCTGCTGTTTGCTGATACCACGGAACCACTGGTGGAGGCGTGCCTGCAGCTGCTTATTGTCACATTGGATCACGACATGGTGGTGCAGCAGCAACTCACCCAACCCGGGCAGGCTTCCTACGACGAGGGAAACTGCGGCGACAACTTATTCATCAACTACCTGTCGCGCGTGCACCGAGATGAGGACTTTCACTTTGTGCTTAAGGGCATCACTCGGCTGCTGAACAACCCCCTGGTTCAGAACTACTTGCCAAACTCCACGAAGCGGCTGCATTGCCATCAGGAGCTGCTCATCTTGTTCTGGAAGATATGCGACTATAACAAAAAGTTTCTGTATTTTGTACTGAAGAGTTCTGATGTTCTGGATATCCTTATTCCTATACTGTATCACTTAAACTACTCCCGCGCGGACCAATCTCGAGTGGGTCTGATGCACATTGGAGTGTTCATACTGTTGCTGCTATCGGGTGAGTCAAATTTGGTTTTTTTTCTTTGTAGTGTTCATTTATTTAATGCAAATTTATTCATAGGTGAACGAAACTTTGGAGTTCGCCTGAACAAAGCGTACTCCGCCACCGTGCCCATGGATATACCTGTGTTTACGGGAACCCATGCCGATTTACTTATCACAGTGTTCCACAAAATAATAGCCACAGGCCATCAGCGACTGCAGCCCCTTTTCGATTGCCTGCTGACCATTCTGGTTAATGTTTCGCCCTATCTGAAAACCCTCTCAATGGTGGCCAGTGTGAAGCTGCTGCATCTCCTGGAAGCGTTTAGCACACCTTGGTTTCTGCTATCGGCACCCAGTAATCATCACTTGGTGTTTTTCCTGCTGGAGATCTTCAACAACATTATACAGTATCAGTTTGATGGCAACTCCAATCTAGTCTACACCATAATCCGCAAACGTCACGTGTTTCATGCCATGGCAAATCTGCCAACCGATATGGCTGGCATAGCCAAGTGCCTGAGTGGCCGTAAAACAGGTGGAAAATTCAATTTGCCGCGGGTTCCGCAAAGGAGAACGGCAGCTGTCTCCCAAGAGCTGCCCTCGGCCCATGTGCCGGAGGAGTACAACGAAGAAGATGAAGACGAGGACGAGGAGGACACCATTCATGAAGAGCCCAAGGCCGAAGAGGATCTCGAATCGGAGACAGAGTCTCATGAGCGATCTCAGACGGGGGAGCCACAGCCGGACGTTCTCACGGCCCAGCCAGCCGAGCCGGGAACGCTTAAGGCATCCTTGCTGGACACACCAGGCATCAGTCAGATGACGGAGCGTGAGCAGGCCCATCCAAATGACAAGCCGCAATCTGAGGATTCCACAGAAATTGTGCCCTACGACAGGTCAGCCGCATCCACACCGACGGGCGAACCCAAGTCCACCTCACCCACGGAGCTGTCACGACTGTCGGTGGCACACAGAGCCAGCATTCGCATGGTGCCGGGCGAGGGCGATCGATGGGCACCCACGCCCGAGTGGATAGTCTCGTGGCGTTCCAAGCTGCCGCTGCAGACCATCATGCGACTACTACAGGTCCTGGTGCCGCAGGTGGAGAAGATCTGCATTGACAAGGGGCTGACCGACGAGTCGGAGATCCTCAAGTTTCTGCAGCACGGAACGTTGGTGGGACTGCTGCCCGTCCCACATCCCATTCTCATCCGGAAGTACCAGGCCAATGCGGGGACCACGGCCTGGTTCCGCACCTACATCTGGGGCGTCATCTACCTGCGCAACGTGGATCCGGCCATCTGGTATGACACGGAGGTGAAGCTCTTCGAGATTCAGCGCGTCTAGGTCAGTATGTGGACAGCAAACCAAACAGCAGCGAACCCGTAGCTCACACGCTTTGGCATTTATTGTAGTTAATTTATTTAGTGCATATTTCATTCCAAAAGTCTTTGTGAAAAAAATCAATGTATAATGAATTACCATACCATATGTCTGCTTATCGGTTCCCCATGTCTTTCGATTTTGTGTCGAGGCGAACCACCCCAAAATGAGGCTTATCAGTTGTAACGATATAGCGTGAGTTCTTTTTAACTGATTTGTTATCGGCTTTTAGCATTGATATTTAATTGCTTTTCCTAATTTATTAATTTATGGAACTCTCCAAAACAGTGTAAGCACAAAGTGTTTGTATTTTAGTTGATTACTAAATTATTAAACAATTATTGTATTTATTTTTGTAATCTGTGACACAAAATGTTCCTTGTGCCGTATTTTTAATACATTGCTTTAATAATTTATTAACTTAATTTAATATTCATTACCTCCTGTTTTTTTTAATGCAAACCAAGAAAATCACTGCTATAATCGTTTTGCAAAAGCTTCTGATAACCGTTGAACTTTAAAATAAACACACATATTACTTTCCACGCTTCCGCTGTAAGTTGTTGATTTTTTTCAGAATTCCAATAATTTTGTAGTTGCTATAATTGACACCAAAAACAGCTTTACTTGCTTTTGTAATTAATAGAAAACTTTAGTTGAATCCTATGACTTACACATTTTTAAAGTTAATTAAAGATAGATATTATTGATAGAATGGAGAAAGTGTAATAATTTATTGTCTGCGTGTGCTTAAAATATGTATACAAATATAAATAATATATATATCTACAAACTAAATACGAACTAAATCAATAGCACCTATACAAGTCAGTTCATAAAAATCAATATACGGAATAAATCAGAATCCAAACGACTTTGAATTTTATATTATGGATTAAAAAGGCGATTAAAATGGTATTTTCATGATGTTTTATTGAAGAGGTTGGTGAAATTTGAAGTATTTAAACACTAATCGTGAACGTGCTGATTATAATCATGGTCGACCCTTGTTCTCTTTTGGTTCCTTTGCATCTTTCTCCAGTATTTTTATCAAATACTGATGCCAGTAGAAATATTTGAAGAAAAACAAAAGAAACAGAGCCGCAATTGAAAAAATGGGAGCAAAATTGATATTGGCCCGCTGCTTTCTCCTCCCCAAAAACAAATGGCGGACGAAAGACATTGTGAAGGCGAAGTTCTGTGGGTTGGCCATTACCGTGCAGTGATTATGGCACATCCGAGGCAACGGCGATAGTTGTCAGGACTGGAGGGGATCGGGATTAGTTGGGGTGTCTGGCTTTGGAACCACAGGCATGATGCTGAACTTTATGAAGGATCCCTTGCTGCGCTTTTGCACTATTCTGCCAATTAATTGTGGCTCCTTGATGGTCTGTTCAATGGCTTTTACGATGCGGTCGGCGCTGCTCTCATCGGATCCGCTGGCATTACCCTGGATGAGGATGCGAACCTCGTGCCGTTTGGCCAGCCACTTGGCGATGTTCTTCAGCCTCGAGGAGAGATCATGTTCAGTGATGCGGGCACCAATGGTTAGGGACTTTTCCGACCTCTTCTCCTTGGCCTTTTCGCTGGACGATTTCGATGGATCGGCATCATCCGACAGCATTTCGGCAGCGGTGACTAGTCTGCAAAGTACATAAACTTAATGCTGATTGAAATCTGAGGTTATAGTACCCACTTGAACATGGCTCTGCCTGTTTTGGCATCCGTTTGCTGCAGGCGCAACAGGTGCAGTTCACGCCTTTTGGCCAACTTCTGGGCCTCCTCCAAGGTGGTTATGCTCATCGACTGGTTCTGCTGGATGAGGGTGATCTTCTGGGCGGCTGTTCTGGGACTCCGGGGGTCTCTCGTCCTGGGTGTTCCCGCATCTCCCGGATTTCCACCTGCCGGCTTTTGGTTCTGAGCCAAATTCCAGTGGATGGACAGCGGGCGCACGTGTTGCGTATGCACCACTGCTGCAGTAGTCTGTTTTATTATAATTCCCAAACGTTGCATGTCTGTTTTTTTTAATAATTTTTCCACTTTTGCTTTGTTTTGTTTTTTTTTGCTTGTGCAATTTTTTTCGACCAAGAGTTGCCAAGTTATGTGAAACGGAATTCAAGGTAGTGCAAATTGAAAGGTGAAAGTTGTTTAAACTTCTTTTTGTTTATCCTTTAATCATGACCATTTATAACTTATGAATTTTGATTGTTGTGTTTTTGAAGTACATAATTACGCACTTTTTACAGCTGTTTGGCCATGTAAAAACCAGCTGACCCAAGTATTCGATATGTATGGAGTTATCGATAAATCGAACCTACAATGACTGCGTCTATCGAACTATGAATTTAAACCGGTAAAATGTTTTGTTTCAGTGTTATCACTGATATATACATATTTACGTAGTTATTTTGTAATTGTCATTGCTAAGCTTTATTTTTAACGTGTAGCCGGTTGTGAACAAAACTATAAAAGTTTAAAAATTGCCTTTATGTTTCATATACATTATATTTAATTATTCTCCAATTACTAATTAGTTTCTTAATTAATTTCTAGTGCGTTGCCTGTAACCGCCATAATTGCGCCTTCCACTCGAGCTACGTTTTTCTTCCTTGGCCCTCTGCTCCTCCCGCCAAATGACCCGAAGGTTCTCGCACTCCGGGGAATTGGTGTGCTCCTGCTGCAGTGCAGCCATTTCCGGCTGGCGGCACCTCTCGCAATCCTCCCACCGACTGAACTTGTTCACATTCCGGTCGCACGGATCCGCGGCATACAGCATGCACTCGTCCGCACAGAAGTTGTAGAACCAAAACTGGCCCGTAATCGTCTGATCCCGACAGCGTGGCTGCACCGTCTGCAGCATTTGGAAGCAGCGGTTGGATAGCGATGAGTCCACATCACCGCCAGTTGCATACCTATCCTGGTTGCCAAAATGACCAGTCCTCTGCCACGGTTCCCTTGGCGAATCCTCTTCTGGAGCCGCAAAGTTCGATGCATATTTGTTGCTTGGCCTCTGACGTTGCCAGGGAGATCGTTCCACATCCTCCAAGAGGGGATCAGTGGGTCGAGGTGGTTGCCCTGGCCAAATGGGTCGTTCTGTTCTACCTGGTGGATTATACTCTGTCCTGGCTGGTGGATTGTACTCTGTCCTACCTGGTGGATTGTACTCTGTCCTGGCTGGTGGATTATACTCTGTCCTGGCTGGTGGATTGTAATTGGACTGCCTGTAGGGCGGAGGATCTCTCCCTGAGTTCACCTGACGCTCTGGCTGCCTGTTCCCTGCCCAGTTTCCGGTGTTGCCCTTGAGATTGCCCACTTCGAAGCCATCCATTGCTCCATTTCGTGGCTCATCGTAGTCTCCGAAATTCTCTGCCTCCGATTCAAGCTGTGGTCCATACATATTACCTCCAGTGCGACCAGGAGAAGACCCTTCATAGGGGGTATCCATATCGCCATTGTACGATCCCGGTAAGTTACCGAGACAGGCTAAGCCGGAGCACTTGCGTGTTTCCTGCAACTCCATGCGATGGACACTCTGGCACTGTGATTCCGCCTGGGGATTGAGGTACTGCCGCTGGCGCATCTCGTAACCATCGCCACAGGTGACGCTGCAGGGGCTCCAGCTGCCCCACAAACTCAATTGGCACTCTGCCCGCCTCTGGTTGATGGCTGGCTGATAGCCGTTTCCCCCGATCGCCGGCTCCAGATCCTCAAACTCCTCCGGGACTCGCATGGGACTATTTTGGCCGCACATCTCGCCCTGACATTCCTGTTCCTCATACTGCGGCACATTGCAGTTGTAGACCTTGGCCAGCTCGGGCTGCTTGTAGACACGTCTTCTGTACTGCATGCCAACACCACATTTGGAGGAGCAGTCGCTCCAACTGGACCAAGGATGGGTGAGACACTCTCGTGGCACATCCGCATCATTGTTGGCTAGAATACGGAATACGATAAGGTTATTGTGGGGTTTTCTCATTTAAAATCGCACTTACAATCCTCATCAGCACATCGTCTTTCGTAGATGCGCTGGCGCTTCACTGTGAGAATGGCCAAGGGTTTCATGGGAGCTCCGGAGTCATCGTAGAAGGGTGAACGTGGATCATTGGGAAAATCGGAACGCATGCGTCTTATAACATCTGGCGGCACCTGGGGCTGATCGGCTGACTATCAAATTAAAACAAAAGATTCATTTTCTTTTTAATCGCTAACAGTATCCACCTACCGTATAGGTGGGACCCGCATCTGTGCCCACATCCCAGGGATACAGATTGATGACCTTCTCCTCCATCCAAGTGCAGTTGCGCAGGCACAGCTCCAGTCCAGACACACCCACCACCCAATCCGGTGAGGGTTCTATCTTGGAGGCAAAGGACACCATGTGATGAATGGGATCCACTCGCACCGAGGCCATGGTCTTGCTGCTCATGTTGGGATACGAAGGTCCTCTTGCCTTGATGATGGTGCGTATTTTCTGGTCCTGTGAAAGATTGGTGAGTTAAAGTTTCCTTCCTTAGGATTGCTATCACAGAGTCACCCGAAAGTTAACGCTAAACTCCCGTTCCAGAAGTCGGGAGCTGCAGTGCTCAGCGTATTCCTTCATAGCCAAACTGGCCAGTGCTCCGGATTCCCAGAAACGATAGTCCGAACTGTGGGCCGCTCCCAGAAGCTCACAGAATCGAGTCTCCCAATTGCGAGCAGGGAAGTACCTGGGATGCAAGTTCCTCGACCAAACGCCTTCGAAGGTGAGCTGATATGGGAAGGCAGAACAAGAATGTAACTGGTACCTTGGTGAGTCTTTAAATGGCTTACTTCATAGCGCGCCTCATCGCAGGCGCAGCAGGGCACATCCGCCGCAGGACTCGTTGGCTGGCTTTCCACATCATCGGTGACCTCCTCGCAGATGCGTCGCGTCAGTCCTCCGTCGTCCATGTGCCACACCTCGCGATGTTGCTGCACCGTGGCCCGGATCAGGATGCAGCCACTTCCAGGCTCACTGGGCGCCACCCAGGTCAGGTGCATGTGCGTCTTTGAATTGGTATTGGTGTTCTCCACCATATTGATGCAGTTGGGACTGTAGCGGGTCTCTATCAGGTCACTCAACTCAAACCGACCCAAATCGTCCTTGTAGCTAAAGTCCCCGTTTTCATTCTCCAAAGCCATGATGAAACTGATGTAGCGGTGGCCATTAAATGCATTCAGCGAGACTACAAGAAAATCATTCTAAGTGCCACACAACTCAACACAATACGAAACAGATCAAGCCGAGCCCTTATCGTCGACCTTGAATTCCAGCAAATTTGCAAAGGTCCCAGATAAGCGCCGCCACTTTTGTTTACTAAACAAAAAACATTGCGAACTCTGGCGGAGAAGCCTTGAAAGGCCCACTCAAAGCGATTTCCCCAAGCAATCACCCACGAAGTTCAAGCGCAAGGCCAATGAACTCGTGCTCACCGTTGTATTCCTGGCCGAGAATGTATGTTTCCGGATTGCCCGAAACGCTTATTACGAAGTTCTCGTCCACCGGAGATTTGGGCGAACCCGTGTTCGCCGGGCGACGCGTGCAGATCAGGCAGCCGACTCTGCCGATCACCAGCGAGGCCAGAAGAAGCTCCACGAGCGGAGCACCACTTGACCGCCACATGTGGTTTTTTGTGTTGGGGGCACTCTAATCGCACAGAAGAACCATTCAACGCGATCGACTGTTGCAAACTGAGCACAAGTTTCGATTAGTTGGTTTGCCAAAAGCCGAGAAGAGCGTCTGGGGAGCTGACCAAGCCCTCCGATAAGCTCGGAGCGCCTTAATTTTCTGACCCACTGATACAAATAGAGGGCGCCGGAGCTGTTATCAGCCGACGTTGCCGCAAAGCCGGAAAAGTAATGCTTTTGACTCTTAAAGAGAACCCAAGTCGGAATGTTCTCTTGGCATTTCTGTTAAGAGATCCCAAATATGTAAGCTTCAGTTCGAGTACAATTTGAATTTTTTTTCACATTTAATCATATCTGCAATATTTTAATTTGGTTGTTTTACTAGCCACCATAAGGACCGCGTCTTGGTGAGTCGTATCTGTTCCTGGTCTGCGACATGGGTTCTCCAATATTCCCTGCTGCTTCGACGAATTGAGAGCCATAAGCTCCTCCAGCCGCTTGGTCATAAGATCCACCTGCAGTTTGCACGTAGGGTTTACCTCTTGCTCGGTCAAAGGATCTATCGTCGGTTTGATCATAGGTTCTTCCACTTGATCGGTCATAGGCTCTTGCTCCCGTTTGACCATAGGTTCTTCCACCCGTTGGATCATATGAACTACCTACGGTTTGGTCGAACGATCTTCCTCCTGATCGATCATATGAACTTGCTCCAGACTGATCATACGATCTTCCTTCACCTTGACCATAAGAGCCAGCTCCATATGATGTTCCTCCCCCTTGATTATATTGCCCACCTGCAATTTGATCATAGGATCCACCTCCTGCTTGACCATAAGATCCACCTCCGTAGAGTTCCATTGCATCGTTTTCGGTGCGTTCCATGTTCATTTGAGGCTGGAGACAGGTGCCCTCGCAGGCCATCAGGGTGCGGAAGCGGTTCCTGTTCTCGTCGCAGTTATCCGTCGTGAAGATCTTGCACTCGTGATCGTCGTGGTCGTAGAACCAGTAGTTGCTCACCACCACTGGATTGGCCACACAGGGTCGCGTCGAAGCATAGGGCTTCTCGAAGCAGTAGTCCTGAACCACATTATAGTTGTCGATGGTGGTTTCCTCCACATCCGACTGTTGCCGACTGGGATAACGCGCTCCAAATGGAGAACGAGTGGTGAATGAAGGTCTGAAGCTGGGAGTAGTGTACTCATTGTAGGAATTCCTATTATTGTAATCGTTGTAACCGGGCCTATTGCCCACCAATTTGTCATTGCTGTAGCTGTTGGCAGAAGGAAACACTTTATCGTATCCACCTGCCTTATCCAATGGATTGTAAGCGGGTGGACTTGGTGATTCTAGCGTGTTATCCGGGGGATTGTAAGGGGATCTATCATTAAAACCCTTTTTGTTCCACACCTGGCTACCAGATGCATCCGGCCTGCTGCTCCAAGGTGGTCTATTACCCGCATATCCGCCCTGGTCTGTCTCCCCAAACAAATCTGGTTCCGGTAGAGCATCGAGTTCGCCGTTGTCCGGAATGGTTCCACCACAATCCGATCCCATGCACTGCCTGGTTTCCTCCAGCGGCAGTCGCATGACGGACAAGCAACGCTGCCTGGCCTGCGGATTGTAGTAGTCGCGGGTGCGAGTGGAGGATCCTCGGCCGCAAGTCTTGGAACAGGGCGACCACTCGCTCCAGTTGCTCAGCTGGCATTCGGCTATTGAGCCACCGCCCTGGGGATTTTCCATGCCCAAACCAGGCTCTTCACCATCCAATTCCTCCTCCGCTGCTCCACATTGGCTTCCCTGACATTGACGCATCTCCTCCAGTCGAAGATTGCAGTTGAAGTTATCTGCTAGGTCCGGGCTCTTATAGCTACGCTGGCGCTGGGAATAGCCCGGACCACAACGCGTGCTGCAGTTGGACCACTCGTTCCACGGATGCACGGCGCACTCCAGGGGTCCCTCCTGGGGAACTAATTACAGAGGTCACCGAGGGTAAATTACACAAAATAAAGAGCGACTCACCCTCTTCACACTCCCGGATGTAGAGCTTCTTCCTGGTCAAATAAAGAGTGGCCAGAGGTTTCATTGGGGCACCGGTGTCATCGTAAAACGGAGAACGATAGTCGCTGGGATAGGATGATGTAATGCGCCGTACCACATCCGGTGGCACCTGTGGCTGATCTGAGGACTACAAGGGGGATATACATAACTATCATACTGATGGATCACTCAACCAACCATATAAGAAGGACCCGAATCGGTGCCTATGTCCCAGGGATACAGGTTCAGCACCTTCCGCTCCAGCCATGTGCAGTTACTAAGGCAAAGCTCCAGTCCTGCCACGCCCAGTATCCAATCCGGCGAAGGATCTATCTTGGTCGCCAGCGAGATCTGATGATGCACAGGATCTACACGAGCATTGGCCAAAGTGGTTCCGAAGGCATTCAATCGGTGGGCAATGCCAGGGGCTTTAATGATAGTCCGCACTTCACCATTCTGTGGGGGAAATTGGTTTGATTGATCTGATTGAAAAGAAAACCAGCAACCCACTTGCGTATTCTCCCTGATCTCGTTCTCCAGTGTGCGCGTGGCTCCATGCTCGGCCATCTCCTTCATGCCCTGGCTAGCTCTGCCTCCGTAGGCCCAATACCGATAGCTGTGGCTATGCGAAGCACCAATGACCTCGCCCAATCGTGTACGCCAGGCCTCGGCCGGAAAGTCCTTCGCATGCGTGTTCCTCGCCCATTTGCGCTCCAGAACGATCTGGGCATTAAACGAATTATAGTATCAACAAGAGCCTCAAAGTCAATTCCCACCTCATATTTGGCTTCATCACAGGCACAGCAGTTCTCCAAGGGCGGCGTCATGCTATTCAGTTCGTCGATCTCCTCGGGACAAATCCGCTTCGTTAGAAAGCCATCGTCTAGGAACCACACATCGCGATGTTGCACCACACCTGCTTTGATTAGCACACATCCGCTGTCGGGATGACGCGGTGCTATCCAGGACACCGCGATGTGGATCTTGGCGTTTGTGTTCGTGCTCTCCACCATGTTCTCACATCCTGCACTGAATCGGGTGTCCGTGGTGCCCAGCAGTTCGAAGTGACCGGTCATATCCTGACCACTGAGACCAGGATCTTCCGCTTCGATAGCCAAAGTGAAGCTCACGAACTTCATGTTGATGGGACAGGATAACGAAACTAATGGGGGGAAATTAACAACTTATTCTCGACTTTCAGAACCTCTCACCATTGTACTGATGCTCGGGCACATAAGTCGATGGATTGCCATCGATGAGGATCTTAAAGTTATCATCCACAGGCGATCGTTCACCGCTGGCTGCCTGAGGAATCCGATTGCAGTCGCCTTTTACCCCCGAAACGAGCAGAATAACGACCAGAAAAAGGCGAAGCATTTCTTTTCCCAAGTTCAGCGATACGTACTTGTTCATAGTTCATCGACGACTGACCAACAAACTGGCAGCTGCAGTGCCAAAAATGGCTGAGTCGCCTCCTCCATCAATCGATGAGCATTTCAATTTATCAATTATCCCCTTAGACGGCGCTTTCGCATCTTGATTGAGTTGCCATCAATTAGGCATGATTGGTTTTTATGGCACGCTCCTCAATTAACGCTCTCAAACCGGGTTCTTTGAACTTGGAAGCCGGCGAAAATCACTCGGCGACTGCCCACAGTTATACAATAGATCTGGGTCAAGGACAAACTGATCGAAATCGGAACTACATCGCTTTGGAGGGAGTGGCTTATGTTTGGTTTATAAAAACAGAAACTTATTTTTAAGCAAGGCTCTTTATTTTGGGAAAACTACTTGTAGTTGATCAATGGCCAAAGCTTTAGGTACTCTGGAATGTTTCGTATATTCAATGATATCTCTCGATAATGATTACATAATTGGTTTACATGTAATACTTGATACAGCTTAAGATTGTCTTACCACCGCTCCGGCTCATCGTTGCTGCTTAACAGGCACGGCATCATCACACACTTCTCCATGCGGACGCGATCCTTGCACTTGAAGCTCAGATCGGTGTTCAGAAGGGTGCGGGTGCGCTGGCGAACGGCATTGTCGCCACAGCTGGCGGTGCAGGGCGTCCAGGCGGACCACTCGGAGTAGCGGCATTCGTCCCGAGGCTCCGGCTGTGGCGCCTTCACCACGTGCCTGCGCTCCCCGAATCCCCGGCCGCTGATGGAGTACATGTCGTCGCACCGCTGGTAGCAGCGATCCAAGCGCACCAGATGCTTGGGACATGGCTTTCCCCCATATTTGGGGGTCTTCACCACGCGGCGCGTGCGCAACTGGAAGCCATCGCCGCAGGAGGCGTTGCAGCTGTGGGATATCCAGTCGGAGACCTGGCAATCGATGGCCGGAACGCCGTCGTGCTGGAGCTCCTGTTTGTGGCGCGGCTGGCGACAGGTCTCCTCGCACTCCTCCTTCGACTTGAACTTGTTGCGATTGGTGTCGCAGCGATCCGACCAGTAGATGGAACACTGGTCACTCACATGGTCGTAGTACCAGTAGTTGGCCACATCGCTGTCCCGACATGGACTAGCCACGAGCTCATCGTAGCACAGACTGGGCACAATGGTGTCACAACTGGGATTCGTGCAGTTCACCTCCTCGTGTAGCTTGATGTGCCGGCAGGGATCCTGGCCATCGTCATTGGGATCGGTCACGCCGTACACCTCGTTGTTGTTCCACACCTTGCGGATGCGCTGCCGCCGGCCTTGTCCACCGCAGGGTCCCATGCAGGGCGAGAAGTCCGACCAGGGAGTCACACCGCAAACGGGTGGTATGTAGTCCTCCCGATGCTGGCTGTAGCTCTCGAAGTTCCGGAACATGGAACGCTTCTCGGCGGACCCTGCCTCATCGCCACCCGCCTGCTCCTCCTCCGGCTCGCCTGCTCCACCGCCGTTCTCGATGTCCCCGCCACACTCCATGGCCTCGCAGATCTTGGTCTCGTGCAGCCGCGCCCTACTCGCCTTCTGGCACTTCTTCTTGGCCTTCTTGTTGAGATAGTGCCGGGATCGGGTCATCTCGCCAGTGCCGCAGGTCACCGTGCAGGAGGACCACTCCGACCAATCGGACAGCCCGCACTGCGGATCGTCCTGGCTGCCAGGAACTGGTCCCGTGTCCGGCTCGGCTCCCTCGGCTGCCTCCTCATTGAAGCTGGCGCACTTGTGCCCCACGCAGTTCTTCTCCTCACGCAGCGCATTGTTGCAGCGATGACGCTAAGGGGTAATTAAAGATGTCCATTAAAAGGTTGTGTAAGTATAAGTATAAACCCTTTGAGCTCTATTTCTCACCGAAGCCAGAGTGGGATTCTTGAACTCACGAATCCTGTACTGTTTTCCCGGTCCACACTTTGTGGTGCACTCATCCCACCTGGACCACGAATTCGTGGCGCACTCTGCTGGCAGCTGTTCCGCTACAGGATTACAGTTTATGGATTAATTTATAAGATAGATATGGACTAAGAGGGAGTATAATTTAAAATTTTTAATCTATGTAGTGTTATGGTTGTATCAAAATTTCAAATAAATGGGATTAAAACTGACGAAGTTACAGCGGCTAAAGCATCTCGACATCACATTTTTATATCCGATTTTCGAGTAAGAAAAGGGTTATGTCGATTGTTCCACCACCAAATTTTGAATATTTCTTTATACATTTTCTTTACATTTTTTTCAACTATTAAACACAAAAATTTAAATGAAAAGAAGGGCTTCGTGATTACCAGGGGAATTCTATTACCTTTCAAAAGCGGTATGACCTACATATTTAAGGTAACCCTAATCAAACCACCCTTTTTCAAAGAGAGCATTTTGCTTAAAACAGTTACAAATAATTTAAGCAACATTGTCCAGCAACATTTAAAAAGCAAAATCGCGTAACTAGCCCCTTTTTGGCTTTTAAAGCCTTACCCCATTGCTTATATTCACTTACAATCAGTGGATTCGCAGTTCTTCTCGTAGAGGCGTCGTCGATTGATGTGCAATGTGGCCAGTGGCTTCATTTGAGCACCAGTGGGATCATAAAACGGCGAGCGGGGATCATTGGGGAAGTTGGACTTGATGCGACGGACCACATCTGGTGGCACCTGCGGCTGGTCAGCAGACTAGAAAAAAAGTAAAAAGTGAACTATCTAAAAGATTGAATCGAGGAAAACCTCTTACCATATAAGATGGACCACTGTCCGTGCCCGCATCCCAGGGATAGAGGTTGTGCACCTTGTTCTCCACCCAGGAACAGTTGGGCAGGCACAACTCCAGCCCAGAGACGCCAACGATCCAATCCGGCGAGGGATCCACCATGGAGACCAACGAGATCAAGTGGTGATTGGAGTCCACGCGAAAAACGGCGAAAGTTTTGCCCGTCACATTCGGATAGGCAATTCCCCTGGCCTTGATAATGGTGCGGATGTGCTCACTCTGATCTTTCAGCTCACTCTCCAGGGTTCTCGTGGAGCCATGTTCCGCCACCTCACGCAGACCCTCGCTGGCCAACTCGCCATATTGCCAGAATCTATAATCTAGGGTGTGCGAGGCGCCAATAATGTCGCTGAATCTGGTGCGCCAACTGTTGGCAGGAAAGTCCTTGGGATGAGTGTGCCGCGACCATTTGCCCTCAAAGGTAAGCTGAGAAAGAAAAACCACACAGGATCACAACCTATTCCCACCCACTTTGAAAACAGAAAAACTCACCTCGTATTTGGCCTCGTCGCAGGCACAGCAAGGATCCACGATGCTGGGCTGTGTGTCAATGTCATCCACCTCCTCCTCGCACATGCGCTTGGTCAGGAAGCCGTCGTCCATGAACCACACATCGCGGTGCTGCATCACCGTGGCCCGCAGCAGGATGCAACCCTGTCCTGGCGTCGATGGCGCCACCCAGACCACATCCACGCGGGTCTTCACATTCGTGTTGGTGTTCTCCACCAGATTGGCGCAGCGCGGACTGAAACGGGTCTCGGCCAGATCGGCAATCTCCCAGGTGCCCAAAGCGTTGGGGTCACCATCGCCATCGCCGTTATCAAGATCCAGAGCCAGCATAAAGCTTATAAAGGATAGGCCCGAAAATGCACTAAGAGATACTGCAAGAACACAGAGATTGACGGCTTAGAATTAGTCAATTTAAAGGGAAATGTAATAAATTAGATAACGCACCATTATATCTCTGACCGGGCACATAACTCTGAGTATTTCCGTTTACGGACAGCACATAGTTGTCATCCACCGGAGACTTGGCTGCCGTGGCTCCCAGTGGAACCCTATTGCAGCCCTCGATGCGGGGAAAAATGCTCGACGAAGCCAGCACTAGAATAAAACATTCCAGGGCTTTCATTGTCGAAGAGCTGCAATGCAAAATTAAGTCGAAATACAATGATTAGATTCGTTTAATGCAGCCACGTGGTTGGGGAAAACTATTTCTGGTCACCATTTGCCAAGCACTTAATTGTCTTTATTATCCGCATTCGTATCAAGTGTCAATGGCAGCCAATGGTTTCCAGTTTAGAATTGAACTTGAATTCGTAAAAATAGCCTTGAATTAGATATATTTATTGGATGGCATGCAGTCAGTGCAGTATTTGTGTTTTCTTTTTTCCAGACACTTTCCATTTCCTTTGCGATCCAAACTACTGAGGACCAATTGCCATGCGGAACTTGAACTAGGCGGCTTGGTTGTTTACCCCTTGAAAATCAGATCGCATTGCGTATATAGTATATATGTACATATGTACTGTACAGACTGTCTACGTCACTGATTAAATTCAATTGAAAAACGCGCCGACTGTCTAAAGCAAAAGTGAGCAAAATAACAGCCCCCAAAAAGGGTGACACAAACAAATCCCATAGATTTTAATCATCAAAGGCACATTTAGGGCTTCTCTTTAGTACTACACTGGTATTGTAAGGCCCATTTTCACTTGCACATTTCATATGACACTGCTCTCTTTTTAACTGATAATTTTAAATAATTAATCAATATTTAAGATAGTTTTTGGGTACTCGTAGTCCTAAATATGGACGGATCTTGTATGAGATATTTTCTAAAATCCCTTTGGGGAAAGAGAACTTTGGAATTAAGAACTTACTCGGAAGGCGCACGAACAGCAACTGAATGCAAATTTTCCCGACCGACGATGTGCATCATTTCGGTTCCATTCCGATTGGATTTTGGAGAGCCTGAGAGAGCGAAACCACGCTCTTCTTTCGCCCCCCCATTTAGCCGGCCTTCCGTTTCATCCAAAGCTTCGCATTTGTTGATAGTGCTCATTTGTTTTCGCACTCCCATCCTAAACAAAGCAGCCTGGAAAACACCGGGTACAGTGGTAAAAGTTGTCTTTATAGTGGGCTCTGCCCTGGAATTCAGTATAGTTCCAAAGTCGAAACCCTTCAGATCAACGTATTTTTGTATCATTTACATTAGTTCACACATCTTGAATTGTACAGGACAAAATTTTTTTTTTTTTATATTTTTTCGTTTTGTTGATCAAAATAATCGGTTACAAAAGTGCTTACAATTTCAGCACTTTTTCTACAGAAAAATAACAACATGTCGGCTCCTGTTCGTGGTAAGATTTAAATTGGCGTATTGAGGAATATGGTTTATGGACCTCCGATTTCATGCGATAGGTAATAAGGCCTCAAAGCTGAGGGCAGAGGGAAAAGTGGAAAAGCTCGCACCCATCGGTCCATCTTGGGTGAGTCTGGGGGAGATTAATTTTAGCGTGACACGGGTGAATGATAAACATTTTTCATAGGCTCTTATTTCCACCCGAGGCGGCGCCTTTCCTCCAGCTCCCACCAGTCGCGGTTCCAGTCCCAGTCGCATCCCGAAAAGACGCAGACCCAGTTGCATCCCGACAAGCCGCATACCGATCCGCAGTCTTGCTGGTGGGACACCAGTTCAGGACACACCCTTGGAGGCAGAAAACAATGCCAGTGTGTGCTCCTTGCCCTTGCTTCCAGCCTCCGAGAATAAAGTGAGCGAACCTGAAGTGGACAAGGACGCAGCCAAGCGGACTCAATGGTCGCCGCGCCCAAGGGCTAAGTCAACGACAGAAGCTGGTGAGTGACTGGTGACACAATTCCCGATTTGAATTTAGTGTTATGTGTCTCCTGACTCTCAGTATTCCAGCCGTCCACGAGAACGAACAAGTCGCATCACCGGGTAATCGAGTTAAACAAGGTGCGAGTCTTGGAGTCGCAGCACAAGAAGCTGGAGAGCTTGCAATCGGAGTTCATGCACAAACTCCGCACCTTGGCTCCTAAGAAAGTACAAGGAATCTACAAGTTTGTGGCAATGGTGGTGAACGATGAGTGCAAGGTGGTGGTTCACGCCGACGATCTGCTCCGATTGCCCAAGAATCTGCGTGAGTTTATAGCAAATACTATTATTTCTCTTTTCACTCGTTGCTATTATCTAACATGTCCAAAAGTAAGCACTCGTTTTTATTTTCCACCAAGCAATACTTCATAGCATACTTTAATCTGTGAAATATCGTAAGCACTATTAAAAGCAATCTTAATTTGTAACCAAACCTTATTAACAGTTCTCAAAAATTATATAGCTCTTAGTGCTTGATTTTAAATTAAAAATGTATTGTGAAAATTTTGAAATGACTCCTACTTGTTTTTAGAGCATTATTTTAATGTATAAAATGTTATAAATTGAATTACGTTTTCAAAATTAAGAGAGAAATGTAACATTTCCACATTTAAAATAAATAAATACAGCATTGATTAAAAACCAAAAAAAATGTAGTAGGAAGTTTCTTGAATTTACTCCCTTATTTTTTTTTACCAGTTACCAAACAATGTCCTTAAAAATCTAAAATTTGCCTTTTAGCAACTGAGAGTGTCCATGACTTAAAGGAGCGTTGTCGTGCCGTGGTCGATTCGGGCTTTATGGTTTTGTACGATCACTTGCAGTTGATCCAGAAGGCGAAGGATGAAAACGAGGCGCGTAACATACGCGAGGAGATTCGGAATAAATTAGAGTCCTTGGTGGTAAGTCCTTAAAGTCATTTATCACTGACGCGTTAGTTCTATAAAATAATATAATTATTTGCAATTCCCAAAGAACCTCAAAATGAGCACCATTGTCGAGGAGATCGATCAGTTGTGTGGTCCAGCCTCAAAAAGTGAGTCTGCTAACAAAAGTCTGTATCGCGAGATAGCTCAATTGCGGGTGGAGAAGAAGCATATGGAGTCGAAGTTCTTTAACATCAAGAAGGAGCACTGCGACCAGCTGAACCAGTTAAAATCGGAGTACGAGGCCAACATGGCTGTCGAGCTGGCCGCCCGGGATCACACCATCGGTGAGCTGAAGAAGAGCCTGCGGCGCAGCGAGGCGGTGGTCGAGGAGCAGTCCCGGAAACTGGCCGAGAATAGTGCCGCGCTGGCCAACGAGGGTGGTATTATTGGAGAACTGCGAACCGAACTGGGCAAGCTTAAGTCGGTGTAAGAAAGCTTTAAGATTATTACCGAAGGTTTCTTTTAATATACCACTTCCTGATGTCACATCTAGCAACCTGCGATTGCAACAGCGCCTGAAGGATGCGGATGTTGGACTGGACAAGGCACGACAATCCACTGAAAAGCATTTGTCACAGATCACCTACTTGGAGGACGAACTGAAAGAGGCACGCGAACTCATTGTCAATCTGCAGCAGCGTCCGGATGTCATGGACAAGGGTGTCATGGAGAAAGATCTCGTTATTGCCGATCTCAAGCTGCAGATGCGAAATCTCGAGGAGCATAAAAACTGTCTCAACATGCAGGTTACCAATGCCTTGAAGCAGCACGCCGACTTTGACGAACTAAACGGCAAATATAGAAATGCTATGATGCAGATAAAGTGGGTTTATATAGGACTTGGAAGAATATCTTTTAATACTTCTATATATATATATATTTTTTTTCCAAATTTCAGCGAACTTAAAGAATCATTAAAGATCAAATCCAACGAATTGGAGACCCAATCTCAAGTCGAGGATCGTTTGAACAAAGAGATAAACAAGTTGCGGGAGAGGATCGATCTCGATCAGCAGATGCTAACCGCTCGGAGCGACTTGATCACGAGCCTGCAGAAGGCCGAGCAGGAGAACCGAGCCAAACTGGACAAAATGTACTGTGAAGTTGGCGAGAAAAACACGCTGATCAGTCAGGTCCGGCGGTCGGGGATTGATAGCCCTGCTCATGCTTACCCTCTTTCCCTTTGCAGGTGAAAAACGAGCTGTCCTCGAAGAAGGATGAGTCGCGCAACCTAATCGTTACCCTGACACGCAAGCAGATGAAGGTGAGGCGGCAGGAGCATGTCATCCAGTTGCTGAAGGACCAAAATGCGCGGATAACCATGGCGCGAGTGGAGCAGGAGGAGCGGAATGTCAAAATGCAGGAAGAGATTAAACGCTTGACGCGGACCCTGTAAGTACACCCAGAAAAAAAACGCCATAGTAACGTTACAAACTAAAACACTTGATTGTTACAATGTTTATAAAAATACAAGCTTACTTAGTATGAACTGAAAATATAATAATGTAATTATTAACATGCTTTTTGGTTTATCCAATAGGCAAATTGTAAATTAAAATTTTTTTAATAAATAATAAGATTTCCATTTACATTTGTTATACGGAAAAAGTTCGCCATGATTGCTATTACTTAAAACATGTCCTCTGGCAGATACTCAATTTTGTTAGGAGGAAGTGTTAATTGACGTTCTAACATCAACTGGCCTAATTTCTAAACTAATTGAGTGAGTAATGGCAATGCAGCGAACTTTTCCTTTACCAATTATTACTAAAATTTGAATATTTCCCCAGTCAAGAGTATGCCAAGATTATTACTGGCAACAATGGTCAACCATTTTTTGAAGTTCTGCCAGCTGACGAAGTTCAGGGCAACAGAAGCAGTGGTCAGCCGTCAGTCAATGTTCAGCCTTCAATCAGGCATTCCCACCGCAATCATCATCATCATCATCATCATCATCATCATCAAGCCCAGCAAAATGGTATTCATTGCGTGTCCTCCTTCCAATCGCGACGTCATCAGCACTCCAGAGATCATCGATAAAAGCACCGGGAACCCCCTTTAGGAAGTTGCGACTCCCAACTGTAAACAGAAAACACTAGACATGGAAATTCATCAGACATAGAAAACCAAATTTATTGTAATTATTGGCCAATGGCATTATTCTTTTGTAAGCATCAGTAATAAGTAATGAGTATTTGCAAAATCTGGTTAAGTCTCGTTTGGGGCGGCGGCTTGATGAATCGATTAGCTTCGATTGGCTTAGGAGTCGGCATCTGGCACAGTTAATTAAAATGATTTGCCTTTTGAGGGCAGGGTCGCAGAACTACTACTACTACTACTCTCCACATTGATTCACAAACCTAAGTAGATATTATAGATTTGCATCATAATTTCGAAGAATTTTATTTTGAATACTGGATAACCAGGAAATATGCTTCTTCGTTAAAAAAATTGTGAGAGAGCATCGACGATAACTTATTTTTTTTTTTACGCAGCTGCTGCGTGTGTCACATAGGTTTCCTAGTAGATTATCTGTTATATGCCAGTTAGTCGCATCAGGCAGCTTGTTAAGAACGGTCGACAATTCCACTCTTTGAAAATCAAGACAAGTGTATGTATAATAAGTACTCGTAAATGTTAATAAAAAATGTGTGGTGCTGTTCGCAGATTAAATAGTGCGTTTTTGATAGAGATAAAAAAGAAGAGACATTGGTCCCACAAATGTTGGGCTTTTATAGCTTGATCCCAGCATATAATATTATGATGAGACAACAACCCCAACTGGCACTATAGAACCTTCTTCAGATCCCATGTCAACAGCTTTCGTCTAGCTGTTAGATTTAAATTGGGTTTGACGAACTGTATTTTTATTTGCTTGCTAACACTTCGCCGCAGACAGGCATGCGTTCAGATAAGAGATTCTTTTGACGATTCTTCAGATTCCAAAAATTTTTGGACATACCTTGGTTCAAGAACTGCAGAACACGACAGACATTTCAATTTCTGTGATTAATGGTCGCGTTGAACCTTTAAACGATTGCAATTTCACCTATCAGCCAACTGCAGCAAGACCCATAAATTACTTTTGAGATAGGTATTATATTAATTCTCAAAAAAAGATTATATAAATGCATTAATAACCTGTTGGGAATGATATTTATAAATTATTGAGCTGTGAAACTGCATACAATAGAAACAACAGAGAGGGACTTGACTTTGTTTAGGTGACTAGATATGCAAATTTTCGCCCGTATAGGTCAACATTCACAGGGATTAAGTTCGAGTTTCTATTGTTGAGCGAGCAAAACGATCAAGAGCTATAAAATTCAGAGTAAACAAATTCATAAACTAACGAATTATCGAAAATAGCCTGACGTTGATGGCTGACACCAGTTTGATATTTTTAGCCGACTAGTTTTGGTTATAAATGCCTTGATCGCGTGATTTTGTCAAGCCCTTTTTTTTGCGGTTCTGTGTGAATATCATGTAACCTTGAACTTGAGCAACTGACCTATATAAACGGAGCTATTGTTTTCCAGGCATTTGTTTTGTGGCCGTTCATCTGAATGCACCTGAGCTTTTGTGTTGCCACGCTGCCTGCATTTCATTCATATTGTCGTGTACCCTAAATTAGCTCTAAACCGCAAATATGGATGATGCCACAGAGTACCAGAAACTTAGGCGAAGCTTGGATGAAGCCCAAGGATCCAGGGAAGGACATCCAAAGTCGACCAATGACATTAGTACAGTTGTGTACAGCGCCGAAGGAGAAGACGTGAGTGTTTCTAGATCCATTAAATATTGAATTTGCCTAAAGGATCCTGTAATTCAAAAAGCTCACCATAAACTGCGAAGTGGAGTCCAAGTCCTCGGTCCAGCGGGATCAGTGGGGAAAGGGAGTGGAGTTCCTCTTCTCTTGTATCGCCTTGTCCGTGGGTCTGGGCAATGTCTGGCGCTTTCCCTTCATCGCTCTGGAGAACGGGGGTGGAGCTTTTCTGATACCCTATGTGATAGTGCTCCTGTTGATCGGCAGACCAGTATACTACCTGGAGGTGATCATTGGCCAGTTTTCCAGTCGTGGTTGCATCAAGGCCTTCGACATGGTGCCTATTATGAAGGGTAAGTTCTAAAGGTTCGAGTTGATTATCAAATCTTTTTATAAAACAATACTAAGTGGATCATATTGAGAATGAATTTCGATAAAAAGTAGTCATAAAATCGTTTGGAAAAAAATGTATGAAAGTTATAGGTTGCAACAATTCTTATTTACATTTTCAAAAGGTAACGTAAAACAAAATTGAAAAAATTACTATGTTGATCATATTGAAATTGAATTTTTATTACAAAAAATTAATAAATTCGTTTGGAAAGAAGTACAAGAAAGTGATAAGAAAGTATAGATAAGATAAAGATTCACTATTTTTTTAACTTTAGGGTACATTTTTTTAAAACGCTGACGTAATTTACATTAGCCCCATTTAATGTTTTGCAGGCATTGCTTATGGCCAGGTTTATTCCACTGCTTTGGCTACCACCTACTATGCTTGCATAATGGCATTGACCATCCGGTATTTGTTGGCCAGTTTTAGTGAGGTCCTGCCCTGGACCTATTGTCTGCTGGAATGGGGCAGCAGCTGTGTGGCCACAGGAGAAACGGCAGTCAATAATACGTCTATTGTGCAGGGCGTGTCCTCCGCAGAGCTGTTCTTTACGTGAGTTTGAAGGAATAAAGTCGCTTACATAAAAGTTAACTTACCTCCCATCCTATACAGACAAACAGTACTCAGGGAACCGGAAACTTTGGAGGACAATGGTCTAGGAACTCCCAGCTGGGATCTGGTATTGTGTCTCTTGGCCACTTGGGTTATCATCGGAACCGTTTTATCCAAAGGCATTAGGAGCTCAGGCAAAGCTTCTTATTTTCTGGCCCTGTTTCCCTATGTGATTATGTTCGTCCTTTTGATCCGCGCTGTTACATTGCCAGGAGCCTGGCAGGGAATTGTGTACTTCCTAAAGCCGCAATGGTCTCAGCTGCTGAATCCACATGTTTGGTATGCGGCCATCACCCAAATGTTCTTCTCGTTGGCCATTTGCTTTGGCACCCTCGTCATGTACGCCTCCTTCAATGATTTCAACAAGAATGTGCACAAGTAAGCTACACAAATGGCATTTGAATGTCTGATTTATTAGTTTTAATCTTTTCAGAGACGTGATTATAATCACAACCATAGATTCTTTAACATCCATCTTGGCTGGCTGCATAATCTTTGGAATTTTGGGCAACCTGGCTCATGAGACGAATACCTCGGACATTTCGCAAGTGGTCAAGGGTGGAGCTGGTCTGGCGTTCATTTCCTATCCGGAGGCCATTGCCAAGTTCAAGTATCTGCCCCAGCTATTCGCCGTGCTGTTCTTCTTCATGCTGCTGGTCCTGGGCATTGGATCGAATATCGGCATGGCCAGTGCTGTGGTGAATGTGGTCAAGGATCGATTCACCCATCTGCCCCACTGGCTGCTGGCTGTGGGTGCATCGGTGATTGGGTTCCTTTGCGGCCTGGTCTACATGACACCGGGCGGACAATTTGTGCTGAATCTCGTCGACTTTTATGGCTGCACTTTTATAGCCCTGGTCCTGGCCATTGCGGAGTTATTGGCAGTGGGCTGGATTTATGGTGTCAAGCGCATCTGCAGCGACTTTGAGTTTATGCTGAATGTGAAGACCAGCTTCTACTGGCGCATCTGCTGGGCCATCGTGGCACCGGGTTTAATGTTCCTGGTCCTGGTGTACATGCTCTTCAGCTACGAACCCCTGACTTATCGGGGAGTTCAGTATCCCTCGGCTTACTATATGGCGGGGTGGTTTATCTGGGGACTGGGCGTACTGCAGTTGCCCTTCTGGGCTTTGGTCACGATATTCCAGCAGCCCGGCAAGACTTTTTACAGTGTAAGTAATCAAATATATACCCTTAGTGTTATAAATTATAAACTTAGCCTTTCACCCCGCAGAAACTAAGAATGGCCATGCAACCCACTGCCAACTGGGGTCCACTGCAAACCCAGAAGCTTGAAGCCTATATTCTGCACCGAAAGCGTGAGGCGGACTATAAGAGTCCACGTGGCGGATACTTGTTTGACAATATCTTTGGCTAAAACACTCTTTTAATTTATTTTAATGTTACGCTTTATTATTAATGCCAAACGCGCCAAACGTTTGTTTGCTCCAAGCTTATAGCTTAAGATGTGACAAAAAATTGCGAACATTTGGTAATTAATATTTCCTTAGGCCTTAGGCTTAGCATAAGCATTGAAAGTTGTTTGTTTCTAGGTTATCTAAATAATTGGATTAATTTTGGAAAAAAATAAGCCAGTGTCCTCTGAATATTCAAAGGCAGCTAAATGATATTGTCTTTGACTGGGTGAAATGATGTTCTATGGCTGGGAATATCCATTATACATTGGTTTTATTTGGTTTTGCTTTTGTGGCTCTGCTCTGCTTTAGTTTAATTATCACAGCACTTTTTGATTCTGTTTTTATTGTGCAAAATTATATAGTTCTCAATTGCAAGCCAGGAATCTGGCGCATTTTGTGTGTTCGGAGCAAGTGCCTTAAAGTTCATCAAACTATTTACAATTGTTATATATGTATGTTAATATGTATGGTATATTTCCTAAATTATAAGTGGCAAGCTATAGCCAAGCATTAAATAGTCAATTTTTTGATTGAATATCTTATTTGGCTTACTCATTTGCTTAGATTTATAAAAATGTTAAATTTTAATCAATTTGTTGAATCAAATTAAGATTAGTTTTGCTATGTCTTTGGCAGATTTCTGTTAGATTTGGGCAAAGTTAGCTAAATCCCCCATCCCACTGATGAAACCCGTTCAATTTTATTTACCCCCCAGCTGACATTCTAGTTGAGTTTTTTTATGCTAAGAATTGACTTTTGATTTGCAGATTTCATAGCCTACTTTTCAGCGCAAAATTCAGCGTTAAATTTGTGATTAACTACTGCGATTACAACTATGATATAAATTAGTTTCCACTGAATCTCTATTTGTTGTGGCTAAAATGGAAGTTTTCTTCGCTACCAACTCACACTAGATATGGTCCTATTAATTGGGCTTGCCTCTATACGATTTATAGAAAAATCTAGCACACGATATGGATTACCTTGAGTATATTGTCTACTACTTAAGTTAGATGCCTAAAAGAGGGTTAGTACAACACTTCCCGCATTTGCTTTTGTCAAAGCTGTGTTCGACTGTAGAGAGTTTTAAAATTTGTTTAGGCCTAGTAAATATTGAAATATAATCACTTAACAGGTGCAGTTTCTTTCACATTGCAGTGTTTGTTTCGCATTTAGTTTGGCCCGCCCCATCGCTAGATCCACTATTTACAGGAAATATGTAGAAAATATACGTGGTTCCGGCAACTAGAAGGCCTGTATTGGTCGATAGAGTCCCGTGTATCCGCAGAGCCGGGCTCGCAGTGCCGGAATCAGGAAGGCGGCCAGCGAGATGTCCTTGAGCAGGTCGGCACACTCGCACACCAGCAGGTACATCTTGTCGCCCTTCTGCGAGGTGCTCTTGTGCAGCGCGATGCGCCGCAGTCCCGCTGCACGTGGCAAATACCTGTAAGGAAGCAATAATCAGACGGGTTACCAGAAAGTCTGCAGCAAAAATAACATCTCACAAGCCACAATCTCCAAAACAACACTCAACAGTTTCATTTTTAAATAACAGAAATTTTGAAAAAAAAAAATGCAATAACAAGTGTAAAAAATCATCAATTAAGAACATAATTACTTAGTTTTCACCCTAAAAAATAATTTGGATTGATTAAACTTACACTCACAAACCATAACGACCTAAAAAAATTGTCGAAACCACCTGCAACTTCGAAATATTGACTTAAAATTTATATTTTACTTTTTTTTTTATTTATGGGCTGGGGTCATCTCTTAGGATATTTCAGACATTTTTGGAAAAAGCCAGCATAAAATGTAAAAACATAATCAAGCTGATAATTTGTAGAAATCTAAAAAAAATATATATATTTGAATTGATATTTCTAATCACGAGATACAAACTGCTTTTCAAAAAAAGTTTTTTATTTCTAAATGTTTGCAGTGGTTTTACCTTATTTTTATATGAAAAAAAACTAGATTTAATTTGGAACCTCTTGTAAAAACTAGAGGAAACTTCAGAAGACAAATGTAAAAATATAATTTAAGGACAAAAAATAAATATTTTATAACATCTAATACCGAGCATAATTATACAATTTATATTTGCTTAACTAATATGTTTTTGTGTTTCAACAGCTGCTTGGCTTTTAAATGTTATAACAAAAAAGCAAAACAAATGTTTAACAAATGCATTTGTCAATTACTATTGTTCTAAGTGTACCTGTACAGCATGCGGGCGCCTGTCCAGTAGAGCCAATTCTTTTCGAATCGTTCGCCATCGTCGCCCTCGAAAACCTGCGGAATTAAAATTGAATTTTTCATGAAAATCAGCAATCCCAGCTGGTGTGCTGCTCTACGAGTAAAGTACACCACCTTGAACACGCTAATAATGTAGCCGGTGGCCGCGGTCTGCGATTTCTTGAAGCTGCCGGCCTCGTTCGAGGGCAAAACCAACGGCGGCCGGCAAATGGCCGCCACCTCGCTATAGAGATCCAGGGTGTGGGCGGCAGTGTATCTGGCAATGAATTGGAACAGAAATGGGAGTATGAAAAGGCAATTGGCTGGGCCAATTGAAGCACCACTCACTTGAGGGCCTTTGGCTCGAACTTGGACAGCGAGGAGACGCGCAGGCCGGCATAGAAGCTGGAAGGATCCGTTTGCAGCGTATTGATCAGGTAGTACGAGATGAAGGGGAACTCGGCTGGGGAAATTCGAAACTCTATTATTGTATTTTCGAAATTTATGGGCACTCGTCTCACAGTTCTTCTCCATATTGGCCAGCAGCATACCACCCACAGCCGTGTTGGCCTGCTGCACCTCGGTCACCAGTTCGGCGGCAATGGAGCGCTGCTTCAGTAGCGGATGCGATAGAGGCGACTCCATCACCGGATCGATGGCCTCCAGGGGACTCATCAAATGCACCAGGATGCACAGCTTCGGATCGGACACTTCCAACACGCTCAGCGGACTGGTGGCCTTACCCTCGGCATTCAAAGCGGGCAGCTGAAAAGGGATTGAATATACGTTTAAAACAAGAAGAGTATGTTGTGCCTAACATTGCCAAGATTTTTCTTAATTTAATTAAAAGACATTTTATTCCTTGAACTCACAACAGCTTTTAAATTTGGTTTGTTTTTTTTTTTTTGTTTAAACATCATAAATCATCCAAACCTTATATTTCCAAATAAACATTTCATATTGTACACAAAATAAATAAAACCTTTTTAATTAAATATCACAAATTAACGGCGAATTGGAACCTTTCACTCTTCTCTGCCCCTTACTGGGAGATAAAACAATTTTTAAGAACCTGCGTACTTTTGCTGTACAATATTTACCATTTTCTGATAGATCAAAATTCAATGAATTCAGCGTTACTGAAAAAAGCTAATCAATTAAACAAAAGTTTTCCCAGAACTTCTTATTGTAAAGAAAACATGTGCATTTATCGACCTTAACAGCTATGAAGGAGACGATGGATCGTTTGTGGAGAACCCCCCTCGAAAGGTACGCGTGTGGCTGACTCATTCTGGGTCTACTGAGATTAAAGAGTTAAGGCTCTGATATCAGCGCGATACAAGCGATTTAATCGATATTTAATCGATCAAATAGACGCCGCAAACCACCCACATAGATAAGAATGCGCATATAAAAGACCCACTGTCTTGATCGTTTAGTATTCACTACCAGTTCGGCAACCAGTCAACTACAACCCTTCGAAATGGTGTCCTCCTCCCAGCTGCTCCTTGTGGCCCTTCTGGGTCTGACCGCAGTTAGTGCCAATCCGGTGGTGCAGCAGCCGGGCAGTGCCCAGTTCACCTCCGCAATGTCCGACTTCCTGCAGGCCTTTAAGAGCATCATGCCCTGCGGCTACGGAGACATCCCAGTCCTGGCCCCGATTGTGAACCCATTTTACGAATTCAACGTTGCCAGCGATGACTACACCCTTGTGGGCAACGTGAGCAACATCCGCATCCAGGGTCTGGACAGCTTCCAGGTTCTGAGTGCCAGCGACTACGGCAAAACCGGCGAGGCCGCCTACGACCTGCTCTTCCCCAAGATTCAAGTGCTGGGCTTTGAGGAGGTCGAGGGATTCATCAACATCGGGGGCTTCAAGCTGCCCATCCGCCAGAACGACGTGATCAACGAGGCTCTGTTCGACCTGCGCTTCGTGGGCAGCTACCGCTTCGCCAACAGCCTGACCAACTCGTCGGGTCTGCGCATCGTGGACTTCAAGCAGTCCATCTATCTGGCTGGCGTGGAACTGGACAACTGGAACACCCTGTGGAACATCTCCACCAACAACTTCTGGAACCGCTGGATGAACACCCTGCTGCCCCTCGCTCTCCAGGAGATTCAGCCCAACCTCACAGACTTCCTATACAAGAACTTCCTCATTCCCAAGGTGAACGATCTGCTGGCCAACGTGAGCATGGCCGAGTTGGTAAACTACTTCGAGACTCAGGCCCTACTCTGGACCAACGCCAACTGCCAGGCTTAAATAGTCAAATAAAAATATAGAGCAAGCAAAATAACTAAAAATTTCATTTTTGGATGCACTTAATATACGGAAAATTGAACGAAAACAAGAAAGAACGCTATAGTCGAGTTTCCCCACTATTGGATATTGGATAACTGTTAACTGCTAACAAATTTCACAAAACATCTGTCGAACTGCTTAGTCAACACTAGAAGCGAAGAACGTGTAGTACAACCACCCCCATTAACAGTTCTGTCGTTCTGGCTCGCCGAGAAGCGGCAGAGCGCGGACAGAGGACTTTAAAACTTTATAACTGCTAAAATAATAGCTTGATTTTGAAAATGTTTTTAGCTACAGACAGAGTCCGGAGCTAAAGTCTAACATGTCTCAAGTAACATGACGGACTCTTTAGAGTGGGCCTAAAATAAACTTGCGATGCGTAAGAATTACTAGAATCTGCATTTTAAGTACCAAACCTTAAACTTTTATAATTTCCGAGATCTTGACGCTCATACAGACAGACGCACATGAACATTTTTGATCTTGAATTCTTGATCTTCAGTGCTTGTCTTTTAGCTCTTGATCTGGGGCTTTAGATCTTGAGTTCTTGATATTAAGTAGTTGATCTTCAGGGAACCCTCTTTAACTCAGTAACTTAAATAAAACCCTTCATATTTTCCGTTTTTAAAGTGCATCCAAAAATGATCCCTTTTAGTTATTTTGCTTGCTCTATATTTTTATTTGATTATTTAAGCCTGACAGTTGGCGTTGGTCCAGAGTAGGGCCTGAGTCTCGAAGTAGTTTACCAACTCGGCCATGCTCACGTTGGCCAGCAGATCGTTGATCTTGGGAATGAGGAAGTTCTGGTACAGGAAGTCTGTAAGATTGGGCTGAATCTCCTGGAGAGCGAGGGGCAGCAGGGTGTTCATCCAGCGGTTCCAGAAGTTGTTGGTGGAGATGTTCCACAGGGTGTTCCAGTTGTCCAGTTCCACGCCAGCCAGATAGATGGACTGCTTGAAGTCCACGATGCGCAGACCCGACGAGTTGGTCAGGCTGTTGGCGAAGCGGTAGCTGCCCACGAAGCGCAGGTCGAACAGAGCCTCGTTGATCACGTCGTTCTGGCGGATGGGCAGCTTGAAGCCCCCGATGTTGATGAATCCCTCGACCTCCTCAAAGCCCAGCACTTGAATCTTGGGGAAGAGCAGGTCGTAGGCGGCCTCGCCGGTTTTGCCGTAGTCGCTGGCACTCAGAACCTGGAAGCTGTCCAGACCCTGGATGCGGATGTTGCTCACGTTGCCCACAAGGGTGTAGTCATCGCTGGCAACGTTGAATTCGTAAAATGGGTTCACAATCGGGGCCAGGACTGGGATGTCTCCGTAGCCGCAGGGCATGATGCTCTTAAAGGCCTGCAGGAAGTCGGACATTGCGGAGGTGAACTGGGCACTGCCCGCCTGCTGCACCACCGGATTGGCACTAACTGCGGTCAGACCCAGAAGGGCCACAAGGAGCAGCTGGGAGGAGGACACCATTTCGAAGGGTTGTAGTTGACTGGTTGCCGAACTGGTAGTGAATACTAAACGATCAAGACAGTGGGCCTTTTATATGCGCATTCTTATCTATGTGGGTGGTTTGCGGCGTCTATTTGATCGATTACTTATTGAATCGCTTATATCGCGCTGATATCGGAGCCTTAACTCTTTAATTTCAGTAGACCAAGAATGAGTCAGCCAAACGCGTGCCTTTCGAGGGGTTCTCCACAAACGATCCATCGTCTATCATAGCTGATAAGATCTGTAGCAACACATGTTTTCCTTACAATTGAAAGTTCTAGGAAAGCTTTTTTTAATTGATAAGCTTTTTACAGTGATTGATTAAATTTATTTAATCGAATTAATTTAATTTTTATTATAATTAAATAAAATATTGTGCGCTGAAAGGAAATTGTAGTACAGACTAAGTTATAAAGTCAATATTTAGTACTAGATGTTTTTTTAGAAGGTTTAACTTCAGACTTTTTGTGTAACAAATATTGTAAATGTGTATGAGTTTGTTTTGTACTCTCTATGCAGTAAAACAACAAGAAATTCGCATATTAACAAAATGGGAAATTTAACAGTATTAACCTGATCGTTCCTATATATCACAAAAGATTGAATGAGTTTTAAGTCTTTTCAAACGCACACACAGACATGGCGAAACGGAATATCATTTTGATGCTGATTTAAAATACTGATAAATGCAGAGTAACTTTGGTATAAAAGACTTAAGAAGTTATGTTTTAAGCTAAGAAAGTTACTCACCGGAATGCCAGCTGGCAGGAATCGATCCACACTGTGCACGGGAATGATGAAGCAGTCGCGATCCAGGGTGGCCAGTGAGATGGGCTCCGCTCGTGTGACTCCCGAGTTGGCGCCACCGCCAAAGTTCACTGTAACGAACAGTGAAATACCATTAATATAGCCTCCAAGACGAATCGGAAATATTATAGTTAGCCATTTAGTTGTAAGAGTACATAAAACGTATTAGCCTGAGGCAAGCTAATGATGATCGCTTTAAAGCCCAATATCCTTTTGTGAGCAGAGTTTAATAGGCATTTAGCTGGAGTTATAGGAGATCGATCCCAGAGCTTTTGTCGTAGTGCAGGTGGTTCCCCTGAAGCTTGCCGCAAAATACTGAAAGCGAGGCAAAGCTGGTAAGCGTGTCTCCGAGAATATGTCTAGCTTTCAGTATTTTCACTAGTATTCACCAACAATCAGATATAGAAAAGGAAACAAACAAAATTGGAAACAAGACAGAACTTGCGAGTAATCACATTGAAGTACTTAGTATTGTAGAAGAACTCTTGAGGTTAGCTACGTACAACGTGCAGCAAACATTAAATTGGGGGATTGACTTTGAGTGGATTAGGGTGTTTTTGTTTTGGGAAGGTTGTGGGATTGGGGGGTGGTGCAACATAAACGGGGTTTTTAATTGGGTGGGTGTTTGAGTGTGTGTTTTGGGTGAGCTGGCTGGCAAATGACATTAGTGTTGTTTCGAGTTTTGGGCAGCAACAACAACAACTATAATTGAGATAACGCAGATCAGAATCGAAACTAGATCTGCTCTCAAGTTTTTCGTTTTTTTTTTTTTTTGTGAGGGGGGAATCAAACCTTGCCGCGTGGCTGCAGCTGCGGCCGCTAGCAATGTTGTTGTTGCCGTGGCCACCGTTGCATCAGCGTACCCCAGTGTTGTTGCTGTTGCTGTTGCCAATAGATGTTGCTGCTGCTGTTGCTGTTGCTGCTGCTGCTGCCGCTGCAGTTGCTGGTGTAGTTGCTGCTGTAGCTGCTGCTGTAGCTGCTGCTGTAGCTGCTGCTGCTGCTGCAGGCGGATCAGGCTGTTGCTAGCACTGTTGCTGCCACTCTCCGTACCCGGTCCGCTGCTGCTGTTCCAGCGCATCAACGAGACGGACGGCCGGCGGTCGACCAGCGGCTGCGGAATGTCCAGCTCGTAGGGCAGGTTGCCGGGCAGGGCCAGCGAGGGGGCGGTGCTCGACAGCGGGGTGCTCGGGATGCCCGACAGGGCGCTACATCGTTCTGAAAATTGGAGGCTCTCGATACTTTATATGCACACAAAAAACACAAAACACGAAACACAAAAACACACAGCAAACAGAACAACAAAACTGACGATGGGGGGCAATGCGGATGTGGGAAAATCTTACACTTTGTGCTTCGGTTGCTGGATAGATTGGGTGGATTTTCTTGAAAACCAGAATTCAGGGACGCAATAAAAATCTGAGCTTTAACAAATTGAATTTGTTAAAAAAATAATTTTATTCCTTAAAATTATTTTGTAAAATTTATTATAAATAATAAATGATCTCACAAACGTTCAATGTTCTAATGGTAAAACCGCTATAAGTCATTAAAGTGTTTGCGGCTCATTGTGTTAATAAAAATAATTATTTAGTATAATTTCTCAAATATTTGTATAAATATTATGAAATGGGTTTTCAGTCTATATAGGTTTTCATAAATTCAAAAATTTTATTTTGTACAATACTAGAGCATTTATTCGATTTATTAATTTAAAAAAAAATTTATACAACAAATATTTTTTTTATTTTTATTAACTTGTTAAGCATAAAAACAAAATTTGTTTAATTTTAAATATAACTCTTTGCCTAAAATCTACCCAAATTGTGCTATATATATATATTAAGAGCAGGGGCAGGGGATGGACTGAGTTCCTTTTCGTTTGCTGATTTTATTAACAGTGTGGGCCAAAACTAGACACATTCATCAGTTTGTTGGGTTAGTAGGCTCTGCTGCCGCTGCTGATGCTGCTGGAAAAACTCCTTAGACCTTGGTTTCCGGCTCGGACTCAAGGCCATTGCCATAGGTGGTGGGTGTGGAGGTATAGTTAAACGGGAAATCAAATTGTTACTTACATACGCTCTCGCTTTTGCTTAGCTTTCTGTGTGCTCTATGTGCCCCTTAAGCCAAGCCAACTGGAAACTGGAAGATTAGCTGATGCTGGCATTCACACACTCACCTCTTCACACACTTTCTTCCACACACACAATAGCTTACAAGGCGAAAGCGATTCCTAGATAGACACTAATTTTCATTTAGTTTTCACCAAATAGTTTAAAATAATTTTCCTTATCTTTTCAAGAAGTAAGTTTTCTAAAAAAAAAAAAACAAAAAGATCTAAAAAGAATTAAAATTAATTACATTTTAGGAATAATGACCTAAAAACTATCGAAATGTAGTTAATGTTAGGAAAAATAAGAATTAAATAAGTTTATGTTGCGTAAAGTTTTGAAAATATTATGTAATTGAAACGGTAGTCAAATGACTTGCAATTCAAGGATCCAAGATTAAATTACCCGTTCCACCGCTATATTTTTCTTCATTTGAACTTTAATGTAATTATCTCCTAATGCACTTCTTAAAACTTTTCCGTATCCTGCAATCCAATTAAATTAAACATCGTCTATCCGGCAATTATAGTTACACTCTTAACGTATTAACGCGGTGCCGTTCATTAATACTAATACATCTATTCAACTGAGCCACAATTAGGCCGCCATAAATGGCCCACCTGCCAGTTGGTCGTTTGAAAAATTGATGAAAACATTTCAATTGCAAATGGCTGAAATGCAAATGTCAGGTTAATGGAGCACAAGTAACTGAGGGCCAGGCTCAAGCGATTACAAAGGAACCAAAGTAATCAGGGGAGACCGAGAGAGGTAGAGAGTGAGAACGAGACAGAGAGTGAGCCATGTTTGTGGATGATTGAAATGGACGCTAGGCTAAAATCTCTACAGTATACTATCGAAAGAGTGAACATATGTATAAATTTTATTCATAGTTTTTTTATTAACTAAAGGAATTAAGATTTTGTCGGCTAGAAATTGTTGCTTTTGAAAAATAAATGTTTCGTTTTTTAGTAAATATGTGATGTGTTTCGTTTTATTTTTTATTATTGATAATTATGAGAGGGTTACTTATCGAATAAATATTTAAATTTCAAACAAGGTCATATGTTAGTTTATCTATATATGTATTTTTAACTTAAAGCTTTATGGTAATCTTTTCATAAAAAATTTGAGTATTAAACTGTCAACAACGCTTCAGCCATTTTCTTTAAAACATCTAATTAATTCACAATATTTCCTTTTCGAATTTGTTCACTCTTTCGATGGTCTGACTGTAAGTGCTGTGGCTTGTTGTTGTTGCTGCTGCTGCTGTGGTTGCTTTTGCTTTTGCAAGGCGAACAACACTTTACCTTCGCCCACATCGTAGCCGGGTCGGTTGGGCGAGAAGAACAGGTGGGTCCTGTAGTGGATCTCCTCCGGCTGCTGGACAAGTCCCATGTCCCGGGAGCGCTTCGTCCTGTTCGCCTTCGATTGGAGCTTCCCTCCGCCGCCGCCCGATTTGCTGGCTCCCTCGCGAAAATTCTTGCGAAACATTAAATTCATCGTGAGTTCGGTGGCTCTTCCTCGGATGCGTTTGTCTGGTGGGGTGAACTTGTTGATAATGGCGGTGGTGCTGTGCCGGTGGTGGTGGTGGTGCTGGTGGTGGTTTATTGTGGTTTCTCCTAATTGTTGACCACCCTCAGGATGGGTTGTGTTTGTCTGTGTTTTTGTCTGTGTGGCGGTGCGTGTGCCTGGCCTCTTTGTTATCTGATTTGTCGTTACTGTCGTTTCATTTGAATAACGCTCAGCTCTCGCCGACCCGACCGCTTTTTGTTTGCTTTGTTATTTGGACCTGCATTACATTTAATTTCTGTTTTAAAGGACCAGCAATTTATTTACATTTACCGAGGTCACACAGCCCGAAATGAAGATAATGCTAATTATTAATTTTGGCTTCTCGCAGCTGCCGTTGATGGTTATTGTTATGCAGAAAAAAATGTAATCACAATTTAACCATTTTTTGGCTATTTTTTGAATCATTTCTTACTTAAACATATTTATTTATTATTGAGTTTTTTTGTTTTTTTTTTTATTTTATTTTTATTTAAGTATTAAATAATATATTTTAGTGTATTAAAATTAATTATTTTAGGTGTTTATATGTTTGAATAAATGGCATAACTTTTAATCGCATCTAAACTTAAGTCAGGAAGATGACCATTTTGAACTTATGTCGTATTGGTATTTTGGCCACCTTGCTCTAGAGTTAGTTTTTTTAGTTTAAACCAAGCACGCGAGTATTATTTCAGCCCGTTTAGTTCGTTGACCTGTACTTTTGGCCAACAAAAAAGGGAAGCAAACATTTACGGGACTAAGTGAGCGTACACGAGAACAGAAATGTGTGTGCAAGTAGGCGCGAGTGTGGCAACGGCAAGCGGAAATTGCCAGTTTCCGGCTCAAAATTACTTAGCACTTGCAGGATACGCGAACTCGAGCTCAAGTTACCCTACAACACGTAGGGAGCGCAAAAAAAAAGGGGAAAAATAGACCAAATAAAATTCCAAATGCTCGGCAATTACGACTGTGTGTTTGTGCGAGTTTAATTAGTTCAAGACACGGCGCAATTAGTTTTATGGTCGCTTATTGATTGCCTTGGTGCGATAAATTTAGACAGCTGTTCGCTGGAACAGCAAGTGGGCGTGGCGGGATACGTGGGCGGGCACAAATTGAAAAGTGCTTAGCTAACAGTATGCTGGGGTCAATTATAAACAGCTTGCTGGATTAAATTAAGCATTAACAACAAAGAGCTCAATTAAAATTTTCGAAAAGTCAACAAAGAAAATCGAATCGAAATTAAGGGCAATTTTGTTTTTCCACAGCAAACTTTCAGCAATATTACTCTTTTAATTAAAATAAAATTTTATACAGCTAGCAATAATTCAAATCAATATTACCATTTAAACTTTACAGAATTTTCAGGCTACAAAATATTATTTTAATAAATGAAATAATTATAACACTTATAATAAGAGTACATATTTTGTGACAAATTGATCTCATAATTTTAATCTATTTTGGAAACGAACAAAGTAAATGAAAAGCACTTTGAAATTGCCAAAAATATTTTCCTCAGCTAACAATCATTTTGCAAATATGTTTTGAAATTTGAAGAATTCCAATTAGAAATGTTTTTTTTTCTAAAACAAACTGAACGCCAGTATGCATTGAAGTTAATAAAATCTTGAATAGCTAGCAATAATTCAAAAAATAATTGGCCCATAAAGTTTAAGGCAAATCGTTTTGATGAAACGATTTTGCCAAGCCAATCATCAGATTAACCATCCGCCCGTTGCGCAGATGAGTATACTGCCAAAATGCATTACTTAAGCATAATTCCTTTCGCAGCCACTTGGGCATTTCCTTCAACACCCGGAGCCGATTCCCTTCATCTGATGCCCCTTTTGGAATCCATCAACCAAGTCAATCACGCAAGCCATCAACAGAGGCGAGAATCAAATGGAGAACAACAATGGAATGGATCGTAAATATTTTTACAACACTTTCAAGTGGCTGGCCCAACTATAATTAATTCTTTTTACGAGCCCGGTTACAGCAATAATGTCCATCATAAAATGAGGACCCGAGAAACACACATATAATACAAACAATAAGCGAACGAGCGAAACAATCAAGAAGCCAAGACAAGTGTGAGGGATAATAACACACACGACCAAAAGGAAAATGTCGCTTCATTTTCTGGCCAAAAATAAACAAGCTAATGACATAAAAATTTTGCGTTCTGTGCTTTGCCAAAATAAAAACCAAACAAGACGAAGAGCCACGAAAATTATAAAATTAGATTTTCATGTAGAGAGGGTGCTGCGCGTGCTGGGTTCGTTTCTTTGTTTTTGTACTAGGTCATGGGATATACGGCCCTTGACCTTGGCTGTAATTCCACTCTACGAATGCATTGTGTTTGTGTATTTATCTGTTGTTTTATTTTCAAGAATGATTTGGGTTTCGTGCAGGATCTGAGTATGGCAGATACATACATATAGATACATGAGGACCGATTTCTACAGCTAAGCAAGCTAAACGCTGAAATGGTAGATTAATATTTTTTTGATTCGTGTTTATACATTTTGTGGGTTCCACATTTTAATCCATTTTGCACAATATTAAAATAGACAGACTGAACGCGATTCGCTGGAAAATTTCACGCTCGATCTAAATATTTTGCCAGCATTAACAGTCATTTAGTTTGCACTTTTTTTAAAACGTTTTTTTGTGGTACCAAATAGTTGAATATATTCTAATTTTTTTAAGAATGTAGTGGTTTTTTGATTTTTTTTTTATTGATAGTATTTATCACTATTAAAGAGATAATTTTTTATATATACGTCCCGCTGTTCATTTAATAAGATATATAACTCATGAATATGAAATTTTTTTGCATTTTTATTTGGCCCACATTTATGGCTGTTGGCCGATTGACCAACCAGTTCCAACTGGTTTCAGGTGGCCAGAAGCACAAACACGAACGCACTCAGGACACAGTGACACCTTTGTCGTTTTAGCGAATTTGTGTTTGCTTGTGGGGCGTATGCGTAATATTCTCCACTAATTAGTTTAATTTCACGTAGGATTGCCAGAGTCACGACATTTAAACGGTTATTATTTAGATTTATCCGTCATCTAACGTTCAATCAATAGAGCGATTGGTAGACCTTGTCGATGGTGTGGGACTCATTAATATATTTCCTATATTCACACGCTTGTTTTGTGTCCCAGAAAAATAGGAAAACGTTTGGCCTGCGACGCGACAAGAAATCAACTGGCACTTGGAGAGCTTTTCCGCTTTTCATGCTTTTCCTCCGACGCGACTGCTGACAAGACGATGTGGTCGATGTCAGATCGCTCATCGTTCGCTGGGCGAGCATTTTTCATTAACTTTGTTAAACTTATGAAATTTTACAGCAAGAGCCATCTCAGCGCTGTGAAAAGCTCGTGCTCGTCACTTGTTGCGTATACGCCGTGTGGGACGGACACTCAACGCCAGGTTTCGGCACTTTTTATTCCTTTGTTGATTAATCAAATATTTATTGCATTGTATATATTTCATGTGTGGGAAAACGCTTGACCAATGTCCAATGCCCGCTGGAAGTTCTTTACGGCTCGACCAATTAATGGCAAGTGAAAATGGAATCGAAAATGTTCCCTTGGCAGGAAAAAAAAACAACGCAAACGTGAAACAACCCACAAATGAAAACCCACAGACTGAGTGGTTCATTTTTATGGGTTTTCCAATAAAACTCAGAATATGGCAAGCATATTGGTACGCTTCACTTGATAGAGGCTTTAACGTTTATTTATTGTAAGAATAAACAAATTTTTCAGGATGAAAAACTAATGAATTGTTGCTAAACAAAAATAGATTTAGTTAATAATAATATAGTTTAAGTTCTTGCTCAACCATAAACCTTTTTTTAAGCAAAGGTTATAGTAGTAATTCACTATCAACACTCAAACATTAATATTTTATAAGCAGGGTATTTAGAAGTTTTATCTTTGATGTACTTTTTGTTTCTCTTTCTATACCATTTATAGGTTCTGTTCACCGTAGGTCCTTTTTTTTTGTTGTTTGTGCGCTGCGTGTTCTGTTCTCTGTTCGACTTTTTATTGATTATGTGTTGTTCCTGTTCTTGAAATTCCCTCCACTGACAGGGGTCCCTCCTTTACTCCCAAAAGTCCTCACTGGGAAAAGTTTGACTTTGGCATCCGGAAGTCATTCGCTTTTTGCTGTTCGTTCTGCGGCTTCTGACGAATTGGTAGCTCATAAAAACAGACAATTTTGGTGATTTCAATGGGGTATATACCCGTTTTATATGATTGGTATTTGATTTTCCTAGCTTTTTTATTTTAGGATAGGCACCAGTGTTTTCTAATCTCACATTTCCTCAATTTCATTAATAATTTTCCCCAGGAAAATCATATTGAGACCTTATTATATTTGTCAATAATTTTTCGAAAGGGTAAGACATTTCTGTTTCAGAGAAATGAGGCATTATGCCTTGTAACCCTAAGAATGTGGCTAGATAAATTTACTCGATTACATCAATAATTTATATTCAGCAAAATCCTATTGAGGCCCTAATAAATTCCAATCAATTATTCAAAAGGGATGTTATAAGACATTTCTGTTTCAGCGATTAGTTTGGTACTGAGAAATAATCCTTGAATATTTATTACTTGTTTTAGGATAATTTGCCGCAAATAAAGCAGAAACTAAACCATTTGGTTGGCATTTCTCATGCAGCTGGCCAAATCCCCAACTCAGGTGCATCCACATTGGAAAGGCTTTCGTTTTTGCGGCTTTAACTGGCAGGAGAGCTCGGGGGACGCAATGTGATTTACATGTGTCTAAGCTGCCTTCATTTCCTGACCCCTCGATCCCCTAGATCCCCCAATTCCCCCCCCTACCGCACTTGTCATGCAGTGGGACTTAGCTATGTGAGATGACCCTGCCACAGACCCAGCTATAATATCTCCTCTTCTGCTCTTCACTACCCTCCTTGTTGCATGCAACATTACTGCATTTTGGACTGCGGCAAACAAACACGCAACTTGCCACTAAGTGCTTGGCAAAAACAAAGTTAATCAGCCAAAGAAATGTACTAAAACAAAAACAATGCTACACTGAGAAAGCAAATTTTTGTGTATCAAAATCAAACATTATTATTATCACTATTGAGTTCAGTGACAACCAAATTTAAAATATTTTGATAAATATATAAACTTGAATAATTGTATTTAACATATTTTAAGAGAGACAAAATTAATTTTAAGTTCTGCTTTTTCTCTCACTACTGGCTTACTTTTAATGATCCATTTGTGTTATGTTTTGTCTCCTGTTTAATGGCTTTCTAGATTATTTTCCATGGATTTGATTAAGTGCTTAATCGGAGTTGGAGAAGCCATAAGCCACAAGCCCATAAACAATTTGGCCAAGTGGCACGGGCTTTAACCCGTGATCCAAATGAAATTCTATGCTTCATAAATTTAAATGAATTCCGTTTTCATGGCCCACTCGAGTGCTCCTCCGGGGAGAAAGTGTCGCCACTTTCCATCCATTGTGAATCTTTTGTTGGCTTTTAAGTTACCCGTTATGAGCTGCTTAACGTGTGCATAAATTTACTCGGGCCCTCTAACCGTTCGCCAGCCTTTTAGTTTTATTTTGCTGTGCGGCTCGTAACTTCCACCGTTCTGTTCTGAATGGAAGTTGGTGCTTGGCACGTGATTGTGTCTAGCTATTTTGCCAACTTAAATTCCCTCGGCACCCTGATAGTCTTCCACTTTAATTCTGTTTTTATTGAGTTGCGTTGGTTTAACTACACAAATGTCATCTTGATTGTTAGTCATACAGCTCAACTTCCTAATTTAACGCTCCATTTAACGAGCAGCCAAAAAACATAGTTCCTAATTTATGGCATTCATTTAGACAATGTCTAGTTTGCTTATTAAATTTGCCAGCGATGACAGTCACAACATGACTCTGTCGGCTGAGAAGGCAATGTTTTCCAGGGTGACAAAGGGTGTGATGGGAATGCTGATGTTAATTCTAGATAAGTTTTCCGTGAGAGACACGTTCCTGATAATAAAGCAAGTTCTAGACAGGTTATATTATGTGTTGTTGTTGATTTAAAATATACATATACTTAAAGAATATCAATTAATTTTTAGTTGGGTGAACTTCATTAATTCCATACACTGTCTTATAATTAAATTTTTTTTTTGTTTCGAAAATGTTTTATCAGTTTAAAGTACTTTAATGGACGAACCAATAATCAAAATGTATAAGTTGTACATTTAAATATTTAACTAATCTTTTTGAAAAATATTAAGAATAGTTTTTGTTAAAGGCAAAAAGGTCAAAAAAAATTATCATTATTTACTCCTTATTAATTAAGATAGATAGGACCTAAGATATTTTGTAGGTAGACAACTTTTTGTATTTAACATGACTTCCCAGTTTATTATATTTATTTATTATTATATATCTTTTTCAAAAGTAAGCTATCTTTGAAAACACATCAAGGTTAGAAAGGGGATTCTTAGCTATGAATGCTCTTCTATAAATGTTTATAATGACTAACACTCATATGACAAATTCCTAAAAATGCTGACCATCCCACAAATACCCAGCCATCATGTGTCCAAGCTGTCAATCCAGAGAGATGATAAAAAAATAGAGTTTGGCTTCTGCTTTGATTTTGATAAGGGGCCGTCAATGAAAACGCGATTGATGGACGGGGAAACTACGAGCTATTGGTGGTGGATGGGGACTGGACTAAAGCCCATCTATCAGGCAGTAAATCGCAATCAAATCCCAGGGTATCGCCGATGTCAGTTGCAGGGCAATGAAAGATTACTTTGGCCCATTTGCAATATGGAATTTAAAATTCCATTAACGCCAGTCACCAAAACGACAAAAAAAAGGGAAAATTGGGAAAGGGGAAAGGGGAATGGGAATGGGAATGGGGACCAAAGCAAATTGCAAGTAAATCTGTGTCAGCATTTTAGCTCTGCCTGCATCAGTTTCAATTTTCGCAGCTGTTTTCGTCACTTTATGGCCAACAACGGGATGAAAATAATGAAGGGAAATGCCCTGCACAAAGGCAGAACATAAATAACGACGTCATACCATTTCCGAGCACATAAAATTGAAAAATGCTGTGCAAATTACGTGTAAATACCAAACAGCAGCCGAAACCAGCAGCGAAATCGCAATGAAAATGCGCGTAAATGTTGCCTTGTGGCCGGAAACTGTTTATGCGTCTGTCTGTTTGTGTGTGTGGTTTTCCTCGCCGTTTATGTCTGTCTGCAAGTGTGTGTGTGTGTGTTGGCCATGTTTGTATGAAGAAGAAGAAGGAGACTAAGAAGAAGAAGAAGGAGGAGAAGGAGCAACTGCATCGAGGTTTATGGCGACAGTTGCTGATTATATTCGCATTTGGACGTGCAGCAAACTTTTATGGTAAACAAAGTTTTACATTTTTATATATATGCGGCAATAAAAAAGGCATCGTACAAACAGCCTTTATAAAAAATACTTAAATCACTGGTTTGGGGGTTTATTTAAGCCACTAAACTTTTTTATAAAATAGTTCCTTGTCAATTGGTATTATTGCGCTTAAAGAATTTGGCAAAAGAACAATATTTTTATTAACTTTAATATAATGAATAAATTATTCTACAAAATATAGTTAGAACAATTTTATTTAATCTATTTCAGAACAGCCATGCAACTCACAAATTAAAAAAGATTGTACATATTTTCATTTTCAAAAATAGATAATAATTTGATATATTTATTGTTATGCATAGAAATTTGAGCAGTTAAATTGAATTATTTTTTGTAGTCATTAAATTACACTCCATTCTCCACATAAAATATAATTTATAGCAAATAAGCGACACTAAAAATGTGCAACATCTAAATTAGCATAATTAATTTCAAATGAACCGATTATAGGAAAGCACCTATATATCAAACTCACTGGATCATTATTTATTTCATTAAGGACACTTTCCTGGGTCAATTTTGCCACAATTTAGCCAGGATATTTGCTATTTGCATAAGATCTGACCACAACAAAGTGCCTCATATGTGCAATTACGCCACACACACATGGAAATTGTGGCATAAAAACTTGTTAGCCATTGGCAAGACCCAAAATGCTGATATATAAATAATTCCTTACCATTATGGGTATGCTGACACAAGTGGCCGTAATTTCACATAACAAACAGGCAGTGGCAGTGGCAGTGGCAGTGGCAGACCCCCTTTCTTGATCCCCACAATGGCAAACA